AATGACAGACAAAGAGGGACAACCATTTACAGCCAAACGAGGCTCAATAACATTTGAAAATGAGAAAGCATCCCAAGTCCATTCTGTGCCTGAGCAGTGTGTTGCAAAAATCCAGTACTTACAGAATTACCTAAAAGAATCTATGCAGATACAGAGAAAAGTAACAGAACTAGAGAATGAAAATCTAACCCTTAAGGCCAAAATAAAATCTCTTGTCTTCACCACACAATCTCTGATACAGAAAATCGAAATATATGAAAAGCAACTTAAGAATTTGTTTGAAGAAAAGAACACTATTCAATCCAAATTAATTAAAACAGAAGAAGATGGCAAAGAATGTCTTAAAGAATTGAAAAAAATAATTAGTAAATATAATGTTCTCCAAGAACAAAATAAAACTCTAGAGGAAAAAAATAGTCAACTTTCATTGGAGAAGCAACAAATGATAGAAATATTAGATCAACTAAAAAGTAAAGAACACAAAACTCAAAATGATATGGCCATTGTCAATAATGAAAATAACCGCATGAGTATAGAAATGGAATCAATGAAAACAAATATTCTCTTGATACAAGAAGAAAAAGAAATGTTAGAGCAGAAAACACACCAGCTTCTAAAGGAAAATAGCTCACTTGAAAATGAACTGAAAGAAAATCAGCTAGAGATAATGCAGCTAAAGGAGAAAGAAAGATTGGCAAAAACTGAACAAGAGACATTTCTTCAAATAATAGAAACAGTTAAAAATGATAAACTTAATCTTGAAACAACATTACAAGAATCTACTGCTGCTAGACAAATGATGGAAAGAGAAATTGAGAACATTCAAACATATCAATCTACTGCAGAAGAGAATTTTCTGAATGAAATAAAAAATGCAAAATCAGAAGCAAGTATTTATAAGAATAGTTTATCAGAAATGAGCAATGAATGTGAAATGTTATCAAAAATGGTAATGGAAATTAAAGCAGATAATCAGATTCTAAAAGAAGAACTAAAAAAACATAGCCAAGAAAATATAAACTTTGAAAACAGCATCAGTAGGCTAGCTGAAGACAAAATACTTTTAGAAAACTATGTAAGAAGTATAGAGAATGAACGGGATACCTTGGAATTTGAGATGCGGAATCTTCGAAGGGAATACTTAAATCTAAGTGAAAAAATCTGTGGTCAGCATGGTGACCTATCAAAAATGGGTTACATATCAAGAAGAGAGAAATTCCATTTTGACAACTATGATACTTATGAAGATACCTCTAGTCCCAGGTACAGGCCTTTAGCTCCTGATGTGAAAGGTATGTATACTTTGGAGGATTCGTAGAAAGTTTTTAAGATCCCTTTAGCCTACTGGGCACTAGTCAGAGGACACTAATAAGATGGAAACTTTTAAGATGAATATGATACAGTTTTGTAAAATTTGCATCCAATCTATTATATAGTAGAATTACTTAGAGATTCTACTGTTTTAATAAAATTCATGTTGTTTTATTTATAATTACTTCTGTACATTGAATATGCACAAAGCAAGTTTGGGAGGGAGCAGGGGTTTTTTTAATTACTATTTTTCTGAATGACACTTAGCACTCCTGCCTTAAAATAAATTCTTTCTTTTCCCCCAGGAATTCCAAGTAAACTGTATCAATTGCTTCCATCCAAGATATGTAAATAAATTTCAAAAATCAATGTTTCAAAATCCTTTGTCCAAGAACTTTTCTTCTACAAAATAATTTTAAGTTTGCCTTTACATATGATTACAAGTACTCTGTAATGTATGAGTAGATGTTTTTTAATTAGAAATGGGAATTAAGTATATATACCTAATTCCCATTTCTAATTAAAAAACTAATATATACATACATACATATATATGTGTATGTGTGTGTATATATAGGCAAGAGCTGTAAGTAAAGAACACACATATATATATATAGTCAAGAGCTGTAAACAGTTTGAGATTTCACCCCACTGGTAAGCCGTTATGCGAGCCTAACAGTTTCATGAGTTCCAGTGGAAGACATGAGACGCCCGGGCCAGAGATAAAGGATGGTTCGTCGCAGCTACGGCAGTGGCCAGAATGCTAGCTTTTCTTTTCCGCATTGGTTCTCCAAGCCCCAATTCCTATAGGGAACGTGAAAAGGGCCACCGTCAGTTAGATTACAGGGGAGAGCTCTGAGGTGAGGGAACCCAAGTCTTACCCATAAGTGCAGTGAGCACGCCTGCCCTCGGCTCTAGACGGAAATGTTACCTGTGTCACGTAGGACATTGGCAGGTCTGCCCTTGCTCCAGGGGAGATGCTAGCCCGAGCTTCCAGGACTGCCCACTACATAAACTTGTTGATTCTATCGAATGCTTTCTCTGCATTTATTGAGGTATGTTTTCCCCTTTAATCTGTTAATATGGTAGTTGCATTGATTGCTTTTGAAACATCACACCAACCTTGCATTGCTGGAATAACTCCACCAGGTCATGTGTTATCCTTTTAATATACACTCCTGGGTTCAATTTGATAATGTTTGGTTAAGGATTTCTCCTATGATCAAAAAGATCCTGGTCTCAATATTACTTTCTTGTAATGTCTCTATTTGGTTTTGATACCAGGAAAATCTGGCCTCATAAATTTGGAGGGGAAGTGTTCCCTCATCCTCCATTTTCTGAAAGGACCCATGTAGGGTTGGTACTATTGGTTATTGGCTCTTCCTTAAATATGTAATAGAATTCATCAAAAGCCCTGGAGTCTGCCAAATGGGGAGGTTTTACATTACAAAATCAATTTCATGCATAGATATGGACAATTCAGATTTCCTATTTATTCTTGAGTCAGTTTTGATCATTTGCATGTTCTGAGAAATTTGTACATTTCATACAAGTTCTCAAATGTATTGGCATGAAGTTGTCCATAATGCTTCTTACTATCTTTGTAATATCCAGAGGACCTGTGATGATATCCCATCTTTAATTTCTGACATTGGTAATTTGGGGGGGGGTCTCCTTTTTTATCAGTTTTAGGAGCGTTTAATCAATTTTATTGCTTTCTTCAAAAATTAGCCCCCGAAGAAGCAAGGTAAGATTTCTAAAACATATGCTGTGCTGGTGCTCAACTTCCTCTCCAGTCCCAGTGTCAGTCCAGGTCTCTCTCAACATTAAGCCTTTCCTCCGTGAGCGGGTTGGCATCCTCGGTCTGGGTTTCAGTTTTGAGCCTAGAGAGGCATGGCTGGATGACTCACGGCAGACTCTAACGGCTGCTAAGCAAGCTTATTTCTTCCATTATTCCCTCATGGTGGGTGCAGGAAACTACTCAAGTCATACAGGCACCATAATGGGACAGGAGATACCGCGATGCCTGAGTTGTCACAAGATAGGATGCCAGTGTCCAGTAACTCCTAACTCCTCATGTCTGAGTTGGGGGGCGGGAGGGGTTGTTTCACAGGAAACCACCTAATGTACTGTATTGTCAAAATTAAAGAGTCAATAATGATTTTAAAAAATCAATGGTCATCATAAATAATGCACCCCTCAAATAAAAGTATACGTGTGTGTGTCCCTCTACCAGTTTTAAAAATCTTTCCTTTTCTACACGCTTCACTGTTCCTGGTGCCGGTTTCTGCACTTCCTTCTCTGCACATTGACATGACACAGGCACGCAAACCCCAGGTGCTCTGCCGGCCGCCACCGCGCTTCTTGCACCCTCGGTCAGGCGTTGATGCACACGCGCCCCGTGAATATCATACAGAGTGTGCACTGCTGAGAGGCGCATGAATAAAAATTACAACTAACAAAAGGCAGTGGTAAAAAGGAGCTATTTGCACCTTAATAAAATCTGAAATTCTAAGCCTCTTATCTCAAGGGAATGTTTACGTAAGGCTTGTTGGGTAACATTTATCAACGTATGACTACATGGATTTTATGCAGTTACGTGCACCTGGTGAAACCACTCCTATTCCTAAGACAAATGTCTTCCCCTTTGAATTACATTATAACCTTGATAAAGTCTTTAAGCTGTTCATTCCACACTATCCTTTGGATAGGAAATAAGAATTTTAAATACTTGTAGAAGAAAGTAAACAGTTATGAGGCATAAAATAAAAATATATATTTGACAATAGTAAAAATTCACTGGACCGCCTGCAATCCCTTTAAAAGCCAGATGTATATCTGGATTGGAATAATTCCCCACTCCACTGGGAAAAGAAATGGGTCCAAAAAAAGAGTATTACAGCCCCCATACATTCTGATTTCCAGCTCTGAGAAGCCTAGGATGGCAGAAGGACAGGTCATAAGACAGCATCACAAATCAAAAATAACTTCCCCTGTACATTATATTAATAGATACTATAAATTTCTCTTTTTAATGCAAACCACCACCACCACCCACAAAGGAATGAGGACCATTGATACAGACCTCCTTATGAATTATAGTAATGCCTTTAAATTGTATCTTTTAACAACGGACAGTTTTAAAAGTGGTAGGGCGAGTGAAGAAGAGAGAACTTGGGAACCAGAGGGTAAGACCTAGGGACGCTCCGTGCCCGGCAGCTTGGGACAGCTACGGAGGGGCTCGGGTTCGCCCCCTTGTTCACCCGCCCTGTCACTCCGCAACTTCCTGTAAGAGAGTGAAGTAGAAGTATGTCCCCTGTTCTCCCTTTGCCCAACTTCTCCTGGGGCTGCCCCAGCTGACCGGATGCTTTACAGAGGCCATAAACAAAAGGCAGGGTACAGGGTTCCTCGGAAACGGAGACCTTTGACTTACCATACAAGCCACGACACCTGGGTGGCCAGCTAGCCGATTTTCAGCCCCAAGAGGAACAGCAAGTTAAGGATTTGCTCTGGACCCTCCACCCCTCCAGCCCTCACGACCACCCGGCTCTACAACCCAGCAGCTTTTATAGTTTCTAAACATTATATTCTCAGAAACACAGCTCTAAACACAGATCAGCAATCACATAATAAATTACTAGCAAATACTATTTATTCATTAATAGTACTAAAGAGTTTTGGGGGTGGGGATTAAATTTGTTGTAAATGCTTGAGCTATCTGTTCCACAGCATCTTATATGTTTTTCAAATAATTAGCACCTGATCATGAATTACTGGTAGTCAGGATCTAGAAAGCTACTTGTCCTCCAGAGGCTAATAGGACTGTACTGAAGCAGTCTTGTAGTTCTTCATATTTAGTGCCCTAAAATTAGAAAATAAATTCCCATTTAATTTTATAGGAACAGCTAATATATCTCTAGATTCTTGTAAAAACACTTTTCAATAAGAAATGAACAATCGAAAACCAAACTTTCTCACCAAGTTAAAGAGCTTCACTTTATATAAATCAAATATATTTAAAAGATATAATTTAAGAATGAAAAATTTGTTTATAGGACCAGTTTTAAATACTACCATATAGAGGTTTACTGTTTTAAAATTAGAGTAAAAGAGACTTAAATTTGATTTAGGATAGCATTTGTGATAATGTAAAAAGAAAGAGATTTCAATAAACTCAATATTATAAAACAGAAGATAAACTTCTGAGTTTTCAAAAAAAAAAAAATCAGTTACTCTTTTCTGTCCAAACATGTATACTTGGGCATCACAGAACTTTCTCATCTCTGGATAGAAAAGATCTCATGGAAAACTGCCCCCAGAATATTATTTCTGTAGACAACAGTTAAACTACATAAATACTGAAGGGCAGTCTTACTTTGTGATATAATAATAATATTGGTATTATAATCACTGTCTACAAGTGATAGGCTAGTGTTTTTATAAAAGAATATGAATTTGGCATCCTTTACCTAATCCATGGTATGATTACATTGAAGTTAAAAATAGGTAAATAAGTTTAATTGGCATTACAACTTTTTCAATGATAGAAATGACTTCTTTCACTTATTCATGATCTGCACACACAGACACAAAATGATGGCTTGTCCTTTTCTAATTTATATTCTGAGTTCCCGAGAACTTCTCAGTTTTCAGAGAGCTCAAAACCTGGTTAAAATTGAAGTTTTAAGATACTTCAATAACATACTTTTCCTTGAAGTATTATAAAGTGATGTTAATAGCATTTTAATGAAGAAGAACATTTCCAGTTTACACACAAGGTCATTTCAAAGTTAAGAACAGAAGGCTTAAGTGTCATTAAAGGTCTCCCTTTGAGAAGCAATGTCAACATGCACACCTCACTGAACTTGAAAGGTCTAAGGAGTCTCAAATGGCTCCATAAGATGCCACAGATTTGCTTCAAAAATTACGGACAGAATAGTTTTGGTGCACATCAATTAGGCTTTTTCAATTACAAATTTCAGAAGATGAGAAAGAGCTTCTACAAGGGAGAGCAGGTATGTGGAAAGATTGCTAAAATCACCCAAATGTGTTGTTTTTAAAAGTATGTACAAATAAAAAATACTAATTTGAAGAAATCTAAAAGTTGAAAACAATTTTTCTTGATATAGGAACTAAATGTAACATATTACTACCTTTTGACATTCAAGGTCATTATACTTTGAACTGGTCTGCTTTTTGGTCCACCTGGTGGGTGGAAAATCTTAGCATCTTTGCTGGAAGCCTGCTTGGCCAACTTAGCCATATAAGGGTCAGCAGAATGTGAAGGGTAAGGGTCAAATGTTCCTGCCTTCATGCCACCAGCCTACAAATAAAAATGAGACAATTTTATGGGGGTTTGTCAAATGGTTCTTAAAAATAAGATTTTGAAGAAGTTTATACATATTCATATACTGTCTTTAGAGTTGGTTTTACCCTGAAAGAAAGGTGTCTATTCTGTTTAATTTGAGTACCAGCAAAGAGTCTCCCTACCATCAATTTAATGGGGTAAAGACACTGTAATTCTAAAAGTTCTCCATGGAAATGCAAATGCTCACAGGAAAATAATAGTCTAAACTATTGCCAAGTATTAAAATTCTAGTGAGAGTTTATCAGGTCAGGCTGTCATCTAGTCAGGGGGTGAGCCCTCCCCTGCGGGACGGAGGCCTGGCCACACACAGTTAGACAGAGAAAGGGGCTCGGGCTTAGAACCAAAGGGTGGGAGAAGGGGCCAAGGGTGAGCTTCGCCCCACAGGACGCCCGGCAGAGCGTGCGTTTACTAAACTTCAGTCAATGAGGAGAAAGATAATTTTTAAAAAAGGAACAGCACATAGAAATAGAAGGTGAGAAGAAAATATATTCTGTATTTATTAATAATCTATTAAGGGAAACCTATCAAAATATTTTTGACCTACATACAAAACAGATAAATATTTGCTTTGACTTTATAAACTGATTTACCATGACTTTAACCTTTATATTATATACAGTTATTAAGAAAACACTATAGAATCATAATAACCCACCCTTTCTCTTACAATATCTAAGCCAAATACATATATATGAAAATTTAATTTATTTGAAAGATATAGCTGTAATTTTTCAAATTTTCTAGATTAAAAACATTTTGAAGAGCAAAAAATAGTAAGAAAACTTAAGAAATGTAAAATAGATTCAAACAATGTAAAAGTAGATAAATTTAAAAATAATATATGTGATAAATATACCAACCTAACAGATGATGCATTTGAAAATAAATTAAATAGATAAATCTATATTATAATTAAGAACATGAAAGGGGTGGAGGAAACCCATATATATATACAGAATACTAAAATACCATTTGGTAAACCTCTATGTTAAGGAACTTGAAAACCTGAATGAAATAAATGATTTTCAAAGAAAATATAAATGTTGAAATGGACTCAAATGAAGATAGAAAATCTATAGAAAACAGATAGGCAACATGCAAGAAAATAAGCCCAGAACATTTCCTATGGTAATTCCTTCAAGCTTTCAAGAACAGGTATTTCTGGTGCTATTTAAACTGGTATAGAACATAAAGAAGGAAATCTCCCTGGTTATTTTAAGATGCTAGCATCTACTTATACCAAAACAGAACAAGGCATACAAAAAAGTACAGATCAGTCACACTTAAAATCACTGATGGAAAGATACTTAATAAAATATGAACAAATAAAACAGTGTTACACTTAAAGGTTAATACAACACAGCCAAGGAAGACTCACTTCAAGAAATCTATTGTTACTCATCTAAAAACAAGTCAAAAGGAGGGGGAAAAGCATAAACAGATTACACCAAACAGTCAATACAATTCTACATACATTCCTGATTTATTCCTATTTTTGGCATCTATAAAATGAAACACGAGGGGTATCCTTATTGAACTCAAGACAAAGGCAAGGACGGCCACTGGTGCTGGCCTAAGCAACTGGACATGAGTATGACGTGAGAGATGTAAATATTGGGAAGGATGGAGCAAAGTTGTTTGCAGATAACATAACCATATAACTGAAAATCCAAAAAGAATCAACAGAATACCATTAGAATATAAGAAAGTTTAATGAAGCAGCCAGTTATTTTTTTTTAAATCAAATGTTTTATAAGAACAAATAACATGAGGAGAAATATGATGGGGAAACAAACAACTATTGGCCCAGCCTCAAAATAAGTGAGAATAAATATAAGATATGCAAGCCCATGTGAAGTATACTATAATACTCTACAAAGGAAATGCAGGTTTTTATGTTGTTTGTTTCTAGATCGGAAGATTCCAATTATGAATATCCAAATAAATCTTAAAATCTAAAGATTTAACTTTATAGCAAACGACCAAAGGTATTTTTCCTCCAGAACTTTACAAAATAATCCCAAAGTTATAGAGAATATGTATAGAACAGCCAACATAACATTTTTAATGAAAAACGAGAAGAGAGAAGACCACCCAATATTGAAATATAGTAGTAATCATTAAAAGCAACTTGATACTGTTATGAATAAACATATCAAAAAGAATGGAAATTTAGGAAAAAAATCCTCAAAAAATAAAAGGGAATTTTGACCTGAGGAGTAGCATTCCAAAGCCGTGCTGTTAAAAATTGTCCTATCAATAACATTGGGAACAACTGGCTTTTAAAAAATGTCAGTTTTACTGAAATCTAATTCACATACAATACACTGCACCCACTTAACGTTTATAACTCTGAGTTTTGACATGTATTTACACCCTTGAAAGCACACGCACGACTGAGACCCGGAACGCACCCCCCCACCCAAGTTCCCTCCTGCCCTGAGACCCGCATTCTGAAAAAGATAAAAGCTGGGGCCTCACCTCACTCTTCGCATCAACTACTGCAATGGGCAAAAGTGGGTTTACAGCTGCGAGTATGTGAAATACAGTTTATTCTTTTGTATTTTTATTTATTAATTATTGTATTATTTTCCATATGAATGATGGTAAAGCAATCTTTGCCCACCCCTGTATATTTCAGATGAAGATTTAAATTCAAAAGACTAAGGCTAACAGAAGAAATCAAAAAGTCTATTTTTCTAATGGTGGTAAGGTTATGCATCATAAAACTCCATGCAAGAGATAAATTTGACTCCATCAGATGACTGGATTTCTGAATAGCACAAAATTCCATAATCAAAGTCAAAGATTCAACAGACTAAAAAAATTATTTTCAACACAGATGACCAAAGAAGAACATCCTTAACATGAAAAGACCTTACAAATCAATACGGAAAAATACAAATATCCTAATAGAATATCTGCAGGGAAAATAAACAGGCAATTATAGAAGAAAAAAGTATATATAAACTAAGGTTTATAAACTATAAGAAGCTTTTTCATTTTTACTCAAACTTGTAAACTTCAGCAAAGTGAGAGAGCTCATTTTAATCATTTCAAAAGCTAAAAGATGGTCCGGCTCATTAAGGTTTTGAGAAAAACTATACCTAACATCTAGAGAGGCACTTAGAAAAATCCACTGTAAATTCAATTATATTTGAACTGATTAATAATTACTTAATAAGAGCTTCCTTATTTCCATACACTAGCCACACTTCGGGACTTTTCATAATTTTGAAAATATAAATTTTTCATAATAATGAAAAACTGGTTTCACAATTCTTGGCTTGAATATGAAAAACTGTTTATTTACATAGGTAGCAAAATAATTTGAAGCAAGAGGCACATACTTTCAAGTACTTAATATTTTTTCATTCTAAAATATGTAACTTACCTTTTTGCCAGGAGAAGATGGCTTAAAAGGGCTTGTAGATTCTGCTTTCTTCTCTGCTTTTTTAATTGGTGGTAAAGGTTTCTCCAAAAAATAAGGATTGGCATCAAAGTACTCTCTTGGGTAAAGATTTAACTTGAAAGGTGTCCCTTTAAGTAGACGATGGTGCTCTTCAATCTCTTTCTGTAAATTAAAGAGTTTGTAATTATATAGCATAAATTACTAGAATCAATAATAATGTAGTCGAATCTTATACATTTTATTTATTTATTTACTTACTTACTTACTTACTTTTTAGTCCTCACCTGAGGATACATTCATTTATTTTAGAGAGGGAAGAAGGTGGTGGGGGAGAGGGAGAGGGAAAGAGAGAAACATGGTTGGTTGCCTCTCATACACACCCCGACCAGAGACCGAACCTGCAACCTAAGCGTGTGCCCTGACCAGGGATGGAACCCGCAACAGAACGACACTCCAGCCGACTGAGCCACCAACCCAGGGCTCTTTTAAATTTTAATATAAGCACATAGGTTGTCACATATAGGCTGCCAGGTTCACAATTCTTTAAACATTCCTTTGTTATAGTCTGTTTTCATGATATGAAAGATATACTTACTTAGGAACAAGCACGACTATGACTGTCAATTTTGGGTATAAATTTATTTGCAGTATAGAGATCTACTTATCACCTAGACAAATCTATACAAATCTCTGTTAACTATCCAGGTGATATGAGGTAGGGAAAAAAAAAATATGTCTTTAGTTCTAGCCCTCACTCCTGCCTGCTTTCAGTGCTTCTCACCTCTTCCGTTCCTTCTTCTGGGGAGAGTTTATCAAATTTTAGTTGTCATGAATCACTTCATAAATTATTTAAATTCCCAGGTAGCAAACTCGCTCCTCGGAGATTTCTGACCCTGCCGGTGTGCCACACGGCCCATTAGCCTGCAGGGGTGACAGTCAGGCCCCCGGGGGACTCTGATGCAGGGCATCAGGGGCAGTGTTTTCAGGACCTGAATGTTGTATCTATCTGCTTCGCCAACCCCTGCCCTAGAGTGTGCGACTGAGTTCGATCAGTGCCTGTCTGTGAGGAAACTGCTCAAAGCCAAAAGAATCACCGAAAAAGATCAGAAGTAATAGCGCCCAGCCCGCACACAGAGCTGGGATGGGCACTGGCCCCTCGGCTGTGCTGGAAGCACGATCCCCAGGCCACTGAGTAGGGCACACAGAAAGGCCTCGCTCCAGCAGTGAGGAAGCGCTAGCCCTAGGTTTAGCGCTGTGTCCACCCACCACAAGGATTTTGAAAGACGACCTGAAAAAAATCAAACTATTTACAAACTTAACTGCATCCCAGGACAAAGCTCAAGAATGTTTGTAAGAATACAAAAATACTTAGCAATCTATAATGTGAAATTGGCAATGCCTGATGTCCTACTAAAAATTACTAGTACTGCAAAGAGTGTAAAAGGCCTATACCAGTACACTTCAGTTTTTAATCCGGCTGTGAAATGAAGTGAGTAGGATGAAGTGAGCGGTCTTCTCCATGCTGTCCCTCTCTCTGTAGATATTCGCCCATTCCCTATTTCCACTTTCTCACTTTTCTCCATCCTTCCTCCATTCTGTTCACTCATTATAATGGCTTGATCAGCCCCAAAGCACTCCCACTACTTTGTTAGGCTCAAGATATTAGGGCGTGGGGCGGAGGGGGGCAGGCTGGCCAAGGGTTAGGATATGACTGTTCTACTCAAAATAGAATGTAGTCGATCAGGTCGAGTTAACAGCTGGTTTAGAGAGATGTAAGACAGATGTAGTAAACTATCGCAGCAGATGGAAACTCATCCTGGAAGAACGGAGAGGATCTATAGCAAGATCTGATATCAAAAAATTAAGATTATCACAGTTTATGAACATTGGGTTGCCATTGCCCTAAGTAATACAACTATGTAAAACAAAGCAAAGCATCATCTGATCAAAACAAAATATGGTCACAAGTGAATTCTCTAAGTCAACTACATGAGAAAAGTTGAAAAAAATTAAAATATTCTTTTACCTTATAATTTAGTTTTGGCGCATCGTAGAAATCAGCAGAGTGTGAAAACTGTTTACCTATCGTAATATTTGCATAGCTAAGGAAAGAAAATAAGTAATGGTGACTTCAGGGTTCAGAAATTTTAAATTTTATTGTTTGAAGTTCAAAACAAATGATATGAAAGTATTAAACATATCCTACCCGTATCCAGTTCCTTTCTTTCCTGGGCTTGTATATAAATTCTTCCCAGGTGCCTCATATCTTTCTCTCGGTTTTGACTGTGCACTGAAGAATGGAACTGGACCACCTATTGTTCCATAGTAGCTTCCTACTCCACATCTTTCCGTTAAAAAAAAAAAAAAGGACAAGTTAAAATAGCCAATTTTGCATTATATATATTTTACCACAATTTATTAAAAATAATTATGCCCTGGCTGGTGTGGCTCAGTGGGCTGAGTGCCAGCCTGCGAAAGAAAGGGTCGCAGATTTGATTCCCAGTCAGGGCACATGCCTGGGTTTTGGGCCAGGCCCCCAGTAGGGGGCACAGGAGAGGCAACCACACATTGATGTCTCTCTCCTCTTCCTTCCCCTCTCTCTAAAAATAAAATCTTTTAAAAAATATAAAATAATTTTTAAAAGGGCATAATATATGCAATGTAATTGACTTGCTTAATTTTGGTAAGAAAAAAATCATTTCAATTTTAATTCAATTTTCTCCATGTTTCAAAGACAAATTTTGAGATGAGCTTTTAATCTTTTATGCTTATTTTTAATGCTCACATAAACAAAACTTCATAATCTCTAGGAAGTTAAAATTGCTCCCATTAATTCAGTTAACTATAACAATAAATAGACCCTTTCGTGTTTTTTAGATAAATTTCAAGGTATTTATGGCAAATTAGCTAATAAATGATTAATTACTTCTAACCATCCACTCATTAGAAACTATATTTTCAAAACATATAAATTTTCTACTGCTGTTGGCAAAATGAATCTCATGGAATTTTCCTGATTTCCTCCTTTTTGGTTTATACTTATTACTATAGAAAAAAATTAACCAAATATTTCTTAATTTTGATGTTAAATTTTCTGGACCCACAGTATATATATTTAATCATCAAACCACTTACCACCCAATGCTTTATTTTAACAAATACTATCTCTAGATTTTCATCATAAAAAGGATAACTGATGTTAGTAACAATCATAGTCTCTAATTTCCAAGTTATCAGTGAAGTAAATTTTAATAATCAGAAAATGGTATCCAAGACAAATGAAACTTTATTATTGTCAAAACTTGGCACTGTTTATACACTTGAATTAAAATTTTTAAAAACTAGGAAGACATCAACATTGATTACTTATTATCTCTGGCCTACAAATAGGTATTTTATCCTTCACATAATTTTAAATAAGGTTCCATCAGGAGATGATAATCGTTTTCATTCATTGCTATTTATGAATATATGTCATAAAATAAAATATAACAAGGAGATAGAGCAATGATATCACAGATAAAAGGTCAATTATGCACACGCATAATCTAAAGAGAATGTAATTTAATGCAAGCAATAAATATCAGTACATTTAAAATTTATTAAATGTCTATGGTTCCATAATCTGGTGTTGAATAAGTGCCAGTATAGAAGGCTTCTTATTTCTACCATCAATCTCTCTTTTTGGAAATACTTTCTGTATCCCACTAAATTACAGATTTTTTTTTTACATATTTGTGAGATTTAAAAAGAAAGGAAAATTAGTCTAACTACAAAATTGTTATTATTTCTTGGCTGACAAATGAACATAAGCACATTATAATCCAGCAATTTTCAACCACTGTGCCACCAGAATTGTTAAAATATGCAATACCTACCCGACTATTTCATCGGGGGCATTAACCTCTTTTTCCTTAGATTGTCAGATAAAAAAAATTACAACAGCCAACACAACAATAACCGTTTGATGTGAATGAATCAAAACTATACCTATTTTTTGTCAGATTGGCAAAAAATATATATTTTTTGGTGTGCCACAGGATTTTAGAATTAGTTTATGTGTGCCACAAGATGAAAAAGGTTGAAAATCGCTGTTATAATGTAATGTATCAAGGCAGCAATTCCCAGTTATTACCACAAGAGGCCAAAGTTCATGGGAGATACTGGAAAATAAGAAAAAGACATTTAAAAGGTAAAATACCTAAGCTACATGTAAAAGAAATGTAGTAACCCAAAAAATGCATTATCTAGGGAGAAAATGAAGAAGCCTAAGGAAAAAATAATAATAATAAAAATAAATAATTCAAACAACCTACCCAAAGTGTCAAAAGGTAGAAAAAGATTAAACTATAATAACAGAAAAAAAGAAATTCCCCAGCCTTAATAAAAACTTAGTCATTTTGACTTCGAAGATTAAAACTTTACTAATCTCAAGAAAATACCACAAATAAACACAGAATTAGCCTTCAACCAATGCTCATCTACCATAAATTATCAACTGAGAGAGTAACATTATTGAGTGTAAATTAACATATTATAAAACTCAGCTATATAATATGATATAGCCTAGGCTATATGATTTTATGTGTTTAATGATTTAAAGTTAAGAAAAAAATAAATCTTGGCGGAGTGGGGAGATATTGTATCATAACCATTAACATCGCAATGATGGATGAGGTAGGATTTCTGCTAAAAAAATGAATCTTCACATTGACAACTGTCACAACTAAAATGCATGCATGTTCACAATGATTTTTAAATAATGTATCTTGGCTAAATTATCTCCTTTATCAAAAAAGAAGGCTTTTCCTAATTTCACTTTTTCATTAATACCTTGTGAAAGTTTTTTTAAGCAGACAAAACAGTCTAGGGCACAGATATGAGGACCCCGAGGCGGTTTTTCTCCATCCTGATTATTGCCAGGTTTTTGATCAGATTTACATTCATTATTTAGTTGGCCTCTATTATATGAACTAATAGAGAACAGCGACATAGATAATCCAACATTATTGTGATAAGGAGAATCAATGTAATCAAAATTACCTGTCAGCCTAAATCTTTCAATATACCTGTCCCCACCTAAGACAAAATAACCAAAGGATCATACGCTAACAAATGAATCATACGTAAGACCTGTGGAAAAATAAGCACTTAATTTAGGCTACAAGAGAGAAAGTTGCAGATACATTTAAGACTTTTCCCAAAAACACTTACGGTTTTTTATCTCCACTACTAGGGAGGAAGGCTTTGCCTACATTTTTTTTGGCTTCTTCCATCATATTCCGTCTCCTCACTTGATTCAGACTGACATAGCCTTCACCTTCAAAAACCCTTCCAAAGTAGGGATCAAAATAACCTGCCTGGAGACTGGACATTTCTTTGGATCCCCCAGGTAGCATTTGTTTATTTTTGCTTGCCGCTTCATTAAAGGGTCCTTTAAAAATAAATTAGGAATATTATAATTTTGAGCTTACCAGTAATGAAAGAACTTGAAAAATAACTTATAAAAGTTTCAAAATACGACATGAGCCAATAAGTTTTGAGACCTAAAACCTGTTTCAAAATGTTCACTGAAAGCTCTGTGTGAAAGGCTAGGTTGACAATGAGACCTAAGACGGTTGCATTCAAATATTTTAATAATTAGAGTAAGGTCCTGGTTATAGACTGTGAATTTCAGAGCTGGAAGGGACCTTAGAGGATACCTAATCCAATGCTTTGCCATCTACATACTGGGAAACACTGTGTGTGTGTGTGTGTGTGTGTGTGTGTGTGTGTGTGTGTGTGTGTGTGTGTGTGTTTTTGAAGGGGAGGGTATTCCACACTCAGACCAAAGCAATTGCCCTCCTGGGCATATAGGTGTGAGAGCCATTATCCACTAAAAGACATGAACAAGAATGTTCATGGCAACGTCATTCATTATCATCAAAAACAATAAATCGTTTAAATGTCCATCATCAGGAGAACAGATAAATAAATCGTAGCATATTTATACAATGAAATAGTGGATTGGCCAAAAAGTCCATCTAGTTTCTCCCCTACAATGGCTCTAGCCGTGCTTAGTTGTCTTCAACTTCATTCGACACAATTTTATTAGGCTATATTGTGACAGCTGTCATATCAGTGTGCATTTAAAAAAAATCAAAATTAGTGAATTTTTGTGCAGCCATTTTAATATCAAAAATGGGAGAAAATGAGCAACATTTTCAGCATATTAGGCTTTATTATTTCAAGGAAGGTAAAAATGCAACTTAAACACAAAGGATTTGTGCAGTGTATGGAGAAGGTGCTATGACTGACTGTACATGTCAAAAGTGGTTTGGTAAGTTTCTTAGTACTGTTGACATTTTAGCCAAATAATTCTTTGCTGTGGGGTTGTCTTATGCATGGGAAGGTATTTAGCAGCACCTTTGGCCTCTACCCACTAGAAGCCAATAGCAGGAGATAGCCAACATGCTCAAAATATCCAAATCAATAAAGTTACTGGTGAAAATGAAAAATGTGTTTTTTATTTTACAGAAAAAACTAAACAGGCTTTTTGGACAAGCCAATACTAGAAGCTCTAAAAAAAATTTTAAAGGCTGTTTTTATGAGTATTTAGAATTTCTTTTATCATTTGGATCAATTTGGGAAGTTCTTTGGTAATGTAAAGAATTTTTTGAAGTGCAAACAATCCTAAGTCAACTGGTTATTTAAATATGAAATTGTGTAACTGATTTTTCTAACTTAAATTTTTGAAAAGTAATACCTTCGCATGGTTCAAATGCAACAGTATAAATATTTTTACAATCTTCCACAGTTGGCCATTCAGTTCCTCTCCCACAGACAATCGTGGTATTAGTTTCCCAAAGAACGGTTAAGCATGTTCCAATAAATATTTTCATATATATTCTTGTCTATTTTTAATGCTCAGTATGCTATATACACTATTCTGCAACTTAATTTTTTATTTAATAACGTATCTTGGAGGTATTTCATATTGATAGATTCTTTCTTATTGTTACATAGAAGTCATCAAATAGCCAAACATTTAACTGAGACTTTTAAAAGGTTTATTTACTTCAGCTCTTAGTATTTATAACTCTTCTAAAAATCCCTCTGCTGTTCATTTGGCATTTCATTTTTCAAGAAGGGATGACAGATGGACTTTTCAGGTGCAAATGTAAGTGCTATTTGCATAGCAGAATGTCCCACTTAGGAATAAAAAAGCTAAAAATATATTGTGGGAGAAAACTACCATGAATCCTTGGAAAGAAATAAAATTACCTATGAGAAAAATTATAAAGGTAGGGTAGCGCAATGAAATGAGCCTCCTGCTCTTACGAAATGACATTTTCTGAACGCCATTGAAATTTCACAAGTGTATTCAACTTTAGTATGAATCCTTTAAAATAGGGACCATTAAATATACCACTTAACTTACATATTAAATCGAAATGTTCATACAGGAAATGTCTACTATCAGGCTGTAAGGAAAACTATACTTACGATTAAATTGTGACACGTATTTATCGCCAACAGTGACATATTCCATCTCACTGAAGAGGCCAATCCTCTCCATGTCGGTTTTCCCTCCCTCTGCAGGCATGGTTGCTTCCTGGGCAGGTGTTCTCTATAATGGTAACTTCAAAAGGCTCCTTAGGGCTGCTTCTATTACAGCCCCAGTCTACCTCGCAAGGAGAAACACAGGAGGGAACGTTTAGAAAAATGGTGACTAATAAATTTCAGTCTAAATTACTTTCTGAAAGTTAATACTCTCTATAAAATAATAGTCCCAAACTACGTGGGAAAAGAATCTACTTTGGGGCTGAGGGGGAATTGTGAGATTAAAAATTATCACCGTGAACCCCCCTCTTGATTCTCCAGGTGAAATATCCACGGATTACTAAGTGTGTGACAGTATTGTCCCATTGCCATTCAGCTGTTGTACACGATAACCTTATTACTGTACACTGAGGTACAAATGCTGTGCAAACAATGCCCTTTCTTTGAGTTCAAGTTAGAATTCAAAGTCCTAATTAACTAAGGCAGCCATTTTCAGCTTAGATCAAAAGATTTTAACATACTGCATTGTCCCTCATATTGAAAATTACAACTTAGCTTTTCAGGATGCACAACACAAAGAGGTATGACTCTACAGTTCTTGAGTTTTTTCCAGGTTAATGGGGGAGAGGACAACTGTCTAGACAAGATAAAAACAAAGAACAACAATACCAACAAAAGTCCACAATGAATTCAAAGTATTTGTTAAAGGGTAGACTGTAACTGTGATTATCTTTTGAAATATCACATTTAACATGCAACTATTTACTTAGATATCTTTTTTTTTATTAGACTTGTTAAGAAAAAGGGGGGGGAGGACCAAAGAGCTAACAATACTTGCCTCCATTTCCTCATATTTTTAAAGCACCAACTTGATTTAGCCACTGGGCATCCATTTGGGGAAAAAAATCAATCATTGACTTAGGCCTTGAATACAGAGCAAGTTGTGTCAATGACACTAGACTTCTGTATCAGGAATTGAGGCTCATCTGAGCGTGAATCGTTGCTACTGTGTAATATCAAAGGGGCAAGTGAAGACTCCTGCTAAACTAAAGCGAAGATAATATAAGCCCTTCCCCTCATCCTACCTCTTTCCCTAACCAGGTGCGTTTTCTTTTTTTTAAACTAGGGGTCAGTCCCTTGGAGTGTACTTCTTTGGTTTGCGCGGTGTTTCAAAGCTCCATCCCCACTGCCCAACCACAAAGCTCCCTGTGCCTTTACAGGGGCTCCCAACGCCGCTACTGCCCTCATCTGTCGCATGGGGACCCTGCTCCCTGGCCCGTGGGCTGCATTTGTCTTAAGTTCTCAGGTTGATTCCTCCCCAGTCACAGGACGGTGGCACACGCTGTGTCACTATAGGCAGGCACTTAACTGTGCCAAGCCCTTTCGTTCCCCCAGTTAACACTGAGCCTTCGTATTATTTAGTTTGTTCATCACTTCAATTCCATCTATCACAGCCGCGGGTACTTCTCTGTGTCCTCATGATTATAGGTTATCATCTTATATCCACCGTGTACAGATCCTTAAATTAACAACTCTGCTCTATCCCCGCACCTCCAAATTGTTGGCTTCACAAAGGCAGGAAACAGGGTATGAATTTGGTTATCACAGTATTCCCAGCGTCGGCGCCCCACCTGGCGCAACCGAGCGAGGGAAGTCTTCCCACTGCTTGACCCTTCTTCGTCGAACATTTACAAACTCATTCATTCATGTTTTCAGTAGATTCTTTGCAAGTCCCTCCTCTGGGTAAGGCTCGCCAAGAAAAATACGATTTTAAAAATCACAGGTGCTGCCGTCAGAGAGCTTACACTCTGGCAGACAAGTTCATAATTAAGTAGAACACGACTGGGACATGGCAAGCTCCCTTCGAAAGGCGTGGATAAAACGCTGGGGGTCGAGGGGAGGGTGCACGAGGGGCAGAAAACTTCTGGCTAACCTGATAAGGAAAAAGATTTCCCACTAGGGAAACTGAGGCTCGGAGTCGGTAGGTGTCTAAAGGGCAACACCTGGCGGCCGCGAGGGCCAAGTCACCTCAGAAGGGCACTCAATCCGACGACCGAGACCAGGTCGTCTCCGCTCCGGTCCGGGTTAACTCAGCTTTAGGAGCCACAGGGGCTGCGATCAAGCCTCGTGCAAGCGCTTCCCGATCGGGGACTCGCCGCGAAGAGCCACTGCACGTTTGGTGCCCAGCTGGTGTTTATTGTGACAAATTGCCTCGGGGACGGGAGAATCCATTCCAAGGACGCTAAGAGGGACGCGTGGAGACTTCGCATTCGCCATAAGGAACACGCAGAAAGACTTATGCGTCAGTTGGGATACGAATGATTCAACCAATAATGTTCACCTATAAATTGTAATACAATTTGTTCTGTTAATTACAAGACTGCTGCTCCCCGCCCCGTCCTTCGTCCGCGAAGCGCTGTGGCGTGGTACGTCCCGTCACGTCGCCGCAGGGCATGCTGGGAGTTGTAGTCCGCCGTCCCAGGCCCCGCCCCCGATGACGACCAGTCCAGACCCGCCCGCTGAGCTGGTGAGCGGACGTCAGCGCCGCTGTCATCGCCACGTCGCAGGCATGGTGAGTACCTCTGCTCGCCGCCGACCCCAGCGTTTCCCTGCGGACCTCGGGAGCCGCCACGACGACGGCTCCAGAGCCCTTGAAAGGAGCTGGTCCCGGCGGGGCCCGCGATGGCAGCCGCGAACCCCGCTGCCTGGGCCGCCCTGCCCTCGGCCCCGCCGCTAGGGCCGGAGGGACGCTGCCCGCACCGCGTTGATCCCCAGCTCCTCCGCATTTGGCCGCGCGCCGCCTGAGCTGCCTCCCTGTAAATGCATTTTAAGGACGAGAGAGCATTCGGCGTTTTTGAAGGTTTTGAAGAAGTATCGGACCTGGGAAAGATGAATAACTTTCTTCGAATAGCCTGTTCGCTCAGTTCCACTGATGCCACACTTCCGGTTTCCCTCCCTGGTAGTTGCTCCGCCAGGTCCTCCAATCCCTACCCTACACGCGGTGGTGTTCTTCAGGGACACTTTTCGCTACACCCTGTACCTTCTCCCAAATTTGTGCCTGCAGCTGAGGCCTTTATTTTGCGCTGCAGACCCACACATCCGCTGACTGTACCTCTGCTGGGATCGCTCACGTGCATTTCAGGCTCAGCAAGTTCAAAACTGACTCATCGTTCCCACCTCCCCCCATTCCACCCCTGCTCTTCTTCCAGGGGTCCTACCTCAGTTCACTGTGCCCCACCCACCCTCTTGGGCACCCAAAAACCTGGGTGTCGCCCTTGACATCCTCCTCGTGTCAGCCCCTGCACATCTGCTCAATAACCGGGTCCTGCGGCGTTCACTTCTAAGCGGCTGTAAATCCTCAGTCTCTGTGCTCTTACCATCCTTGTCCTCGCCACCAGCATCTCTCCACCTGCCTAGTCTCTTGCAGGGCCATTTGCACTCTGAATGCCCGGACTGCGCTCGTCCGCCCACCCCCACCCCCACCCCCACCCGTCCTTTGGAATTGTCACGCCGGTCCCTGCGCACTCTTCAGACCTCAGCTGAAATACTCTTTCTTCTTTCTAGGCAGGCCTCGGGGGAGCCTAGTGCTTTTACATGGGATCTCTTATGAAATCTGCACAACCATCCTATGAAGTCGTGCATTTTTCCAGTTTTACTGGAGAGTAGAGAAGACGAGTAATTAGTTAAACTGTGCAAAAGCCTAGCCTAAGTCACCAAGTTAAATTTGTTCTTGGCTGTCTTTTTAGCTTTTGTCTTCTTCGGTATCTTTCATTGCCATTAAATAGTTTCCACTCAAATGGGTGCGTAGCATTTTGTATGGTAGTATTGTTCTTTATTTTGCCAACTTATTGATAGCTATTTTGGTGGGGTTTTTTGTGGGAGAGGAGCTGCTATGATGAACAAGAGGATGGTAAGTGGACAACATTGAAGCTAAATTTGTCTTGAACTTTCTTGATTATTTCCTTAGAAAAAATTCCCAGAAGTAGAATGGGGCAAAGTGTATGACCTTCCAACAGGTTACAGTTTATGAAATAAATAAAAGCAGTTACCCTTTTAAAAAATGTGACAAAAGATTTGTAAATGAGAAAAATGGTAACAGTACCTACTCAATAATATTCTGAGGATCAGAGTTAATATACATCCAATCGCTAGCACCATGCCTTTTACATTTTAAGAGCTCAGTCAATGTTAGTACTTACTCGTTTATTTCCAAATAAGGCTCTTACTATTTAGTGTGAGTCTTCAACCTGTTTGGGAAATATTTTCTGACTCTGATGAATTCTTTGAAACCTCTTTCCAGAGATTCTCTTTCTCCTCCCCTCCACCAAACAAAATGGTATATACATCATTTGTCATATCTCATCAAATACCTGAAGCTCAGTACATGTACCCAAGTTAAGAACTGCTAATAGATTCCATTTTACAAGTGCTTTTCTCCCTTTATAAGTTGCATTTTCCTATGCTGTGAAATACTCTTCAAAAGCATGATTTTTTGTGGCTGTATAATATTCATGATTACTTAACCCATATCCTATTGTTGACATTTAGGTTAGCATCCTTCTACCTGAATCTTTGTTTTGCAAATTTCCTTAAATTTCTAAATTCACACTTACTACTCCAAGGATGTGAATACAAGGCTTTTGGTTCTGGTTGCCGCATTGCCTTATGAAGTAGTCTACAGTTCATACTCCTACCATTGGTCATGTGTTAGTTTTCCCTCATCATCTTGACCACCAAATACTATTATATTAGGTTCAGTGTTTTTGTCCCACTCTTAAACTAGTTCATTGCCATTGATGTTTTCCTGTCATTGTTAAGCCCATTGTTAAGACTGTAATTTAGAAATACGGCCTTAGAGCAGTGGTCCTCAGCTTTTCCACACTAGAATCACTGGTGTGGGGGAGCTTTTCAACATGCTTATGCATAGACCCTCCACAGACAACAATTAATCCAGTCTCTAAGGGTGCAGCCCAGGTAGCAGTATTCTAAGTTCCTTGGGAGATTTCAGTGTGGAACAAAAGTTGAGAACCCTGATTTAGAATTTAGGGTGTTTTGGTTTGTGTTTCTTCATAAAACGAAGAATTAACTCATGAAATAATTTGAAAAGTCAAAGTCAATCAATGCCTTAGCCTAAACTCAGATTCTAATGTGTATGAGGATAAGTTTGTTTTGTTTCACACTGGAATTTTTGTTTTACTTGTCTTAGGTGACTTCAGAGACTATGGATATACTCTTCAGAATAAGGGGAGGGCTTGATCTAGCTTTTCAGCTAGCTACTGCTAATGGTAGGTCCGTTGGAAAACTCTTCTTTTTATTATAAAATTGACAATGAACTGTACCGAGATTCTTACCAATTTGCAAATGAAACTGAGTGCAAGATATGTCCCGATTAGACAAATCTGTAGACAAAGAGTAGATCAGCAATTGCTATCGGTAAGTGTCAGGGAATAGGGAATGACCACTGATAGGTACAGTTTCTTTTGGGGTGACGGAACTGTTCTGGAATTAGAGAGTAATGATTGTAAAAGCTTGTGAATACACTAAAGGCAACTGAATTGTACTCATTGAAAGAATGAATTGTACGGTCTATGAATTTTATCTCAATGGTTAAAAAAGAAAGGGAAAACTTTTTTATACATATTGAATGTGGGGAATGGCTATGTGGAAGTCCAATTCTACTTCTACTTTTGGGTATTTAGAAGCATTCGTGTTGAAAAGTTTAAAATTTGGCTAATTAACTTCTATTTACATTCCTTTCATTGAGAAATTTTTATCAAGAAAGCACTAAAACACGTGTTGAGTGACCTGTCAACCAGGCTTTCTTCGGATGCACTGGTGTTCAGAATTCGCCACAGCTCACTGTACATGTGGCCTAACAGCGACAGAAACACTGTACCAGGGGAACTGACTGACGATTCGGCTTGTAAGACCATCTTGCGTTTTATTCAGTGAGTATGCTTGAAGATTGCTGTAAATGTTTTCAAAATGTAATTTCGTATTATAAACATCTTTGTGTATTAAAAATTTAGATGTGAACAGGAAGAAGATATAAAACGAAAATTCATGAGAAAGAAAGACAAAAAGTTATCAGACATGGTAAGCAAATCACCTGTCTTCTTAGTGGTAAAAGTTTTAAATCCTTGAATTTGGAGTTGAGATCGTAGAAATTAGAAATATTCAGTCCACCCCTTAGTTTTTACAGATCAGATTATTGAGGACCAGAAAGATAAATGACTTTCCAGAAGTTGTATCTCTTTTTTTTTCATATCTACACTTTTGTCCCATTATAACACTTACCTTAACAATTTTTTGAATGCTTTCTTTATTCCCACAAAAACAGCTTGAGTACATTTATAAATTACTTAAAATGAAATAAAAAGGAATCATTCTGAAACATGCAGTGACATACTATGCTATGTGACACAGCTAATAATAAATTATTTACTTTTCTTCACGCTGTTCTTGGTTCTGTTGATTTTTGAACCAATACTATTGAGTACCTGCCTGCCATGTGCTGCAAACTATGCCAGATATTGGACATAAAAAATGGAGCTACTTCTTCAAGGCAGGAAGTTCTACAAAATTAATTTGACCGTAGTGTATTTCCAGGCTGGGAGGGGACACGGGGGACATGAGATTGGAGGTGGGTAGGTGACACCTCAGGAGAAGCTGAACTAAACTAGCAGCTATGGTAACAGAGGGGAGAGAAAGGATACAAGAGATACTGAGGGGCTACAATGCATTACACTTGGAAACTAACTGGATATGGGATAACCAGTTTCTTGCTTGAGAGACAAGGGATGTCGGGGAAGGCATGAGGTGTGGCTCATGTTATGTGTGAGACACAGTTTCTAACCTTTCCCAGAGAGAAACCCTGCTTCCAGGATCCTCAGTACCTTGCTGCATTTGTTCCATGTACAAAAAGCATTTTCAGAACTCTCGTTCCACGCCGCTGTCAAAATCAACTCCACTAATAAAATCCAATACTTGTTTATAGTTCTTTATGTCTTTAAAGCCAGGGTATTGATATATAGTTTAAAAGTCCCCTTAGTGTGTGGTTATTGTATCTCGTTCATTTGATTTAAAAAAAAAAAAATGTAAGTCTCTGTAAAAGTCGAGAGAACACTACAATGAATCCTGGCGAACCAGCTTTAACGTTTATTACCACAGAGCCCGTCTGCTTTCTTTGTCACGCCCCACGCACTGCGCACCGCTCCTCAGAGTATTCTGAAGCAGAGAAGAATTTTTGTTATGATAAGATTTGGGCCTTTAAACAATTTACTGTCATACAGCTTTGGCCCTTAAAAAGTCTTTTTACTTACCCTTTTATATTTAGTGTTCAGTGTGCTAGACCTCAAGTATTGCTGTTTATCTTTACAGAATCAAATAGTAAATATAGACCTTATGCTGGAAATGTCAACCTCTCTGGCGGCCGTAACCCCCGTCATTGAAAGAGAAAGCGGAGGACACCACTACGTCACTATGACATTACCGGTGGATGCAGTTCTGTCCGTTGCTCCTGAAGAAGCCTGGGGGAAGTACGTATTTTACCGCACTACTGCCACATTTCAATGAGCTCTCCGCCCCCCACGAGCCAGAGTCCACGTGTAAGAATCATTACAGCACATCCAGGGCAGTGGTTGTGGCTTCTAGTATGATTTACTCCCTGACTCTTACTAAGCTAGGTCATCTAGTAATTAAACGTTCGCTTGGAAGGAGGGTAGTCTGCAAAACCTAGATATAGGGTTTTCCCTTTATCTGCACAGAGGAAACATAGAGTTTATTTAACTTTTCATAATTTAGACTTCCTTTAGTAAGCCTGGTCCAATCAAGGTTTGTTTTTTTTTTAATACTACATTAGGGATATATTAACTGCGCACATTTTCATTTATCATTTTTCATCACTACTATAACTTCTGTTAATGCGCTTGTATATTCTCCCCGCAGAGTTCGTAAACTTCTAGTTGCTGCAATTCATAATCAACTAACTGATATGGAAAAGTGCATTTTGAAATACATGAAAGGAACATCGATTGTGGTCCCTGAACCGCTGCACTTTTTATTACCGGGGGAAAAAAGTCTTGTGACAATTTCCTATCCATCAGGAATTCCAGACGGGCAGCTGCAGGCCTACAGAAGGGTAAGGCCAGTTCATCTGGTCTGAGAAAAAGCATGGCTGTCATTCACTTCATATTTACTTGCATATTTCTCATAAATGGAAATCATTTTTACAATGTGGAAATAGGCTATTAGTTTTATATATTATTTAATTCCTGTTCTCATGGAACTTCTTTTTTAAGTATTATGAGTTAAAAAAAATATGTAAACCCATATGCAACATTTTAATTTTATATGCTCAGCGTGGTTCATGTGTTCCATGAAATTTATTGTTTTCCCATAATAAAATAAAGAACTGAAAAGGTGCCTACAAACCTAGAGAAGCTGATGAGTGTTAATAATATTTTCCTTTCATTACTAGCAGATTTGTGAAAAAGACAAGATTACAGTTAGGGAAGGGAAATTAGGATTCATGCTAATTCTAATTAGGATTTATAGTAACAGTCCATCCCTCCTCTATTTCCCAGGCGTATTTGGGTTTTATTAGTGGCATTTAAAGAAAACATAATCAGCACTCAAAGAAAGGAGACTTACTGGCACCATGACTGGTTTTAGAGCACATAGTTTTGACGTGTGGCCTTGCCCAGCTCCCATCAAGGTCTACCGTGGGAGCAGCTTCCCAACCTCCGAACCTGAGAAGAGATACAACACTGTCGCCCTTGTAGGGCTCTGTGCTAGACAAACTGATACATGGAGGCAACAGCTCCAGGAGCTGATGATCTTGTCCAAACTGCTAGAGTACACAGGACAGATGAAAAAGAAAATTTCAAACTTTCCAAAGTAACTCTTACATATTTTTATACAATTGGGAATACTTTTGCAGGTTCAACATGTGTATTTTTATTTCAGTGCCATATTGGTTGGTTTCATAACACCCATTCCTCCGCCCCCCGCCACCCAACCCCGCCAAAAAAAAGATGGCTTATTTTTATTGGGAACAGAAATGCTAACTGGCCACAGCTTTAGTGGTCAATTATGTGAATTCACAAATAGCCAAAAAAAGAATGTGTGTTTACGAAGTTCTGATTGCTAAGAAAAAGCAAGGGAGAAGAAGCTCTCAGAATTTCTTAAACATACAGCCACGTGTACAGCTTCATTTCGTAGCTTTTTTATTCCCAGTTTCTCCCCCTTTGCCCTCCTGTGCCCGTCCCACGCCCCACTCTTGCAGTCGGTTCCCACTCTGCTGTCCATGGCCACAGGTCACTCATACATGTTCTCTGACCAGTCCCTTCCCCTTCTTTCCACCGTTATCCCCCTCCCCTCTCCCTTCTGGCCACTGTCAGTCTGTTCCATGTTTCGGTGCCTGTGGTTCTATTTTGTTCATTAGATTCCTCTTAATAGGTGAGATCATACGGTACTCCTACCTTTTGCAACAGCATAGATGGAACTAGAGACTATTATGTTAAGTGAAATAAGCCAGTCAGTGAAAGACAAATACCATATAACACCAATTTCTACTCTGAAATTTAATCTCCCCCCCTTATACTTGCTAGGTACTCTAAGCATGATTTTTAAAAATTTACTGATTTTAGAAAGAGAAGGAAGAGAGAGAAAGAAAAATCGATTTGTTGTTCCACATATTTATGAATTCATTGGTTGATTCTTGTATGTGCCCTGGCCAGGGATCAATCCTGCAAGCTTGCATATGGGGATGATGCTCTAACCAACGAAGCTACCCAGCCAAGATGAGCATGATATTTTAAAATACTTTAATTATAGCATTTACAAGACTATTTCAAAACCAGTCTTTATCCTGGATGTACTGTAACAGACTGTGTTATAATAATTAATTTTATCTCAGTTCTCTCACAGTTAACAAATTATTTTCATTTTTCCACATTCCCTTCCAGTTTCTACCCATATACATAGATAAGCCAAAATAAATCGTTTGGTTTTAGTTTATGCTTACCTTCATTGACTTTAGTGAATTAAACCATGTGTGTTTGATAACTTTTATAACCAATATATAGTTAATTTTCTGTGTTTTATATCTTTAGTTTGAGTTTATTTACTGACTAGAAATTTAAATCATTTAACTTTTTTCCTGTTCTTTCCTATTGATTCTGATTTCATTTAGGAATTACATGATCTCTTCAACCTGCCACATGACAGGCCTTATTTCAAAAGGTCTAATGCCTATCACTTTCCAGATGAACCATACAAAGATGGTTACATTAGAAACCCACACATTCATCTCAATCCACCTAATGTAGAGACTGGTATGGTGAGTTTAATTATTATTTATGGGAGTCAGTTAATCATTAATATCATTAATTTCTTGTTTGTACCAGTAGAATTCGTAAGGATTGATTCACAATGTATGTCACCCGTAAAACATAATTCACCGTCATTTCTTTTAATAATCAATTGCTTAAGATAGCAGTAGTTCACAGTGCTCTAAAAAGGTTAAGAATAGATAATATGTACCACATTTCTCATATTAAAATTCCATTCCCTACTTTCTTTAAAGGCTGTCTCCTTTTACTTTCATTCTGTAGCTGAGAAATCATGCTAATTAAGGACACAGTCTACCCAAACCACACTGTAGTAGAAGTCTATTAAAGGCACTACAGTGTGTTTTCTGTGCTGTGTGTACCTGGTTGAAAGGGTAATCTTCACTCAAGTTGCTGCATAAGGAGCGTGGGGGAAGGGCTCTATTAGGGACGCACGTGGTGGGCCAGCCGGAAAAGGTCTCGTGACATCCAAGAATCAGAGTGTTTGTACAGCTGGCCTCTTAGAACAAAGCATCTGCCTCGGGCTCAGGCCGATGTTGACTCCTTGGTGGCCTTCCTGCTACTCTGTCTGCTTTGGCTCCTAACTGGCCTGTTCCCTCCCATTACTCTTGTCTTTTCTCAGCCTCATGGCTTTCACCTCCTCTTTGTTTCTGCGTGTGTCTGACCTCTTCCTCCTCTCCTCGTAGCTGTCCATGGTGCTTCACGCCCTGCTCGCTCCGCACCTTCGAATTCCCAAGACCACAAACTCGATTGGCCATCTCAGCAGGGCATTTGCTCAGTACCGGCTGAGCCTCCAGGTGCTTTGTAAGGAAACCTTAAGTAAAAATGAGTAAGTGACACAGAGTCTACCCTAGAGGGGTCAGGGGTCCCCCATTCCTGGCTGTCAGAGTGCACTTGGGACCGCAGGGCCATCTGCAACAGCCCCGGGCAGACCGGCTCCCCCAGGAGGACTTGGCTGGACACTCGCTGTCACTTGCACACAAATGCATCTTTAGTCAATATTTCAGTGATGCTACATGATTCCACTTATTTTTGCTTGAGAAACTTATTCCTAGTTAAAAATCTTGCTCTGTCAGTCACAGAATCACAGGAGATAAAAAACTTAGAGTCTTAGTGTAACTCCTGATGGTTCTCTAGTAGATTATTACATAAATGTTTTCTCTCCCAGATGATATTTGGAACATCTCTAGGGTAGATGCTGTTATCATCTACTGATTTAATACTTAATATTTCCTTATAAAGTGCCAGACACGCAGCAGGTACTGAATAAATGCTGACTGATTTTTTTACAATGAAATGGGTTTATTATTTCTATTAGGGAGATACAAGAAGCATTTGTATAGTTTTAAATATTATATAACACTTGATATGTACCTATAACATATATGTATATTGTAAAGCATAGTAAGGAAATGAATACCAGAGAGCTCCCTACTCAATTTAAGGACCGGAACATGACCGGTCTGTGTGTTCCTTCTTTATCCACTCCTGCGCCTCCCATCCCCCGCAGAGGACTATTATACTGAGTTTTATGTCATCATTCACTTCCTTTCTTTTAATAGTTTTACCATATATGTACATATTTCGACACTGTCCTTTCATTTTGCTTGAGTTATTCTAAAAAGTGTCATTATGTCTGTAGTCTTCTACAACTTGCTTTTTCACTCAGTGCTATGTATCTAAGGTTTATTCATGGCATTGTCTTATTCAGTAATCTTTATTGCTGTATAATATACCTTTGTATGATTTTTCCCCAGGTTTTTTGCTACGTAAGACAACCCTGCTATAATCAGTCCTATATATGTTTCTGGTTACATTTGTTCAATCGTTTTCAACATTTTACCTAATTTACTTTATTTCTCCTTTTTTCTCCCCTTGAGTCATTTCAAAGAAAACTGCAGACAGCATGCCATTTACCCCTACCTACTGCAGTACAAATCCCCAAACAATAATAGATTTGCATTCATGGTATGAACCTCTTTGTTTACAGTTATTATTTTTTATTCTCTGCTGGATTTAGTTTGCTAATATTTTGTTAAGATGTTTGCATCTTTGTTCATGAATGATACCGGCTTATACAAGGAGGGACCCCCCCAAAAAAACGGATTACTTTATTTATAAAAACTGACGTTGTTCCAAGTTAAGGCATTTTCAAATTACTCTGCATTTGATGCAATATACCTATTGAGATTTTTTTTTCTGCTGCTCAAAACAGCTTTTGAATTTATCAATTTTGGTGCCTTTTAATGCTTCTGCCATTTTTTGTTTTACCTCATACACATCGGAAAAACATTTCCCTTTGAGGACTTTTTGGGAAAACAAAAAAAAAAAAGTCACTTGGGGCAAGATTAGGTGAATAGACGGGGTCCAGGGGTCATGTCATTTTTGGTCAAAAACTGCTGAATACTCAGCGTGGTATGGGCAGGCGCGCTAATAAACCACCCATCATAAATGGGCAAATGCACTGAGTCTTCAAAAAAAGGTCACTGAAGCCAAATGCAGCCTCTCACAACAACGCCAGCTGGTCCCCAGATACCATGGGCCCCCAGAACACTCTCCTAGCAGGGGAAGCCTGTGCTACGAGGAGCCCGCCCTCCAGAAGAGAATTCTGGTTTTTTGTAGGCTGCCCCCTTATTACTTTTTTTCTCATACTGTTCTTAATATCTTTTTTTTGTATCAATATATCAGCAAATTGAAAGAGCTGGGGAGAGTCCCTTCTTTTTTTAATTTTCTAGAGGAGGTTATTAGGATTAGCATGATCTTACCTTGATCATTTGGTAAAACTCACCTGTAAAACAATCTGGGCTTAGCATTTTCTATGGGAAGATTTTTAGTAACAGGTTTAATTTTGTTAATGGTTATAGGACTTTTTCTTTTTTGTAAGTTATATTTACCTAAGTTTTAGTCTTTGCTGTAGTGCTATTTTCTTTTTCATTCTTCATTTCATTTTTATGTCTTTAAAAAAAAACTTTTGGCTCTGTTGACCTATTATTGTAATTTTGTATTCTAATCTAGTTCATTAATTTTTGCTCTTTACTTCCTTCTTCCTTTACTTTCTTTTAGTGTTGTTTTTCTTCTTCTTGAGTTGGACACTTGGCTTATTGTTAGTCTTCTGTTTTTCTAATTCAAGGTTCTAAATCTCAACCTAAACACTGCTTTCACAGGTTTTAACTCGACGTATTTTAGTTTTATTCATTTCTAAGTATCTTTATTGATTTTTAAACCCATGTGTTATTTACAAGTGTTTTTGAACATCCAATTGTATCAGAATTTACTTTAGTTACATAGATAGTTATTTTTACTGATTCCTGACACTTGCCTACTGGTCAGAAACAATTTCTACATGATACAGACTCTAAAACGTATTGATACTTACATTTATTTCCTATAGATGCTATAACAACCACACATTTAATGGCTTAAAACTATAAAAATGTATTCTCTCTCAGTTCTGTAGATAAGAAGTCAGAAATCAGTGTCATTGGGCTGAAATCAAGGTGACAGCAGAGCCTTGCTCCCTCCAACAGCTCTTGGGGAGAGGCCTCTCGACTCTTCCAGCGTCTGGTGGCTGCCAGCATTCCTTGGCTTATGGCCACATCACTCTATCTGCCTCAGTGGTCACGGTGCCTTCTCCCCTGCTGAATTTCCTTCTCTCTCTCTTATAAAGATATTTATAATTGCCTTTAGGGCCCACCTGGAAAATCTCCCCATCTTAAGAGGCTTAACTTTAATCACATCTTCAAAGACTAAGGCAGCATCCACAGGTTCCAGGGATTAGGACGTAAATACCTTTTGGGGACCATTTTTCAGCCTTCCACAATGGTCTAGTTATAAATCTCCTACGTGTGCTTGAATATGTATCTCCTAATTGATGAGTGAGGATTCTATATTTGTCTATCACTCTTCTAACCTAATTTTTTTTTAAATGCGAGTTTATCAAAAAAATGTGTCTACTTAGCATTACATGACAAACATTGATAAGATATTGGCCCTTCTTTAAGAATCTTTAAATAGCATTCCTGGCCTATAATCACCGGCAGGCTTACAAAATTTCAGAAACATTCTTCATGTATCCTATTACATGGACCCTTCGTTTGTTTGTTCATTCCTTTATTCCTTCCTTCATTCATCAATTCTTCAACAAGCATTTGTTAACTGTTTGCCAAGTTCATTGAAGAATCTTGGGCTCAGAAATGAAGAGGACACAGTGCATGCCCCTACTGAACTCAAATATTAGTTTGGGTAGGCAGCTTTTTAAAAAGTAGTAATGTGTCAAGTACCGGTGTTTTAAAAAATAAATCAAGCAGGATAGAGGGTGGCAGCCAGAGCAGGGTGTGGGTGGTGAGGGAGGGAACATGCCATTTTTGGGCTGGATGATCAGGAAAGGCCTTTCACATTTGAACAGAGACCCAAGAGGAGCAAAGGCGTGAGCTCTAAAATGATCGGGGAAGAGAGTTCCAGGCAGAGAACCAGAGGCTCTGACGTCAGAGCGCCCCTGGCCTGCTGGACTGAGAGCAGAGCAAGCGACCGGAGAACGTGGTTGGAGACAAAGATGGAGAGGAAGCCAAACCTTACAGCCTTTGGTGATGACTTCAGGCATTTAATAAAAAGCCAAGAGGCTGTAACGTTCAACTGTAGTTCTGTGAAGGCACTTTTATAAGGAACTAAAGTAACAGCCCAGCTCTAAGTACAGTAAACTTGACTCAGGATTATGTACATAATGTGTGCGTCGACCTTCAGTTAACACTCGACTGCATTCCCCTGACATAGGTTTATGCGGTCCAGGGCGTCTACGGCTACCATCACTACATGCAGGACCGCGTGGACGACAACGGCTGGGGCTGCGCGTACCGGTCTCTGCAGACCATCTGCTCTTGGTTTAAGCACCAGGGGTACACAGAGAAACCCATTCCCACCCACAGAGAAATTCAGCAGGTACGGAGCAGGCCGCTTTAAGTTACAATAACACATACGTTTCAGTAGCCCTTAATATACCATTAATAATTATTATTACCTTGTGGTATGGACTTATTTCTGTTTTGAAGGGAAAAAAAATATCCTGGTAATCAGGGAAAATGCCCTAAATGTCATGTTTAACAGCTGGCTTCTGTATGGATTTTTTTTCTTTTTTCTTTTTTTGTTCTTTAAATACAAAAAGGCCCTGGTGGATGCTGGGGACAAACCAGCCACCTTTGTGGGGTCGCGGCAGTGGATCGGCTCCATCGAGGTGCAGCTGGCGCTGAACCACCTGATGGGCGTGACTTCAAAGATCCTGTTTGTCAGGTGAGGACACTGGGGGGATGGGAGGAACCATTTCACCGCCCCGCCCCCGTTTCTCGTTTGATTGAAATAATAGAAAAATCCTCTTTCCCCCACATTTGCTTTCACTCCTTTCTCTTCTTCCACATTGCCTCATTGCTTTATAAATCTCACTTTCTAATTCTAAATTTTTTTAGTTAATTTTTAGAAGGCTTTGGAGTTAATGAGTAAACTATAATACATACTTACATGGCTGAGGCACAATTTTAGCCAAGAAGAGAAAAACTTGGAAAACTTTGGAAATCAAAACATTGAGTCTAAAGAAAAATCAAGTTTTTTAATGCTCCAGTCTTTAAAAAGCCTTGAAAGAAATCAAGTGTTGACCTATGATTGACCTTTTTGTACTGTTTCTTCTGAAGATGTTAATAAACTAATACTGTGTCCAAATAATACATTCATTTCATTTTTTTCCAATATAGCATAACCATAATGCCCACATTACAATAAGAACAAAATCTAAATTAAATAAGATTGATTTCTAAGATGATAACTAGCTTCCTCCGTTGATGAGCTTGTTTTAAATACATTTTCTATTATGACACCCTTGATAAACACAGTGACATCATCCTTATTTGGCCACGTACTTTAATACATCTGGTTTCACTACTGCAGTCTAGACTGGCTGTGGAATCAGTGCTAAAAACAAACACTAGATTAAGCAGTGAGGCATATGGTGATTAAACGGGAGTTTTAGCACATTAAAACGTTATACATTCCTCACCAAGCAGGAGCTAAGGTTTAACACCACCTGGCGCCTCCATTCTAAAAAAATCTCCATCTGTCCATCTTTGTCTTCTCAACAGTACAGATTGTACAGAACACTGACATATTCCCTAAAAATAATGTTGCGGTTGAAAACATTGTGTACTTTTCACCTTGGCTTCACAGACATTGTCTGTTCGCGCTGGACTCCCCTGTCCTGTAGACAGGGCAGGTGTCACCGGGTCCCCATTTAAGGTGAGCAAATACAGACTCAGAGTCTGACAGCCAGAAGCCAAGAACCCAGGACTTGAAACTAAGTCTTCTGAAATTAAATCTGCCCACAAGAACTCCCTGGATATCAAGGCGACCGCTTTCAACCTCTGGTTAAAAATCCAAGACATTCTTTATGCAGTTCCAGTGACCTTAAATATTTAGAAAGGTTCTATTGCTTTAACTTGCTCTCAGTCAATTCCCTACCACTTAACTGTATTTAAATTCCTATTTTCTTTGAGCCATAAAGAAATGTAGAAAACATTGGTTCCTAAGCTCACTTATATGACCTTATGTTTGGAATAATTCGGCTAACAGAAGACGGTTTCCTTGCAGCCAAGGCTCTGAAATGGCCTCGCAGGGGCGGGCGCTGGCCCAGCACTTCCAGCGCGAAGGCACTCCGGTCATGATCGGTAGGTTCGGGGTTTCAGGCATTTGCGCTCCTTTGGAAGGATGGGGAGTATGTTTTTAAAATTAGCTTGTACACCATACAGACTGCCCTCTGGGTATTCATTTTTAAATGTGCAAGGCAGAAGGAGAGTTATAACGATTATAACAGGAAGAAAAGGCTAAGAAGAGAAACGGTAACTGCGTTCATAGAAGAGCTGAACGCAGTGTGGAAAAGGGGTGACGGTCACTCGGCTGAGCGCCCAAGTCATGGCGCCATCACTGCCGTGGCCGGCTGTGCTAGCCTGTCTGCCAAGGGCGACGCGGCAGTGACCACTGCTCTGGTGGGAGGAGCTGGACCCTCTGTGGCCCGTTCTAAATCCGGGTTAGGTAATTCCATGGATGTGGCAAAGGAACACATACCTTACGTGATTAGAGATAGGACTGTATCTTTTGTCTTAAAGATGTAATGTTATCTTTTTGGAGTGTATTTGACATTGTGGTCTTTTACAGTGTACGCTAGTCAATTTTAATGCTGTTAGAGCAATTAATAGGCAAAATCATCTTTTAAAATTGAAATTGAATAGGAAGTTGGGGTTAGCATAAGCTCTCTGACATTTTGTGCTTTGTCTTCTCTAGGGGGAGGCGTTTTGGCCCACACAATACTGGGAGTTGCTTGGAATGAGAATACAGGGCAGACAAAATTTCTGATTTTAGATCCACATTATACAGGCGGTGAAGATCTGCAGGTTATTTTGGAAAAGGTTAAGTATCTGTTTAACACGAATATAGCTATAATACAAAGAAACCAGACCCAGAGGGTAGCAAACTGGCTGTTAACAGAGGACAGAGTACAAATGAGGGCAAGGACTGAGGCTGTGATGGGCACAGTCTCCCTGGAGGGAGAGGGTAAGAGGGAAATCAAGTAAAGTGCCAAAGACCCCATTTAGATTTAGAAAGATCTTCTCAGTTATGAAACTTAATAATGGAGCACAAAGCTCATATATGTATTTCTTTGGAGAGTTTACAGCTCTGCATAAACAAGTGTATTGAGGTTTATCAATGCCTTGAAGTAGGAGAGTGGAGTATATAACCTTTATTACTTTAGAATTAACCAAAAATAACTAAGCAATATGCTGGACATTATGGAGGATGGACTACTTTAATCTCATTCTATAGAGGATTTCAATACAATAATGGATTTGCTCTATGAGCACATACAAAAACCCATGAAACCAAGGCCTGGCCATCAGCAGGAACTATTAATTCCTACCTGACACAAGAGTCCATGGCGCTGTTTCAGTCCGTCCGGGCTGCTCTGACAATGCCGTAGACTGGGAGACTTATAAACAGGACACATTTCTCACAGTTTGGGGCGCTGGGAAGTCCAAGATCAGGGCACCGGCAGACCTGCCACCTGGTGAGGCCAGCTTCCTGGTTCACGGGCGCTGTCTTCCTCACTGCGTGTTCACGGGATAGGAGGGATGCGGACCGTTCCTGAGGGCTCCACCCCCATAATCTCCTCCCCAAAGCCCCCACCTCCAGGTATCATCACACTGGGGACTAGGTTTCAACCTATGACCTGAAGGGACGCAAACATTCGGGCTCCAGCGGGGGCCCCAGAGGAGGTCAGCCCTCAGCCTCGCACCTTTCAGTGGACCTTCCTGCTGGGTGTCCCAGGCCAGCCCCCTGGGGGGCGGGCAGTGCGGCCCCCTGTCCACTCCTATCAGCTTCTGGGTTGGGCGCCCTCTCTACCCACATCCCTTACAAAAGAAATTGCATCTGGTTCGCTGGAGAAGGCTTGCATGTGTGAAAGGACCACAAAAAGATTAAACAGAGATGGTACAAGCCTTTTTTTAGTATTCATCATTAAAAAAGAGATTTTAGGACATTAAATTTATTAGAGAAAGTTTTGCTAAAAATAGTAGATAATAAAAAGAAGCTTATTTATGCATAGAAACAAACCCAAAACAAATTTAACAGCTGGGAATGGGGGCAGTAAAACAGACTAGGAAAGGTTTTTTCTTCACTTTTTTACTTTCATCTCATTTGAATTTCTACAATGTGTCTCTTACTTCTGCAATGAGAAAAATACCAAAACTCAGGAGCACCTCTGTTTAGCCCTCCAGCCCCCACACTGAAAGGCAGAGCTAACACACTGGCCTGTGGGAAGGCGGGGCTTCGCTCCAGGCCCCTGGCCACACTGCAGCCCCCGAGGGGCCTCCACTGTCCCTCGCGCTCAGCATTTAGCAGACAAAGCGTTTCACTCCAGAATCAGACAACACAGACCAGTGGTGAGCGGGGTCCTTAAGAAAATAAATCAGTGACCCCAGAAGACATCTGATAAACTGTTACATTCACAATGAGATTTTATTTGAAGAGGATCTTCTCTGCCAGGGACAAGGGTGAACACTGTGAAAAACGGGAAGGGGGTCGACCACAGCCTGAGGAAAAGGAAGGGCGGAGAAGCCGCTCCAGGGACCGGCTCAGGTTTCCCACGGCCCTGTTTCCACGGGGCAAACATGCCTCTGCAAGGAACAGACTCGGCCTTTCATGTTTTACCAGGAAGAACAGCCTGCCAATTAAGCTGTCCCTTAACTGGCCGCGGCCCACCCCATCGGCAGAGCTGTGCATCTCAGGACCAGGGACACGCAGGGCTTGGGGGCGCAGTTACCCCATAAGGAAGCTTTCCTTTTTTATGATTTCTGGTTAAATACCATAGGATTAAAAATTTTTTTAAATTCTATCTGAAGTGGACCCAAATAAATAACTTTTCTATGCTTTGTAAGCATTCAAATCTTGGATTGTATAGGTATTTAAGAGTGTTATTCTAAGATCCTACTGACTGAGCAGGATGGTAAAATGCGACAACTCTGCTCCTTTAGTCCTGTGACTTTGTAAAATGTTTTCCTTTCCCTTTTCCCAAATCTAGGGCTGGTGTGGATGGAAGGGCCCAGACTTCTGGAACAAGGATGCTTACTACAACTTATGTCTTCCTCAGCGACCAAATATTATTTAAAACATCTTGGACTCAAAGACTGCAGCAGAGTTTATCATAAATGTGTTAATAAAAAAATTAATTTAATTTCAAATTAAATCCTAGATGTAGTCTGATGGTTTAACCTTGATTTTTTCCAAAGGTGTAAATACTACACCAAGAATGAATTTATTCTTTAGACATTCCTTTAATAACTTAAAAGACAAAGCATGCCCAACTAAAATACTACAGGCATGTAAATACATGCATTCATAAATGTTATCTTCTCTGAGAAGAAAGTTTCCTCCTCCTCAAAAGGAGCTTAGACACACCTGGCGAGCCAGAGGCCATGGCTTGTAGCTGAGCGGTAGGTCTGCACGAGGTCTTATCCTCACACCTCTTCGTACCCAACAAGACATCTGTTAAAAAACACTAACATTAAAAGCTTATCTCCCCAACCTTCCACCATGCAGGACAATTTTTGGTTTCTAGAATTTACTAGTAGTTACTATAACCAGTCTTAAAATGTATTAATGAAAATAAAAAAGATATATTAGAAACAAGACTGCCAATATTTAAATAAAACAATAAACTCTGTGCTAAATAAGAGATCCTTGAGGAAGGAAGAAAGAAGAAACTGAGGTACTTACCAACGCTTCCTTTTCCCACTTGTATTTTCTGCACTTCCAAAACTTCGTTTCTGTCTGAGCACTGGAACACAGTAATCTCTATTGGATGGTTCACTTGATTTTTTTGTCTGCATACATTTAACTGATGTAAGAAACTTAGCACATTCTGGAAATCCATATGACCAAGCAAGATCTTCAGCTGTTTGCCCATTCTTATTACATAAACTGAATTTAAAATAAAAATCAAGTTAAATGAAAATTGACAATCGTTTAGCTTTTCTGTATCTTCCTAACAAAAGAGCTTAGGGCTCACACACACATTGATTGCAGGCTAGAACAGAAGAGGTAGAGGAAGCATAGAGAAATTGCATTTTGCACACTATGGTATCCTCAGTGGCTAGCAAAGTCCAGCACAGCGTAGGCATTTCAGTTCTGAATAAACGTATACGATACAATAAATAAGTACCCAAGAAAGTCAGTGAGAACTACTATAGAATGGATGTTCCTAAATGGAAACTAAGGTGTAATAACTGCCATAATAGATGAACAGTTGCACCTCATTGCTCAGGATCCGTTTTATTTACTTACCTTAAATAATATCTGATATTAACAGTCTGAGTTAACATTTAAATAACACTAAATTATCAATTAGGCAAGCATCCTTCTTAAAAACACGTGTAACTTATCTTCAGGAGTCTGATTAGTCCAATTTAAAGCCACTGAGTTTAAGACTTACTCAATTTGGGCATCACCGGCTACAAGCAGGCTAAGGCATTCCAGGCTTCCAGCTTTTGCTGCTTTGTGGATTGGAGCCTCTCCGAAAACATCCTTAAATGTAAGGCACATGTTTTAGTCTCACTCCAAAACATTTCGTTATGGAAGTTGGTGGGCGAGGTCTATTGTTTGAGGAAGCGATTTGAGGAAGCTCCTTAGACCTGCACTGTACCGAGCTGCATTTTTTTTAATCCTCACCAGAGGACATGCTTATTGATTTTAGAGAGAGGAGAAGGGAGGGAGGGAGACACTGACGTGAGAGAGAAACACCGATGGGTTGCTTCCTGTACACACCTCAACCAGAGACAAGTGCTCCGACTGGAAATGGAACCTGCGACCTTTCAGTTTACGGGCGATGCTCCACGCAACTGAACTACACTGGCCAGGGCAGGACTGAATTTTTTAATTCGAGTCTTTTTTTTCCTTATAAAGTTCACTTGCTATGTTAATAAATACAAAACTTTCATTAATAAAAACGTGTGCAGTCACAGCTCCATACATTGAAGTAAATAAAAGCAAAATAGAGTTCTATGAAAGAAAAAAATTACAATTTAAAATTCACCATAACTTAATATTCAACGGAAGAGGTAGACTACCATTAAAAAGTTCTGTAGGAAACAATAATGGTTGTGAGCATTCCTCACAAATATTTTAGTTCCTATACTTAGACTTTTAATTTGATAACGTAGTAACTGTTCCTTTTTAAGTTGCAGACCTGTGCATGCTGTCCAGTAGGACATATATGGCTAGTCAGCACTTGAAATGTGGCTAGTCTGAACTGAAATGTGCTGTAAATATAAAATACACACCAGACTGAAAAAACGTACAAAAAAAAGAAGTAAAATATCTATCTGGAATGTTTTATACTGACTACATATTGAAATGATAATTTTTTGGATAAACTGGCTTACATTATAAAATTAATTTCGTTTCATGTTTCCTGGTTCCGTAGTAAAAACTTTAATTACATACGCATCTCACATACTTCTGTTGGACGTTGCTCTAACAACTGAATATTTTGGCGTCTGAGAAATGCTTGTGTGGATTTGGGGTGGAGAGGAGCGTTGCACACAGTAACTGTTACCTAGTTACCTGCTGGTTAAGGTCCGCGCCGGTCTGCAGCTGCCAGAGAAGAAAGCAAGCACGGCCGCCACCTGCGGCTAAGTGGACAGGCGACTGCTCGCAGGGATCCGGAGGTGCGTTGACCGAGGCCCCAGCCTCCAACAGATGCTTCACACTATCCACCTGCGAGAAGAGAACAGTTCCAGCACCCTTCTTGCCTCCGTCCAGTCCCACGCCCTCCTGGGGCTGAAAACCTTCCATCTCTGAAGAGGCTGTACTCCCCAGCGCCCAGTGGCTAGTCCACTGTCACCTTTGCTAGCGCTCCCGAGAGGACAGACTTCTGGAAGCTTAAGCTTGCTGCACAAAAGGGGCCCTAGTCTCACCTCTGGGTTGCCATCAAGCAACAGCATTTTCCGCCTAAAGCAGAGGACAGGAGTCCTAGAGCGTGCAAGAGCGTTGCGGCACTCGCTACGGACTGGCAGGTAAGAGTGCACAAGCCGCCCAAGTGCGGGAGAATTTAAAGACCGCCGGGGCTAGCGGGCCCCCCCTCGCCGCCGCGCCCCAGCAGCCTAACCCTTCGCAGCGCAACCCTTCGCAGCCCTGCGGCTTCCGCACGTACACAAACAATGACACGTGCAACCCAGCGCCCAGCACAGCTGGATAGAAAGAGGAGGGGGAGGAAGCGGCGCGAGCCCGCCAGCCGATTGGTCATCTGGAGGCGCTAGGCCCGCCCGCCTAGGGGCGGGACCCGAGGCCATCCAACGGAGCCACAGTACGCGTGCGCCGTGAAGGGCGGACGTCTGCGCAGTGGCGTCTCCGGGGCGTCCCTATGGCGCGCTGAGTTTGGCACGTCTCGCTGGCGTTCCCAGCCCTTTGGTCCCTGTGGGGAAGTGGGAGTCGCGGGCGGAGGTTTTGGTTTCTGTGAGCCCGCACGTAACCAGGAAACGAGGGAGCTTTAAGCAGCCCTGCGGCACCACCTTTGGAAGCGGCTTTGCTTGGTGCTGGCGCCGCATCCCCCGCCCCCCTCAATTGGGGAGGAAGGAATGAGAGTGCCTTCTGCCTTCAAGTTCAAAATCGTCCCAGGCTCTGCTCCCCCACCGAGGATGGGAGGGGAAAGGGGGCGGGGTGTCATGTGAGCTGAGGGGGTAGGCTTACCACAGGACTGCCCCACCCCGTCCCCAAAATTAAATGATTTATCGAACCTGACCCTTTTGCCCATACTGGGAAATCCTGTGATATAAACCCACCATTGTAACGTGTCCCCTCCTGGGAGTCAGGTTAAAGCGCGCCGCTGGGCTTGTCCCCTGGGAAATGTTGGCAGTCCAAGCTATTAAACTTGAGCTTGCTGAGACTGCGGGGTTGAGGGGGTGCGGGGCAGAAGGGAGGCGGAAACGTGTTTGTCCTAACACTCGGGGACACTTCACGGATAAACAAAGGGACCAGGCCCTGGATGTTTATGGCAATGGGCCCTTCCCCACGGGCAGCGCTGACGCACCTCGGAGCTGCTCAGGGAAAAAGGCTGGTCGGGAAAATGAATGGCTTTCCTGGAGCTCTTTATGCTGTGGAGCTGGATCATTCCTTGTTGTAAAACTTAAGAAACAGATTTCCTGACTTCCGATTGTAGCCATTGAACACATGTATAATCTTTCGACTATCCTTTCCTAAGCGCTTTTATTTTCAGATTTATCTAGCTAAACACTAAAGCTCCAGCCATATATTTCTTTTCCCTCAAAAAGCCTTGAGTGTGTCCCTTCTACCAACTGCTCCCCTTGAGAGCAGGGCTGAAAAATAGAAAGGTTTATTATTATGATTCTACAGGACAAGCTCATTGTCCTCTAAAAGTAAGTGACCTTTCAGTTATAATTTTGGTTACAGTATATTATTTTGTAATAAGAGCCATACATTTTTGCAATAATAAATTTGTTACTATAGAGAGATACTGACCCAAGGGATAGTTTTAGACATTTTTATTTATATGCACACTTGAAGATAAATGTGGATATATATTTATGTTTAAACACCTATATAGAACCATGCTTTTGTTTTGTGTTTTTAATACTGAAGCTACTCAGTACTTTTTTACGATATTTAGAGAATGGTATCGCAGAGATACTGCTGTCGGGTGAGAACCTGCGTCCGTATTGCCAATTTGCCTTCTCTCATGTTTATCTATTAAGTTAGCATTATTTTTTAAAGGGTTGTACCGATGTTCATTTTCAGGAATTAACTAATGCAAGGTATTACCAGAGATGTTCTTAAGAGTTCTAAACATATGTACTGCCATTAATGTGTATAATGGGATATTTGTGTAATGAATGTACCTCCATATTGCATCCATTTCCTTTAAAACAAGATTCTACTGAACATGTATTAAGTATGATCATTATTGTTAACTTCCTGTTACCTATGTAAATTGCACAAGGAAAGGGAATTTTGTGAGTAGTTTTTAAAGGTTTTCCCCCATCAATCACCGTGTATTTGTCTATTGCTCTCATTGTTTCAGAAGAAATCTTTGTCTTCCCTGGGTGTCTGGTTTATCTTTAGTAATGGGCCTAAAAGCTTTCTAAAAACTGAACAAAGCTGGAGGAGCACAAACATCCACAGAGTCATGACATTTGGAGGACACTATCTTATTGGCAAGGAACTGGAGTTTTTAGTGAACATGTTGCCAGTGGGATCAGTTTTCTAAAGAGGGAGATGGTTTAAGATGAATATTCTTCAACAGGCACTCTTCTAAGCAGCAATAGTTCCCCTTACATTTAATTTGCTGGTAAATATTTTTCCAGGGGGAGGATGTCATTTAGAGTGACAGTGTGTGTGTGTGTGTGTGTGTGTGTGTGTATGATGACTAAGTGACCAAGTGAATGAAAGAGGTGTGGACTGAGTCTTGAAGGCCAAATGTTTTCTAGAAAGTCCAGGAAGGTCAAACGAACACAGAGGTCAACCTGAAGGAGCTCCCAAGGGCCAAAGCAACTTGAACAACCCAGTAATGGACCGTTGGATTATAATTCAATAAAATAGAAATCCACAAGAACATATGGATATGCATGATTGAGTAAATAAAGAAATGAGAGAGAAAAGACAACTCTTCCTACAAAAGAATTCCAGACACTTCCTGTAGACACCCCCTGCTCCAGGAAGTGGAGATGAATCCTCCCCTAACCCTGTTCTCTTGCGTGTGGGTTACACGCAATGACTGGCTTCCAAAGAGTCACTATGGAGGGAGGGGTGGGTAATTTTATGATGGAGAAACCTGTCAAACACAACCTTGGCCAGATCATTGTTAACGTCATCCATAATAAGTCATTTTAATAGCATGCACCCCTGATACCATGGGGTGAAAAGATCGCTTCACCTCTTGCTCTTCTTTCCTAAAGCCCATAACCAGGTCTAACTATGAGTAAAATAGCAAATAAATCCAGATCGGGGGAACATTCTGCAAGATATCTGGTCAGTACTCTTGAAAACAGTCAATGTTGTAAAAAACAAGGAAAATCTAAGAAACAGTCACAGACCAGACGACCCTAGGAGACAAGATGACTGAATGAGTGTGGGAACTTGGATGGGATCCTGGAACAAAAAAAGGACATTGGTGGAAAAACCAGCGAAATCCAAATAAAGTGTAGGGTTCAGTTCAAGGCAATGTACCCATTTTGGTTTCTGGGCTGTGATTAACGTACGATAATAATGTAACATTAACAAAAGGGGAAACTGCACTATATTTGCAGCTTTTCTGTAAATCTCCAGTTATCCTAAAACATAACATTTATTCTAAAAAAGACTTGAGGTAACTTAAAATTAAATCATGATGTATTATGTTTCTTTCCGTCGGCCATCGCTACTAAAGAAGTTTCTGTTTGTTCAGATATTTAGTTTCACTTTTAGGCAAGCTCTCTTTCCAAATATAACGGCAGAAGATACCTACACCAGTGTGAAGCTAGTTTTAATCAAACAAGGAACAAAATCTCACAAATGTCTCACAACCAGTCTCTACTTAATTTTGTATTCTGAGTAACCAATGTATTTCAGCTCCTCTGCGGCACATACTGCCCCTTGCATCGACCACGGAAGGAAATTTTAGATTCCTTTCCGATTTTGTATCATCGGTGTCTACCATGTCTAGTATATAATTTTCTAAATTTACTGCATGTAATGCAAACAATGGTCAAGTGTTAAAATGATGATTTTATATCTAATCCCAAGATTTGGCCAAAATAACCACAGACTCTTTTTACAATCTCCTCTTAGTTCTCCCTTTCTGAAATTAGTAAGTACTAAGTTTTGGCATACCCTCTTGCAGGAGTTCTGCCATTTTAAAAACTCATGTGAGTTGTGCGTGTCGGAGGACAGGAGAGGAGGAGGATGACATGCACTGGTGCCGGGGGTGTCCCTGCAGCCCCAGCCCTGTGCCCTGAGGCAGGTTACTTCTTCGTGGGCCTCGGTGTCCCCAGACGTGAAGTGAGCCTCATCACAGCCCCCGTTTCATAAGGTTTTGTATGAGTTAGTGCCCATGAAGCGCTTACAACAAAGAACAGTGCCTGGCATTTAGTAAGAGCTCGACCGATTGTTGTTTATATTTTCTAGACTCTCTCCGTCTCTTCTTGTGAACCACAACAGCCAGCACAATGTGCAGTACTGTTCCCAGGGAGGACAGCCTGGGTTTAAGGGAGGTATGGTATTGCTATCCGATTCGTTTCATTTCCCATGGCCTTCTGGAACATGCCAAGTGTGTTATTTTGGGGTACAGTAGCACACCGCGTGACTTCAGTGAGATGTTGTAAAAACTTCCATAACCAGCTTTTGGATTGTTTCTCTTAAATACCTGATATTGTTTCACCCTAAAGCTCATTGGAAACTTTTATATTCACTAATGCAATCAGAATATTTGTGAAATCATATAATCAAAGAATTTTACATATCAAGAAACAGACATTTTGAAACCCTCTAGTTCACAATACTTACAATCCGAACTACAGGTGAGGAAATTGACTCTTCCAAAATGAAAGATACTTCAGTGATTTTTTCCCCCTATCTCCCTTTTAGGTGCTTCATTCTCTTTAATAAAGCAGTTTATTATCTAAAATAGTGTCACATAATTGTATAAATGGAGCTTTCCAATGACACTAAGGGCTGATCTCTTCCCCACCAATCAGGAACCCTCACTGGGGGCTTGTTCCTGATTGGTGAAGCCAGCTGCAACGGTAGAATGCAGAGGAGTAAACGAAAAGGCATAGCAACAGCTGAGTTTGCTCTCTCACTACCCTCAGCCTAGGCCAACCTGGGCTCCTTCATCCCCAATGAGGTGGCCTCTACATTTTATATGAAGGCTCTGATTTTTCAGTCAGCCGTGATCCACCTTATAACATGGCAATCCAATACAGACAGGAAGATGAAACTGAACAACACAGCTAAAATAAAGTGTATTCCCAGGTAAAAGAGAAAAATGCTTTGATGTGAAATGGATGATTAGTCCGATGGGACTCAGGTAGAGGGCAACAAGAAGGTGCCGGTGCACAAGAACTATGTCTGTGGGCACTGTGCCCAAATCCCGCCAGTGGCAGCAGCTGTGGTGGGTGACAGGACCCAGAGGATTTGCAAAGCGCTCTCATCATTAATCCCACACTGTGGAAATAGACATGAAGACAGTTGTGCTTCTTCTCATAGCTCTAAAGGGCCCTGGCTTCCCAAGAAGGATAGTCACAGCCCAGAGCTGGCAGTCGGGCGCCCTGTCCCTAGACAACATGGGAGGTTGCTTTTCACAATGGTCCGAGGGGGGATGGGGTCTCTTTTCGCAGGAAGATATGTCTGTCTTATTTTTCATGTTTGTTTACAGAACACACATTGTGGAAACAGGATGAAGTTGACCAGTGAAGAGTTGCCCAAGGACCCCTTTCATACCTCTCTATCCCAGTATGCTGCGAAGAGCCAAAGATTCTCCCAGTGGAGGAAGGAGAAGACTGGTACACATTCTGACGATATTTTCACTAAAAGTTAATCTGCACACCAGAAAAAGAGGGGAAAGGCATATGAGTCTTATTGCTGTCGAGGAAGTGGCTAACTTTACAGTCTAGTTCTTCTGCTTTAGTCCTTTCTAGCTTCCCTGTAGGAATGCGTGAAATCGCAATTTAACTCATCTGGCAGCAAATCATCAGTGGAGAAGTTGCATAGAGCCTGACACCGATTTGGCACCTGGGGGTTGTGGGCCCCGTTCTGGGTGAGGGGAGCCCGGTGTCCTTCTCTTAGGGGAGAACAATGCTGTACTTGACTTGAGTTTGACCTCTAAAGCTGACATTGTTTTCTCTAGTCTTTTAAAAAAGTTAAATTGCGGATGCTTAGCTCTTTCGGTTAGAGTAGTTCTAATTAAGCCTCAAATTAAGAATTTCAGCCCTGGCCAGGTGGCTCCATTGGTTGGAGTATCATCCCAATATGCCAAGGTTACAGGTTCAATCCCTTATCAGGTCACATTCAAGAATCAACCAGTGAATGCATAAATAAGGGGAATAAAAAATCAGTCTCTCTCTCTCTCTCTCTCTCAACTTTATATATACGTGTATATACCATTCTTTGTTTATTTGTTTTCCCTTCACATATATAAAATCTCACTCACCCAAAGGGATAGCTTTGCCTAAAGAATTGCACTTAGGCCACAGTGCTAGAGTTCCTGCCTAGCAGTAAACTGGGTTACTTTGAAAACCAGTCAACAAATATTTCTGGATTAGACAAGGCATGGCCTTAGGTCCTATGATAATACTTCCTCCGTCAGCTGAGGAGGCCAGGAATGAGAACCAGGAAGGAGACTAGTATACACAGTGTCAGGTGAATTCTATATATTGAGTAACTGATGACTTGAAGTGAAGAGATTCATATTGCATGGTTAAAGATGGAACCCCTTACCTTTCTCAGATCATTACAACCATGCTAATTTGGTGGATAAGGCATTGCAGCTCTTGAAGGAAAGAATAAGACGAGGCGATGCCTTGGCCTACTTCCTACGAGGCCAACTCTACTTTGAAGAGGTACCATTCTTTGTTTATTTGTTTTCCCTTCATATAATGCTGGTGTGAGATCCTCATAGCAAAATTTCTCATGCAGTTCCTTACATTGCAATGTCAGGGAAATTCTGTCAAATGCCATAGATTACGGTCATAGCTTCAAGTGTGATACATTGGTATCATCTTAAGGAGACACCTGACCTTTCTCCATGGAAGTCATTCTAGTGAAAGTGGTTTATAGGAGACATTTGGGTACAGAACCCATTCTTACGTTATAAATTAAAAATCTAATTGTTATGTTTTTGCCCAAAATATTTAATATCATCTATAAAATATTTTCATGTTACTAGTTGAAGACCCTGATTCTTATCTCATACTTAAAGGTAGCTTGTGTGTTCCTCTGTAGAGTAAGGTGGGAACTGGCCTTTGTGCGCATCATGCTGAAGTGCCCTGCAGGTAGGTCAAGGAGGAACTGTGCAAACTCTCACTCCAGCATCAGTAACATAGTTCCAGTTCTTCATCGAACCCAAGGGAAGATGTGAAAAGGGACCCGCTGCCTGATACCTCACCATCTGTTGAATATTTGGGCAGCTATTCACCTGTGTCCCATGTACTCTTTTAATCTCTGGATGGTCCCTTCTTTAATTCTGGCAACAAGTGTTTGTTGAGGACTCATCCTGCACCTGTTGCTATGAGGGTAGCATCGCTTAATGGTTAAGAGAATCACAGCTCAGCTTTGGGCGTAGGTTCCCATGTAGTTCTATTGCTTTTTAGCTGCTTATCCGTGGGCACAAATACTTAGCCTCTTGGTGCCTCAGTTTTCTCCTCTGTAAAAGAGAAGTAATAATGTGTGTCTCATAGAGCTGAAGGAGGGGATGTATTCATTGAAAACAGGGCCTGGCACCTAACAAACAAGTGCTTTATATGCATTTGCTATTATTGTACTAGGCACTAACTATGTAGTGAAGAGGGAATCAGAACAGTCCCCATTTCATAAAGTTCACAGTCAACTAAGGGCAGAAAATAGATTAAAACGTGTAATTTAAAATAAGAAGTTCTATGAAAGGAATTAACTGCATGCTATGATGGGGAATAACAGGGATAGGGTGGAAGGACGTGCTGTTGAAACTCAAGTTTGCAGAAAAGCAAACAGACGATGCAAACAGCCCAGTGGAAGCACATTCCAGGCAGAGGGGAGAACATGAGAAAGAGCTTGGTGAGCCCTAGGACTTCAGAGGGCCCCATGTGGTGATAAGCAAGGCAGAGGCTGCCTCTCGGTGAGCTTTGTCTGAAGTGTAGTAAGAAGCCGTCGCAGCATTTTGAGTCTGTGGTGAACGGCAAGAGAAGACGGTGGGGCTTGACCAGGGTCACAGCAGTGCAGCTGGGTCCTGGGTTTATTTTGGAGACACAGACAATGGCACGATGGACGGACTGAAAAATAGAGAAGTGGGGAAGAGTGAGTTCTGCGGTGATGCTTCAGAGTTCAGTTTTTGGACACGTTACGTCTGAAATGCCCGTTAGTCATCCGAGTAGACAGATTGCAAAATAGAAACGTACATGTTCTCACATGAGAAGTTGGGGTTGGAGATGTATATTTGAGATCTTCCAGCAAGTGCATGGTATTTAAATTTATGAAAACTAAAAGGACTTTCTTACTTTTCCTGTGTATTTTCTAACTTTTCCAGCTCTCTCCAATCTAAGCCAAGCATTGGCCAGAAAGGAAAATGAACCTTAACAACCCAGTCATTTATTCATTGTTATGTGTTCTTTAAAATAAATATTTGTTAGGATGTTGCTGCAGGATTTAATTTTTATCAATTTGATTAATTATAGTTTAAGAAAAGAGAATTTCAACTATTTTTGTGTTTTCCCAAAGTAGTTGTTCTTCTCTGGCCTGCTCTTCCTAATCATGACCTTCCAATTCAGTAGTAGACTCTCTCTCTACCATTACAAATGATTCATTCTTTAGTGTGAGACATTTCCATGGTGGATTAAGATAAAACAGCCCATATTAGTCCCTTACTCCTCAGCTTATTTGTTACTAGATTGTCTAACTGCTGAGGAGCCTTAAATCCATGGCAGGAGCCTTAATAATAGGCTTTAATAACAGTGAATATTCTGATGTTCACATTTTCTCTGCGGCTTTGGCCGCAGCTCTGAACTCTCCCAGGCTTCAGGAGGGGCAGGTTGCATGGCAGGCTGCATGGAGCAGACAGCGAGGCTGTCATTTCAAGAGAGGACTGGCAAGAGCCAGGAGTTTAGGTCCATTTAATTGGCTTTATTGTGTGTTGATTGTTGTCAGTGACTTACTTGCAAATTCCATAAATGTGTTGCTGTCTTTTGTTGCCTCATCTGGTGCTACTAGCGAGATTTAGGTGGGAATTAAATGGGATTATTTTAAGATAATAAAAATAACTCAGTATTTCCTGGGAGCTCGTAGGGATGGTATGAAGAAGCATTACAACAGTTTGAAGAAATCAAGGAACAGGATCATCAAGCAACTTACCAGCTAGGAGTGATGTATTATGACGGGCTGGGCACAGCTGAAGATGCTGTAAGTTACTCTTTTGTTCACCGTGTTTAAGATTCCATTGTTAGTGGATTATTTGATACAATTAAAATTATTTATATTTTAATATTCCTATCCTTATTGTTCAATAATCTCTAATCTTTTAGCATTCAGAGGATAGCAGTAGTCATTTTCAGTTTTGTGTGAGAAATAAAACCTTTTTGCCCTTTCTCTTTGCTACCATTAGATGTCAATAATTTCTTAATATGCTTTCCTGTATTTTTCAAAGTTATTCCAAAGCTACACGAACATGAAGAAAAGCTGGAAAATAAGCAAAAAATAGAATCACTCCAAATTCTAACAAATATGAACATTGTTATTATTTTAAAGTATATCCTTCCATGTATTGCCTCGTGCAAAAAAAATTATATATACACAACTTTATTAGAAATGGCACCCATGGTATTTGTACAGAAGAACTTCTCTTGTAAAGCATATTAAAATATTTAGGTGTGAATTGTACTGATATTTACGTATCTTCAGATGACTTGAAACAAGTTGGTAACAAAATAGATGAGGCAAATACAGCAAAATATTATTACTGAGAATTTATATGATAGGCAAATTTGTATTGTATATTCTTTCTACTTTCCTGTATGCTTGAAAAATTTTAAGAAAAACTCAATAATTAATGCAGCCATCAGACCATTGTGATTTGCTTAAATTCCCCTGTTAAAAGAGGGTAAAAATGTACTTAAGGAAATGAAATAAAAAATTTTAATGGATCAACAAAAATGTTCAAAGCAGCATAGAAATACATTGAAACGTAATGAAGAAATTGTAATTCCACAGTAATGAACCTCTCTTTCATATGAAAAATATAATACAGAGCCTATATGTGCCAAATATCACAGCATGAAACTACATAAAGGAAATGTGCTAAAAATGAATTGACAAAATATTAAATTTAATTTTAATTTCTGGACATGATAGATAATACTCAGTATATAGTATTTGAGTTTAATAAACTATGTAGCATCCACACAATAATATTCCTGACATGAAATTTTAAGGCTCCTTGGTTGAGATACCAAAATTGAATGTATACTAGGCATATATGTTTGAGCACAAAGAAAACTATAATAAACACTTTCCCTCCCAAAATAAGTTGTGTGACAATTCCACTTATTCCCCAAGATTTAAATAATGAAAGAGCTTTACAATTAGAATATTCGGGCGGTTTATGGTCTCACAGCCGCCTCCGCTTTTCTCCTTCCTGCCGCCTGTTCACTCTGTAACCTTCATCTCCGTGGCTGTACCTTTCTCTCTCGGCCCTGGCACGGGGCACAGCCTGCTGTCTTGGAGGATCTCATAAAGCAAGGATGTTGCGGGTAGCATGGCTTCTGCTAACATGGAGGGGCCTCAGAGGGGCCCGAGCAGATCGCAGGCGGTGAACAGCTTGAACTTGCTCGCCCGCCCGTGCGGGCGCCCTCCGTTGAGGACTTCTCACCCGCCGCACTGCCTCGTGGGATTCACCACCGCCTGCTCGGTCCTCTCCCCGCCCCGACCCTTCCCCTTTTCCTCTTTCCCCTTTCCCCTCTCCTTCACTGAAGAAAAAGAAATTTATCCCATTTCCCCCTACAGCGTAGTTTAGTCGCCTCTTCATTTGCCCTCCTTTCAGTCAGGTCCCTGTTAAATTGTCCTCTGACAGGTTTCCCGCAACCATGTTATCCAAGTAGCCCCCTTTATTTTCTTCCCAGATGAACGATTATCTCGGTTACTTGTTACTGCTCCCTAATGCAATATACACTCCCTAAAATTAGCGGGTTTGTCTCGCTTCTTCACTGCCACATCCCCCAGGAGTTTAGAGCAGCGTCCGACCCATGGTCGACCCACGACAGCGCTTACATGTGGCCGGTCGCTGGCAACACCATTATTGGCATCACCTCAAGGGGCTTTTCAAAGGTCTTTCCTAGAGAAAGATCACATCTCTCTAAGAAAGGCTACGGTGGCAGCTGTTAGGATAATAAAATATTTGGCCTCGTTACAAACAAAACCAATAACCCAGTAAAAGAATAAAATCCAGTGGCCAAGTAAGATTTAGCCCTGAAGTGTAATAATCCAACCTAAGGAAATCTATGAATAAAATATACCACTTTAATAGCCTGAATAAAAGAAACGAGACGATGGTTTCAGTATGTTTTGAAGGTTTCATAAAACCCAATATTTATTCATGATAAAAGCCTTAAAAACTAAAGAACAGAACTAGGACGTGTTTCCTTAAAACCAAGGAGTAGCCGGTTCAAGCTGCGCCCTCGTGGGCAGAGACAAAATGCTTCCCGGGGCTCGGTGCTCGCACTGACCGACGCTCACTGTCCCTCGGATGTTACTCACGTCTGTCTCCAGCCTTTCTGCTCATTCCCTGTTTCACTTCAGACACACCGTACCCTTGGCTGGGCTGTAACAAAAACAAGTCCTCTAACTTCTGCTCTTGTCCCCGATTTACTCATACAGCCACCAAAGCCATCTCTTCCAAATTCACATAGGGTCATGTCCTGTCCATCTGTAAAAACTTCTACAAAAACCTTCCATGTCAAAGATCAAAGGAAAGGGGTGTCATTGGGACCGTTCCTGTGGACAGCCAGCTAGTTGGCCATTTGCATGGTCGAATCTTTAGTTCCCAAACCGGTAACTGCCATTCCAAAGCCGCACGCAAGCCCCAAGCTTGCTCTCTACCTGGTTGCTGCCCTCAGTGGGGCAGCACTGGGCGTCCTGAGGCCAAACCACTGTGCTCATCTGAACTTGACGCCGAATTCTGTGTCGAACCTTGACTTCTCTTGGTCCCACCAAGCTTCACAGCTGCGTGTTGGCCACCGCACACGACGTGCACCTCTCTGGCCGCATGTCTTCTCACGCAGCCTTGTCTCCCTATTGCTTTGCGTTTCCTCCCCCTCTCCCACCCCTGCCTTTCAGCTGGCAAAGAGTCCCCCATGTCCTCCGCCCCTCCTCAGACCACTGCCCTCATCTCCTTGCCTTTTCAGAAACATGGCCATGCCACAAGCAGCCCTCGTTAGTGGGGAGCTCTCCCGCCAACACCCCCACGTGCCGCCGCGCTCAGGTGAAGCGGGCGTCATTTCCACCCCCTCCCCCATCGCTTCCTGCCCGAGGTGCAAACTCCTGCTTTTAAGGTCATGCCAACTCATTGCATTTCTTGTTCTATCTGTCTCCTGGTCACTGGCCATTCCCCTCACATTAGCCTGAAGACTCGCTCTGGGACTCCGTCCTTTTGTCTGACACTTGAACAGCTGAGCAGCAAAACAGAGCAACCACGTCAGGCTGTCCGTGGGTGGGTTCCCACGCCACTCCACTTGGCTACCATTAAGTTCTCACAGCCAGGTGGGCGGAAAACTGGTAGATACCTACCACATGCATTCCCAAAAATAAACCCATAGAGCCTGGGGCTCACGAAAAGTCAAACACCTTTATTTTCTCATCTGTTAACGTGAGCCAGCAACAGCGGTCCGAGAAAGCAGCAAGGGGGGACTGCAGCATGTATTCGATTGCTAAGTGTTCCCAGGCCTGTGTCTGAGGGCTTTTCGGTGGGGCTGGTTGGAATGCCTCCTGGGTACTCTGTGTGGCCGTGCAGATGTCACGCGAAGATTAGCACGTTGCATGTCCATTGTTACTGAGCACATTTAGTGAAAAGCATGCTTGAAGAGAGAAGATAGCATGTTTGGGGCTCACGGATACACCGTGAGAATTATAAATGTGAAAGAAGTCACAGCTATTTTGGCACTTTGATCAATTCCAAGAACTGTGCTGATTCAGAACAAGGCCCAGGAGCTGGGAGGGAGGAGAGGAAAAAGGAAGCCCGACTGGGATGTTGGGGTGCACCTCTGGAAGCGGAACCCGAGGGAAGGGCCTCGCATGCCAGCACCCGGGGACTGCCCGCCCTGGACAGCACACCGCGTGGGCACAAGGCGGGGAGTGGATCAGGTCGCAGGGTGAATGCTTTACGCCATCAGGGGGAGAAAGAAATCTATTTGGGTAAAACTAAAACTAGGGCTTTTTTGTTTGTTCTTTTCCTTGTGGAAGGAAAAAGGAGTGGAACATATGAAGAAAATAGTTGATTCTCCATGTCCCAAAGCAAGACACTTAAAATTTGCAGCTGCTTACAACCTTGGAAGAGCTTATTACGAAGGAAAAGGTGTTAAAAGATCAAATGAGGAAGCCGAAAGGTAATCTTACCTGAGAACAAGTTCTCGTTTTAATCAAATGCTGAAATAAGCAACAACTTGCCTAGTCTTTTCTCTTCTAGACTGTGGCTTTTCGCTGCGGACAATGGAAATCCAAAAGCTAGTGTGAAGGCTCAAAGCATGCTGGGATTGTATTATTCAACAAAAGAGCCCAAAGAGTTAGAAAAGGTAACAGTCATCTATTTTTTTAATGTTAGCATTATATTTAGATTTTTTGTTTCACTGTTTCTTTTGAAGGAGGGTGGCGAGGAATAAGGAGTTTGACTCACTTTATTTCTTTAAAATGGAAAGAAAGTTTAAATTTTAAGACCTCAAAGCTCATTTCATCCTTTAATCATCTATGAATGCTACCTTCCCTGCTTCTACCAAAAGAGACCACAAACGTGAGAGCATTTCATATGCAAAAAAAAGCCACACACACAAAATATTATTCCATAAAAGCTCGAAGAGGGACAGTCCTGAGTAAAGCCCAAATCCTGTGTGAGTACAGTACTACGTTTGACGGAGGAAGTCACAGTGACACTAATGAGTAAAATATGCCAAGAGCTAGTTGAAAGGAACCGTACAGGGGAAGGGAAGTGGAGGGTTGAGTCCTACTTGTCAGCGGCGTACGGGCAAACTTGTAAGAGGCACCTAACAAGTTTGCTAATTTCCAAGCGGCTGCCTCCTTGGGCAACTGCGCAGCCGCTTGGAAATAATTTTCTGAGCTGGCTCCCATTCGGGTAGCTGAGCATGAAGCAAATACGCCTGGGCCTCCACGAGGCTTTTATCCTTGCCTTTGACCTTGAGAGCTCCCTCTCTGAGATCTGCCTGGAGTTGACTTCTCTGAGCTTCACAGCTCTCTCCTCCCCGCTGTGCCTGGTAGCAGGTGTGGCTCAAAGCCGTGCAGCCGCCTTGTCCCTATTTCGCACCTGGCTGATCCTTCCTGTGGAAAGTCTGAAAACCCTGAAACCCAAGGCCGCTGAAGTCTAAGGGGCCACGTCGGGTAGAAAACAGGTGGGCTCACCTTTCACTCTCCCTTTAAGGCACAGAAATTGATGCTGGCCTGAAATACCTTCAAGGGACCCCAACTATTTCCTAGAGCCTACCTTACCATTAGACTTTTTTCTTTCGGGCACTCCTTTGTAATCTCACCTTGAAACAAAATGAAACTGTGCTTCTTTTTCTCTCTTTTTTTTAAGGCATTTTATTGGCATTCGGAAGCATGCGGCAATGGCAGTCTGGAGTCCCAGGGTGCACTGGGGCTCATGTACTTCTACGGACAGGGCATCCGCCAGGATACTGACGCCGCCCTGCACTGCTTGCAGGAAGCGGCAGAGCGTGGCAACGTCTATGCTCAGGGGAACCTGGTGGAGTATTACTACAACATGAAGTTCTTTACAAAGTGTGCTGCATTTTCCAAAAGGTAAACAGGCTGAAGGAAAGTACTTCCAGAGGCTCTTGCTGGACGTTCTGTGCCAGATGTGTTCATAGAAGCTGCTACAATATGGTACCTGAGGGCTTTGGGGTGCTTGAAGCATGGCCAGTACCACTATGGACAGAACTTTCACATTTCATTGGATTTTAATTCATTTAAGTAGCCACATGTAGCAGGGGCTACCATATCAGACGGCACAATTCTGACATTAGTCTTAAGGATTGCAGGGCTATTAGTTTTGTCTGTATATGAGCTGAGTAAGCTTAAGCACGTTTTTTAACTTTTGGAGACATTAGTGAGTTGCTTTATTTTTAAGAACTACCACTGCAGGATTATAAAAATAGTGTATATAGAGTACTTAACATAGCCTGGCACTTCAGAGATGTATATTAATATTAAATTTATTTCTTCCTACATCCTTAGCCACAGGTTCTTTTACATAATTGCAGTGTAGCTTGATACGGGCTGTAAAACGAGAATAATGGTTAAAAGACTCCAACACGTATATCTTATAAGAGGACAGAGCAGCTTCCTCTGCCCCCTCCTCCCGACGTCACAGCCACTAGGCAGCAGGCCACATAAAGCTGTGGCCTCCATGTCCCAAACCCCCAAATGACCATGTGATTGAAACTAAGTCTTTAAAAAGTTCTTATAACATTTGACACGTTCCATTGTTGTCCACATTCCTACTTCCCGTAACATGAGGGTTAAGATGGGTGTGATTATATCTCATCTTCATGCCATTCTCCATATTTGTTCATGGGTTCTACAGACTGAGTTCTTTTTACCGCCCATTTTTAAACAAAGACAGATGTGCAAGTTTCTAAATGTGTTTTCTGGTCTTATGTGACCAAAGTCCAAATCTAAGGCCGATGTTTCAGTAAACGGTCCAAAGAAACAGAAAATACATTTTTCCCCATTGTTACAACCTGCAGTGATACTAAGTTTAAAATAATATTACGAGAAGGCCACCTCCTTTTCCCTTCAGCGGGCTGAAGCCCAGCGAGTGCACTCACAGGCGCTGTGAAGCGGCTGCTCTGCCTGGGCAATAGCTCTGCCATCCCCGCCCCTCCGCGCCGCGCCGCGCCGCTCGCCCTCCCACAGGCAGAAATGAGGGCCTTGCCCAGGGCGCAGGACAACTTCTGCACATGTGACTTGCGAAAAGTAAACCATAACCAGCGTCCTTTTCGTCTCACAATCCCCCACCACACCAGGATCGCCGACTACGACGAGGCGCACGACATCCCCTTGATAGCCAAGGTCACAGACTGCCTCCCCGAGTTCATCAGCAGGGGCATGGCCATGGCGTCCTTCTACCACGCGCGCTGCCTCCAGCTGGGCCTGGGCATCACGAAGGACGAGGCGGCCGCGAAGCACTATTATTCTAAGGTAAGTGGGCCCGACAGCAGACAGCCACCGACTCAGACATCTCTGGGCTTTCCATTGAGACGCGACCGTCTTTACGGATTCGTGCTTCTTCCTCCTCGATAATGTCAGATAACCATTGTCTATGGAGAGGTGGTCAGACAGGCACTGTTCCCAGACAGTTCGGTCAGTCTTACTGGAATGATTAAAGGCCCTGTGTTATCCTCTCTCGCGCTGCTACTACCTGCAGCTTAAGGCCTGGGCCCAGACCTTAAAGCCAGATGTTCACACCTTCTTTCACCCAGAGGAGGTGTGAACCTGCATCCTCATTGTAGTACCTTCATGAAATATAGTGTTTAAAAGGTTTCGTATGCGTGACGTCTACCACACGGAGGAAGACTATTCCTGAGTTTGAGGTATCCAGTTAAAATGAACCTTTTCATGTTTTAATCCACGTGATTAATTTATTAAAATCCCAAACAAATTTCACATCTAAAAATTAAACAACGGTTGGCCCTGGCTGGGTAGCTTGGATAGTAAGAACATCGTCCTGCCGCACCAAGGTTGCAGGCTCGATCCCCGGTCAGGGCACGTACAAGAATGAACCCATGAATGCACAGGTAAGTGGAACAACAAAATCGATGTTTCTCACTCTCTCTCCCTCCCTCCCTTCCTCTCATTAGTAAATAATAAGAATAAAATAAAAATCAACTGTTAAAAGTGGGGAGGGGTGGGAAAGAGCGTCATTATGAAGAGTAACTGCAAGTGAGTATTTTTTAGAAAAGAAAAACACTTCAAAACTGTGCGCACCTTAAGTCCATGACATCCAAGAAGTCCCAATTAGAATGACAGCGCCATAAAATTTATACAGCAGCTCGTGGCGAACACAGACTGTTCAGCTCGAGCAGGAGAACAAGTCAAGGAAAAATTCCTGAACTCCCTTGCCTGCATCTGATAGGACCGCAGTGGTCTCCAAAGTTGCCTATCTGAAAATCACCAGATATCTTCCAAAATTTCCAAAGCCCAGGCCTCATTCCTGGACGATTCAGTGTCAATCTCAGGCAGTGAGACAGGAGCGCACTTACTGAAGCTCCTGGGGGCCCCAGGGCTTTGGGAATCTTGGGAGGCACCTACACTACATAGCAATACAGTGCACAAATGCAGCCTCTTACCACTGCACCATTCTATTAATATGAATAATAGTTGTCTTCAACTTTTTCAAAACCCAAATGTTCTACGTATTATACCAATTTCCAAACCAAGTCAATTTCAGATTGTATGCTATCTTTAGTATCTTTTCTAAATAAATAGAAGCAGAGAAAACTCTGGGTCAAAAACATCCTGGATTGATGTATATGTTTATCCTCAGTAAAACAACAAAACAAACAATTTGCAGTCTTTGAACAATCTTCCATATGGTGGGAGATAACGGCCCCCTTACGCGGCTTTGGCCATGGCACTGTATGGGAGAGACTTTTAAAATGGAGAAAACTCACATGCCGTAAGCCAGGGACGGGTCGGGAATCCTGTCACATCGGCACGGTAAGAGAAACCGAGCTCGAGGGGGTCCCGACAGCGGTCTTCACTGGACTGAAGGGCTGCGCTATAGCAAAGGGACTGCGGGGCTGGGGGTAGAATTATAGCCACTGGGAGCGCATTATGGGAAGAGGGCGGGCCGTGGACGGAGCGGAGACAGGGGCCTGCAGTCGGAGACCGTGCCTGGGGCTGGTCTCAGCCCGCCACCCGCCCTCCGGCCGGGGGACCGCCCTCCGGCCGGGCCTCCCAGGGTCTCTAGGAAAGCAGCATCACACACTTTCCTAGGACCCTTCAACGGCGCTGGAGGGCCTGGAGGGGACTTTTTGCTTAATATAAAGAAGAATCTGCTAATACAACTTTTCAGGAATACAAGTTTTTCCTATAACATGGTGACTTCTTGCCACTGGAAGCAACCAAGCAAGTATCTAGTGACCATCTGTCATGGGTAGTGAAGGGACGATTTCTGTGTGGAGAGAGGTTTGGGTGTGATGCTTGACATTCTATGGAGTTATGAACTATTATGTGTAACTATTTTCTTTAGTCATAATAAAATGATACACTTCAAAACAAGATTATTAGATGCTGCTATTCACATGAGATGACAAGTTTGAGGCCAAAAGTTAATGCTTCCCATATTACATATTTTGATAATTCATATCCTAGATATGCTATCATCAATGCATAAATTTCCTTTATTTTTGCCACTGATAAAACTTTCTTTCAAATGAAAACAGCATGGATATTTTTCCTATGGTCTTTTTTGCAGAGGCTAATTTGAACTTCCCTAATTAAAAAATCAGAATATAGATGTGTATCTTAATTAAGAAACTTCCTTGATATTCACTGTATTTACTATTCTTAAACACAAACCAAAAATTACTAAAAAGGAAGAAAGATCCAACGATTCAAAATATATTTAAATAATTGACTCTTTGTCTTTGATTTTTAAGGCTTGTCGTCTGAATCCTGCATTGGCAGACGAACTTCACTCTTTACTTATTCGTCAAAGAATTTAGACCAGCGTGTGTTTCAGCACAGATCATCTATCCTAACACCTTTAAAATGTGTGTATTTTTATAATAGCTATGTTTGGTTATTTTCTACATCTCAAGTTACATTTTCTTGGGGTTTTTTTTACTGATGACATATTACCTTCACTCTTGAATTTGTATTCTGTAATTTTGCAACTTCAAATACAGCTACAGGATCAAATTGCCGGAGAAGTCCCCAAAAATCCAGCTCTCAGCCTATGGACCAGCCTAGACCACAACAAATATTGCAAACCATTCCATGAAGGAACTCTCTTTTCCCTTCCTTTAAATACAGTGTCCCAAAAGACCTAGTGCAGCCTTCGGCTTAATAACTTCAAAAGTATAAATGCTACCACTTATAAAATATTTTCTAAATGAAGTAAGTTTTTCATTTTAACTTGTTATTTAAATTTTTAATTTAAAATTCACAAAAAAAATAAGAAAAAGAAATTTAAAGGAACTTTCAAATAATTTTTTAAATTTGTATAGCATTTATGCTTCTGAAGTTGTTAAAGCTAAGAGAGCACTAGGTCTCCTGGGACCTCTTGTATTCACATAAGAGCTTCTTACAAATAATTAAACTGGCTGATTTATGATAAACTTTAAAAACAGTGGGTTTAAGAAATTGCTTACAATCTTGGCCCTCCATCTCTTCCCTTAAAAATCTTAATTTAATAAAAGAACTGTTATATTCCTGAGAAGACCATTAATTAAAGCAAGATGTTTTCTTTGTGCTTCATTTTCTACATTTTAAAAAACCTAGATGTACTTCAAAGCAAGATAAAATGTGGGAAAAAAAAATCTCAGTGAAATCATCGATATAGAACTGTAACTAAATATGACTAAATATGGTTAAAAATTAAATTAGCAAAAGTCTTTCTTTATCCTAATGACTCCAAGGAAGGCAAAAGTTGGCAGAACATTAGAATTCATAGGCAGAAGATTACAATAATAGCCATCTGTGAAGCAAAACTAGGGAAATGATATGTCTTAAAGATACCTTAATATCGTCTTTGTAAACTTACTAAGCCACTGTTGCTTTTTTTAAAAAACCACCACCGTCCTTTCGGAAGGTGGGTTTAAACGAGATCTCGTCTTAGCAGGGGAAGTGCGTTGCTCTGTAAGGGACAGTCACCAAGTATCGCAGGGCAGAAAATGATGTTGCCTACTTTATGTTCTGGTTTGTCTGTATTATTTGAACGTCATTTTGTTTTTATATAAAAGGCAGAAATTTCAAATGGATTTTCTGTGGCATTCCCTCAATGGGTCCTATGCTTCGCCCTTAAATCTCTTAAAAATTATCAACTTAAACCATCCTTGAAAATCAGTTCTTTTCTTTGAAAATCTCTACTGAAGACTCTCTTCTCCTTCAGGAACACGTTTCAGTATCTCAAGCCATTACTAGATTTCATAATATACAACTCTTCATCTCTTCCTACAATGCAAGCCCACTTGCTTTGCTCTTGTCCTCTAACTACTGTTCATATAATGCTCCTTCAGCCATTGGAAGGTGCACGTTCACAGCCAGTGTTCTCTTCTCTACACTCAATCCAACTCCTTATGCCTTTCTTTATGAATGTCCAAATAGGAATGCAGTGAAGCAATGTATTTCGGCTTTAAGAGCCCATTTAATAGATTTGCTATCTTTCTTCATCCCAAGATAAAGAACGCTTTTTTTTTTTTTACCTGCCATCAAAACACAGGTCAGAGGGGCTGTACCCCACACTGCTCCACGTACTTTTCAACTGATCTTTTTACCCTGCCTGTCTGCTTGCTTTCTAGTCAGTGACAAAAAAAACCAAAACTGTCATTCATGGGCAATCAATCAATCATCAATCGATCAATTGCAGGTGTGAGAAATCCGTAACATAGGTATCCGCCATGTGCCAGTAGGTGTCTGACACGGGGATTTATCTTCAGGAAAGAGCGAGGAGGCGGTGTGGGTTTCTCACTTGGAGTGTAAGTGTAACAGCGGTCGGCACATTACGCATCAGACAGGCATTTCCAGGAACCGTGCGGCGGCCGGGTCCCCGCGCTCGGTGGCTCCGCGCTGCTGCTCTTCCCTGGATGTCTTTCCACACTCCTATGCAGGGTAATTCTTATCCGTATACACAGCCAGCTTTGATTTTCATCTGAAGTGTCAAATATCATTCTGGTTTGATAAACAATTACCAAAGAGCTGAAACTATAAGAATCCCAAAGATAAATTTTGGTTTACTAATTTTTAAACATTTATCTTTCAGAAGTTGTGTTTCATATCAAGAACTTGGCAGGCATGACCTATCAATGATGTAATCAATACCACTTTAATACATACAGTATTTTTCTTTCGTGGGTTTCAAACTGCCCATTCTGCCAAATTCTGCCTATTGTTTTGCTTTCAATATTCTTGGCGGTTAGAGAGGGGAAAGGGTTTTATTATCCCTGCCTCACAGATGGTAAAAGCCAGGGAATTGATTGAGTGGTCCATTAAGTGGGCCCCTGGCTCCCACCTAATGCCCCAACTGGTCCACGAGGCTCAATGACAATATCGTGTCCCCGAACTCCCTGAGGTGCTGCCCTCCTCTTCCTGTCGCCCCGTCTCCGCCCCGCCCACCTTCATCCCGCTCACACCTGCCCCCTAACACATCGCTGCCTCTCACTTCTGTTCACGGCAACATCGTGTTTTGCACACATTCACTCTCTGTCTGGAGAAAAAGGCAGCAAACTATTTCCTTGCAGAAGTGCTTACATGTAGTGTTTTCTACAAAAAAAGGACACTTGATAAATATTGGAACTCCCTGAACCGTTTCAACCTCTTTGAGATATAAGCAACTTAAACGTCTTAGAGCTCTATGATTCGTTTTTATATTTTATTGCTTCAAATGCTTCAAACTATGGGAAATCTTTGGTAAAAATAAAGACAGATTTTTCACAATAACTTTACATAAAGCATTGCACAACAATGTTCTTCAATACACATGAATATAGGAATGTTCAAAATCCTCAGTGAGGACATCATCTGTACAGTAATTTACAGTTCTTCATTTCAAAACAAAGCTTTCCATAAATATTTGTAATATTTCCTTGGTTCTTACCACATATTAACATTTATATTTCAGTCAGTATGTTGAACTTTAAAGTATTTATATTCTTATGAAAATAAAAACCAATAATTAACAGAAGTGGTTTTCTCTGTTGCCTGCGACAGCATCAATCCATTCTGCTGACTTCCCATAAAACTAGAGGGAGGTAACTAAAATAAAATCCACATTGTTCTCAGTCAAGCCCTCTGCGGAAAAGAGGAAATGTAGCATGTCTATTATCAGACATTTCTCGGTGGTTTATTTGTGCAGACTCAAACCTGACCCACTCTCGTTGGGTCCGCGTGAGCTCTCAGCTCAGGACACAGTTCAATCAGCAGCAGTTCCATCAGCACCTGAACCACAAAAGAAAGAAAAAAAGAGGAGGAAAAAAAGTCTTTTTTGCTCTAAGGGTTTACTGAAATATCTACATATAGGAGTAAAGTCTAATTTTAAGTCTGAGATTCCTCTCAGTCAACAAGTTACTCTTAAGGAAATGGAATTCGTAGTTCTTTCGTGGTCTGTGACCCAATCCACACCATCAACAGTATTCACGACTGTCCACTCTAATCAGACAGATGCCTGGGAGGCGGTTCACTTTGCTGAAATAAGAAAACTAAGCAGTCATGTTATAGACATCAGAAGTCGGGGAGAAAAACAGCATGAGAACAAGAGGGATGCAAGCCCCGGGGTACTTTTTTTTCTTTCTTCCTTGACCCTTCTCCCTCTTTTCCCTGTTACCCCCGTCCCTCCTCCCTTCTCTCTTCTTTTCAACAGCATTTAACATGCAGACAAACAGAAAGGAAGCAGAGAAAACGGGTTCAGAGTGACAATACCAATGGTTAAGAATATAAAGAATTAAAATCTACCCTCATATGTGAGTAGAAATGTAAATGAAAGAAACAGTTAACCCTCTGGTAGACTTTAAATTACTCACATATAACAGATGCTTATTGGCTCTTGTTTCTTGCAGCGCATTGAATATTTTTATTATACCGTGACGGGCATTTTGCTGTCCAACAAGGCTCTGAAGCATATCTGAAAAATTAAGTTTATATCCTATGCTGTTACTGGCAAAGTGCACATGTGTAGATAATCAGTGAAGGAAATGTTACATACATGTACAGAATAAGCAATGGCACTGAGGCCTGAGGACTGTGAATGATCAGTTCTTTCAAATGTTTAAAGAGAAAATAAGATTTAGAATTTTTCAGCATAAGATACTTACACAAACTATAATTTTAATCATTGCTACCCAATTAAAAGTGAAGCATTCAAAACAATGTACTAGGCTTTTTAAAACCTAAAGTTTATTATCTGTTCTAAAACATTTTTCTAATTAAAAGAATTATAAGCAGTACTGTTCTTACTAAGATTCTCAGTATAACTTCTTAGCAAGGGGCAAGACATGATTTTAAAAAAAGGTGTGATCATTTTTTCCATTGTAAATCATGCTTCCTGGGAGAGAGAAATGAAAACCACCTTACTAGGCTCACACCCCCCTTTGCCTCTGTCCTTCTCAGGGTTGAAGCCCAGGCCTCACCTGGAATGTTCTCAAGTAGCTTCTGCTGCGCCCTCTGCTTCGTTTCCTGACTTTGTTCTTTGCTTCTGATTTTGGTTGGTGGTGCCAATTTCCCATGAGGCCAAAATGCATCCCGGAAAACGTTGATGTAGTAAACCAGCATTTGCTCACTGAAAATCCAGTTCACTGTGTCCCGAATTTGTCTTTAAGAGAAGTATATTTCTTGGATGAGGTTTTTAAAACTTGTCATACTCTGTTCTCAAAAGGCATTTATCAATAGGTAGATTAAGATATAGCCTGGTCTAAGTGTTTGATGAATAAACTAGGGATTGGATTTTTAAACTCTGGCTCCGAGAGTTTTTTTTTATTTTGGTCATAGCGCATGGCCACCGATCCCTCGGGCTTCCATTTCACTCTCTTCAGTGCTCACTTCTCCAAATGTTTGCCATTCAGCGCCTTCCCCCGAGAGGAGCTTGACTTAATTGAAGCTTGCAGCCTCTCTAGCTGTACTCAGTAATTAATATACTAATTTCTCCTCAACATGGTATCAAGTGAAAACATAAACCCACTGAAAGACGGTTAAAGGGGGCCCGACACATCCCTGTGTTCGTGAAGTCCCGGGGAGAACCCAGCTTTTCCCTGTCCCTGGGTGTCGCCCTGGCAGATGACGCCGGGCCCAGTCCTCTGACCCAGGGTGCACGTCTGACACACTCAGGAGGCCAGCGGACAAAGAGCACCACCGAGGGAAGGGCCCTTGAAAGCTACACTGCCATCTGGCCATTTCCAATTTCTGTGGGAATGCCAGCGGGGCACAGTGATAAGTAAACAGCTTTTATCTGTAACCCAGGGCTTCTGCACAACCCTCGTTCATGAGTTATTGGTCAAGTTCTAACCAATTATAGGCTTTATGTTGTCAAAAGACAAATACAGTTCACAGAGCCCAAGAGTAGCTGTTCATTGGGAGCAGGAAGTCTCTCTTTTTTTGAAAAAGGGAAGAGTATCATTTTAGATGATTAGTGCCAGAAAGACCTGGAATTTCAAATTCAAATCAGGAATAATAAATTTAACACCCCTTTTAAGAATCTGACTTCCCAGCCAAATTTTTAAAGGGCCAATGTAAGGGTCTCAGAAGTAATATGTGAAATAGATACTTCAAGCCTAGTATTTTTCACACAATAACCACTAAAGGCTAAATACTGCTCAGTCAAAACTGTTCGTTCTGTTTGTAACTGCATGTCTCCTAAGTTACTTCCCTATATTGCTTACAATGTATACTGCAATTCATACCTAACAAAAATAATTTTGTTAATTTAATGAGACTTGTGATTTTAGAGAACCCACCCAGTCTGCCTGCCAGCCTCAAAACAATCTGCATAAAAAGGGAGACATCTGGTGTTCTCTGTCACCTTCCTTGGGTTACTCACGAAGGAAGTGAGAAAATTTCCATTTGCAACTTGAAATTAGGTGACTCTCACGGAAGCCCATCACCTAAGTATTTTCCCTCAGTTTGATTCTGACTTTCTATTAGCCAAAACCATAGGCAGCTTTTGAAGCAGTTCTTGTACATGGGATTACAGCCGGTAAGAGGCAACGTCTGCAGCTGATTTTCGTGGGACATCAGCTAAAGACAAGCAGCACAGGGCAGGGGCAGGGGCAGGGGCAGGGGGCGGGGGCTCCGTAAGTCCTCCAGCGGAGAAAGAGCCCGTTGACAGGGCCAGCCCGGAAACTCTACACCGGCCCCTCCTCCTGCCTCATGAAAGTCACTGCCCAGTGCGTTCGCATGGACCAGTCGCAGCGGCTGGTGTGATAATTCAGAGCCACTACCACGTTGTGTATAAGAGCGAGGACAGTACGGATGATGCGCTGAAACTGTACGGAGGAAAACAGGACGGTTTAGGAAATTCCTTTATCCAACGCCCGTCACTATTAAGGTGAAGAGGCCTGACTTAGACTGAAACTGTAGGTTAAACAGTTCACTTTTCTGATGAAAACAAGAGCCGATGATCTGAACTAAAGAAATCGCCAATACCAGTTTTGAAAAATCTTAGAAGTAAATGGAAATAAACTTTTGTGTATGACCACAAGGAAAATATATTCTATCTGCAAATGAATAGAAAGATAACATGTTCTAAAACTATGACATTAATGTTGTACATATGTTTGACAACTGAGTCTTAATTGGAAAAATTTGACTTCCACCTTAACATGTAGTTGCTATACAAAAAAGAGATTTCCCCCCCTTATTTCTAGCAGCTGACTCACATTTTTACTATGCAAGAAAGCCATACTGGTTATCTCCTGAAGAGCACAGGGTATGGAGTTAAACTTTTACGTGTATAGAGAACGTCATACTGAAATATTCACGTGGCGTGTGGTAGGGTTACACGATGCTGGGATGTCAGCCAGCCAGGGGACCGCCGGGGCAGCGTGGCCCAGCTCCGGAACGGCCGATGGTCTGCATTTCCTCCCAGCTGCGCACCTGCCACGGGGGGCTCGGCCTCCTCTCATCTTGGCTGAGAGTCGAAGCCTTAACCTGACTCCCATCATGTGACACAAAAACACTGTGCCCAAGGCGCTTAGGCCGGTCATCCCGACCCCAAGCGCTCCGTATGGTCAGTCGTCTGAGCCTCGCCAGCCAGAAGGCCCGCGCAGGCCCCGGCTTTGACCGTCTCGTTCACCGTGCATTCTGAGGGAGCGATTCTCCCAGAAGGCTGCTTCCCTATCCCATCTTAGAATCGTATCAGAAACAAAAAAGGGGAAATGAAACACCTTTAGTTAGAAAGATCACTGGCTCCTGTACCACAGGTAATTTGACTATTAAGGCAAAGAGTAGGCATGAATTCAAACATTAATTTTGTGCAACTCACTTGTTGATGGTCCTTCCAAAAGTGACCTGAACGAGAGCAATTAATGTTCTTCTCACCCATTTAAACACTAAAATACAAGTCAGAGGAAAAGGATTATCACAGGATACCACAATTATGACATTTTCATAGCTGCACCAAGCACAAATCCTATCGCTCGACTCAGTCGGAGCCCTGACACCAAGCCAGGGCTAGGACACCCGCGGAATCCAGGTCTAGGTCAGCAAGCTTCTACCCAGGAAAGCACTTCTTACTTAGCTGTTCATTTTCTGCTTGGCAACTGATAAGATGAAGTCTTAGAGCCTTTACAGCTTTTTGGTGCCTAAACAATGGCTGAGCTAGCATGTGGAAATCATACTTTACTCCCACGTCCCTGGGCTCCTTGCAACAGGCCTGTTTCCCACCAGCCGATGGCACAGCTCATACTTCAGATCTCTGTCTGGCTTCTTGCCCAACTTCCTAACACTCTTCTCTGAATGAGAAACACGCGTAGTCACATGTGGACGACGACTTTGAAATATTAATGAATCGGTGGGGCTAGCTGCTCCTGTCTGAGTAGTAGCTTGTAGAGCAAGATGTGCTTTTCTATATTTTATGGCGTCGGCTGGGGGTAGCCGGGAGCCAGGACCCGAGCGAGATGTGAAGCCAGCACTGCCCACGCCTGCGCTGCCGCCTGGGGCGGCTGGCGCCCGTCACCGTTGCGGAGCCTCAGTGTCCTCGTCTGGAAAAGGACTGGGCTCATGTGCGCTTTTATGGCTCTGAGGGTCTTGTCGATATTTTGTGTGAAAGGGCACTGTGAAGGGCTCTACGAGTCTAAACTTTCATCATTAACGTGGAGATGATGGTGACAGAATATGAATATAAGCAAAAAGTAGGCAAAGAAAGGCTGCGAGGATATTTCAGATCTGCAAACTGGAATCTAAACCAAATTTTCCATTTATATATTCACCCCCACTCATTGAAACGTTTAGCTACTGACACAAGAGCAAATGAGAAACTCACACTTGATTGTCATGGAGCCAAGATCCAGGGTCCTGGACCAGTGACAAAACCTAAAAGGGGTAAATTCTCAAACACCTCTGTACGAGGGAAGCCACACAAACCAAAATCAGCAATTCACGTGGACTTGGTACTAGACTTCAAAACGTCCTGAGGTCATGTCTAACTTTTTAAATGGCTCTACATGTCCCATTAAAGTAGTGGTGTTGACCCTTCCAGCAAGAGTCGAGTCATGGGTTGGGGCCATGCCTTGAAGGCACCTTAGGGGGTAGTGGCGCGGCGGCCCTGAGCACGTCTGTCCGTGGCGACACCTCCACTCTGCCTCCCTAGGACAGGACAGGCAGCGCGCAGCCAGAGGGTTTGAGGACAGGGCCACCCCAGAAAGAAGGCCTGTCGGCCAAGTGACCCATCACAGGCTTTTAAAAGGTGTGTTGTTACTGGTCCCTTTTCGTATATTGAACGAGAATAGGAACCAGAAATGGCCATGTCCCAGATTCTCTCCCATCCCTGACAGCTGCTGACTTTTCCCTGTCCCTCCTCCCCCCACCTCACATCCAAAACAGCCCCCATGACTCCTCCCAAGGGCTCATCTGTTCGAAGCCACAGAGGCAGCTGCAGCGGCACTAGGATTTTGCTGATGGCAAAGATATCACATCTCATTACAGACAACGTTCTATTTTTTCCCTCCGGACAGTCACCAGCTAAACCAAACATGCCGCTGAGCAGGCGCGTGAGGGAGGCAGTGCCCGCTGCAGGGACGGGCATCTGAGCCACCATGTCCCCATCTCTGTGCCCCAAAGGCACACTGGCAAAGGCTCGGAGGGCACCTCCTCCCACTCATCGACGCCGGGAGACCAGGAGGCTTCTCGGTGTGACAGGCGGGCTTCACTGAGGAAGAGTCAGGCACTGGGTGGGGACAGGGTTTCTGATGCACTGAACCCAGGGGAACGGCGGCACATGTCTCAGAGTGTCCGAGACACATGCGACAGTCGTGGCTCCTTCATCGGAAAGGATCTTTAATATTTGGGGGACATCCCATCATCAGGATATTTCCTAATTTATCCCCCACTTCTGAAATTTAGCTTACTTCCAACTTTTCAATATTGAAATTATGCTAAAAATGAACATCCTTACATAGAAATCTCTGCCTGTGGTTTTTGCTTTTAATTGTGTTTATTGCTTAATGTGAGTTACACCTTGGAACCCTTACGTTGTAAATCGACTGATGGAAGAAGAATCTACATCTGATACATTTTTTTCCCCCTACAGAGCTGTATCTAAAACAGATGTTCCCAAAGTGTTTGCTGATGTTAACGCTTTGGCTCAGGCGAAGAAAAAGTTCAATAACCAAGATAATTCATTCCATAATTAATTCTGGCACTTGAAATTTTCTCGCCCTTTCATTCATCAGTGCATCCAGCCAGGCGCTTCACTGAGCACTTACTACAGCTCACGCACGGCAAGAAACACTGAGGATTAAAAGACACAGAGGCACACTCAGTTCAGAAGAGCACTTGAAGTTTTTGCGTCTGCTAATAATTCTTTAAGTGGAATCGAGGGATACATGAGAAGGGACGCCCAGCCCCGCCGCCTACAGAGACGGACTCCCAGCCCGCCTCCGTTGCCCCGAGCGAGAAGATGCTGGTCTGGGCAGGGAAAGCCCAGGGCAGCCAGTGGGCACCGCTGCACTGGCCGGGGATGTCGCTGGGCCTTGCAAACCCTCGCCCCACTCACGCGCTTCCTCTTCCGCGTGGCTGGCGGGGCTTGCGGTGCCATCCGATCGCCGCCTCGCAGGATGTGGGGTGTGGGGGCTGCGGGCGGAGCGGGGGCGGGCAGCAGGTCCTATCTGGGACTCAAGAGCAAACCAAGTACTACAATTGGGCCTTTGCCCCAGGCACTGCTTGAGGAGAGAGGCCCTTGTGTGGGTCTTACAGAATAGTTATTTTGCTCTTGTTTCCTCGAAGTGCGTCTGAGGACTTAGGGTCCTCAGGGCAGGATTTCTCAACCTGGACGTCACTGTCGTTGGGGCAGGACCAGTCTGCGCTGGGAGGGGCTCACCTGGGCGCTGTGGGGCACTCAGCAGCAAGCCTGGCCTCCACCCTTTGGGGGCCAGGACCGCCCGCCAGGCTGGGACACTGAAAATGTGTCCAGACAGAGGGGTGGCTGCAAACGGGATTTAACTATGGCCTGCAACCCGGGCCATGACACCCTCCACCCAGGCCAAACCTCCTCCTCAGGCGCAGGGCTAAGTCATGTGAACGGGGATCCAGCGTATCCCCTGTGCCCGTCTGAAGGCTGCACCCTCAGATCCTGCCACGCTGTCTGGTTGGCCCTTCGAGTATTTGCTGAATGAATGAATGAATATAAATACATGTTTGATTCAGAAATGAAGGGATATTCAATGTGTGTATGTATGACCACTTAGCCATAAAATACTACTATATAATAATAAAAACTCACTTCCTCGAAGTTCAAAAATCTCCCCAATCAACATGAAACATGGCTCAGCCAAGGAGTCTTTCCTCCCGTCCACATCGTCACCGTAATCTGACAGGTCGCTGTCCTCCTCTATCTCCTCCTGAGGGCACAGAAAAGTCACAGAAGCAGGTCACTATCCAATAAACTGGTAGCGCTGTTCTCCATTCCCAAGTGTAAATTCCACATCAGGCGCTAATATTTCAACCTCACATAATCCTCGGACTTTCCTACATGCAGATATCTATGCATTTTCAATAAAGAGGGAAAAATGCATCTAACTATTTCCCCTGGTACTTACTTTTCTTTTTAAAGACTTCACTTGATTTTAGAGAGGGGGAAGGGAGGAGAGGGAGAGAAGCATCACTGGGGACCTGGGGGCCCACAACCCAGGCAGTGCACTGACTGGGACTGAACCCTTGACCTTTTGGTTCACAGGCCAGCACTCCATCCACTGAGCCCCGCCAGCTCCCTGCTGTTTACACAATGGGATTTGCCCATCCTCCCCCGCCCTCCCGCTTAAATCAACTCCGAAGTTGGACCGGTGTTTCCAGTCTACTGAGAATGGAGAAAGCACTGAGCTGAGATGAGACAGAAGGCGCCGGTGGCCGCCGAGGCCCTAACTGGACCCTCCCTGCCCCGCTCAGGGACACGTTCGCCCAAAGGCCGAAGCAGCCGCACAGGGCAGCCCGCGTGTGAGGGAAGGCCATGCGTGGTGGCTGGCCAGTGTCCTAGGCCTATAGCTTCCTTGACAGAGGTCCATCTTTAACTTTGAAATCGTCTATTGTCTTTGTGCATTTAAGATTTCACTTTTTATCCAATCTCACATTTCCCAACTGCGCTTTCTCCCGCCTCCCTGATCACCGATGGAGTTCCTGCAGCCTCCTCCCGTCGCCTCCTTGGATTCTAATGCATAAAATTAGTGGCAAGACTAGCATTTTCTGGAGCATTTTCTCAATCCATTGGGATTTTGCTTCCCAGCAACCGTCTTCAGTTTGGCTCTAATAAACTCTTACAAGACTTAAAAAAATATATATACAAAATTTGTAAAAAAGTTACTCCCCAACCTGGCAGGACTTCGCCACCTCCCACTCTCTCCCTAATCACCCACCAGTCCATCCGCTGCAGAAACCTCCTCCCGCCCCCCCCCCCCCCCCCCCCGCCCCCCCCCCGCCCCCACCGCCGAAGACCGCCTCCTCCCCTCAACAGAAGCTGCAGCTCCTCCGCAGGGCCTGCCCCTCTGCCAGGGGCTGGCTGGCCGGTCCGCCCACCTACGGGGCTCCTGAGAACTCCCCATCCCCATTTCACTTACCTGCCTCTTATCAATCCTTTCATTTCTGTACCTTAATGCTCCCAAGTGGCTTCTAGGGGAGCAGAGGCGGGGGTGGAGAACACCACAGTGGTAAGAACCAAGGACGGATGTCTCTGCCTTGCCCCTAGCAGCACACTTTCAACCAGCGTCCCTGTGAACTGCCCTCAGAGAGACAGCTGCTCACACACGCTCACAAAAGGCACACACCCCAGACAGCTCACCTCCTGATGGGAGAAGAAGTCGCGAGGAAGTCTTTCCAAAAATGAGGATAATGAAAAAGTGGGTTTTTTCCCCTGCACGTCAGTGACCTTGAGGTAGTCAGGAGAAGGGCTCAGAAAGGCATAAAGCGCTTCGCTCTGAGACAGCCTCTCATCCGAAAGCAGGCTCTGCGGAGGAAAGGGAATTAATGATCCTCTATGCAAACACGTGCTGCGAAGCCACAGGCCCGAGCCATCAAGGCAATTTACTTCCATCATAATTTTGAACCTAAAACTGCTTCCCTTTCCCCTGGAATAAAGTATATTAGATCAGCTCTCCGTGAGGATAATGGCAGACCATCTTCTGTGGGTGGGGGGCAGTGCCCCCATCCTTCTGCTTGTGGGGGCTGCCACGTAGATGACAGAACTCACTCTGGCCTGCCCTGCTCAGTGCAACAAAAGATTCGCACTTGGCTCACAGCTTAGGGGTCCAGGGACCACCGCCTTTGAAATCTCCACTCATTCGTTTGAACAGCCTACATATTTGCCCGACACACAAGGATACCGCTCCGCCGCCCTTTCATGGCTGCCTTCGGGCTTTGCGCGTCAGCTGAGAAAAGAACTGTGAGCTGTCACGTGGCGGCAGTGCCCGCCAGGCGCTGGCTGCGTGTCACCCGACTGCCACCTCCCAGGCAGCCCTTGTTCACACAGCTGGATAACTGTTTCTACTGGCCCTTAACCTGGAAATTTCCTAACTTCTTTATGTACTTATCTGGCCTTGGGAGGGAGGAAAGGCAAACATCAATCAAGTTTATGCACAAGCAAGTGCTACTGACAGATAAGACGGTAAAATTAACAGTGTGACCATAGGAAGGTTTAAATGCCCAGTATCAAAAGATACAGAGTTTAAGAACAAATACAGCAATGGGAAGCGCTGCCCCGTGTAGGATGTGTCATCTTGGGGGAGATGGGACACTAGGGAGAGCACCGTGCCTCTGATGACCGGAACTGGGGAGGCAGGAGAGGACTTGGTCCGTGATGTTCCCATCATATCTATTCAGACAAAGGGTCAAATCTGATAAACCCTAGGACCCTCCCTAGAATAAGCTCCTCTGAGCGCACCCAATACTGCCACACTGGGGATGGGGGAGGGCTCCCAGGGCGCTGCCAGCACCCCAGGGTGGCCAGCTTGCTGTGTCCCACAGGAGGCCGGCCTGAAGAAGGGCAGGCCCTGCCTCCGACGGAGGGCAGCAGAGGAGGTGGGTGGGCGGGGGGCAGCACTGGGGCCTTCCCCAGCCCGAGCCCCATCTGCACGTTGGCCTTTGTTCCTTTTTTGGGGTGTCAGATGCTCAGCTGTATGTGAGGGTGGATGAGGAGCTTGGGATGTTCTCCCCCTACCTTGATTTCCATTAGCTAATCTAACACCCTCTTAACATTATAAATAGGAGGAAATGATGACTGATGGGAAGTCTCGAATTTAGTAAAATTAATGTAAATAAAGAAATCATTAAGGATTAATGATAAGTTTTTGGTCTAAATTATATTCTATCATGAAGGAAAATAACCAAATGAAATATGTATGAAAAGCTAGAAATGTTCTCAAAGATTATGTCTGTGGGGCAAGATATAATTGGGACTTTGTCATTTTTAAGCTCTGTGAGGATGGAATCCAATTCCCAACTCCTTCCCCGACATGGACATGCGGAGAGCACGTTACTCTTCTCGTGTAGGTGTAAGACGGAGCACCCTGCAGAGCAGCATACGGGTCCCTGGAGGGGGTGGGGGAGCCGCTGGGGCCGGTGGGATGTGTGCGTGAGACAAGGGAAGATGGCTGCGCAGCGCCTTAGGAATGAGTGAGATGTAAACGATGCCACGGTCAAGGGCGATTAGCTGGATTATTAAGTATCTGCTCTGCTCGTGTGCCTCAAGAGGGAGCCATGTGTCATATTCACGTAAACGTGCCATCAGTGGGAACCTTTTTCCGGGAGCTCCTACAGATCCAACAATCGCTGCCTTTCAGACTAAACACTTGGCGTCCTGCTCTTCCTGTTTGCAGTTGGTGGGACGCTGTTTTGAAGCACGACCTGCAGTTTTAAAGCGCGATCTGCCGTGGAGCCTACCTAAATATGGTGAAGAGCTGCTGGCCCTTTCCTATAGTCTTGAGGAAGTGAAAAACAACTTAAACCAGTTATTTCCTGACTTAAAATCCTCGTGATTAAAAAACACGAGGGGGGGGGAATATATATATATAATTTCCCTCAGGAAAGAAAAAAGGAAAAAAATTCTTTTTTTAGAAAGGAAGAGAAAAAGATGTTAATATGTGAGACCAAAATGATTAAGTGTGGGAGGGGCTGTGAGGCAGTCAGAGAGCCCTTGCACATGGCTGGGGAGAGCGAAAAAGCTGCTACAACCACTTTGAAAAACCGAAAAACCCAAATCCACAGGTAGTCATCAAAAGACAGGTCCTGGAAGCTTCGAGCGCACTCGTCCTATGGCGCCCACCGGAAACCACACACACGCCCATCAACGGCAGAAGGGACCGACTGTAGTGCCCTCGTACAATGAAAAGCCAATACACACAAGGGGAGAGCGGGGGGGGCGGGGGTGTTGAGGGCTGGGTGAAAAAGGTGAAGAGAATGAGCACAGATTGGCAGGTACAAACTAGTCGCAGGGATGTGAAGTACAGCAGAGGGGACAGAGTCAGTAATACTGGATGACGATGTATGGTGTCAGGTGGGTACTAGAAATGTATGGGGCGGGGCGGGGCGGTCGCTTTGCAATCGTAGAGCCTAACCACTATGCTGTATACCTGAAACTAATACAAAATTATATTGAATGTAAACTTAATTTATTTTTAAAATTTTAAATTAAAAAAGCAACCTGTGCAACCATGGAAACTAGACTAAAAGAATGTTATCAGTGAGTCTTATGAACATAATGTTGAAGGGAAACAGAAACAAAGGGATCCATACTGTACGGCCCATTTATATAAGACTCAAAAACAGCGTCGCTATCTGTGACGCCTGGGCCGTGGCCACCTCTGGTCCTGGAGCAGTAACGGGAAGGGACCAGGAGGGACTGGCTCTGCTTCTTGGACTGAGTGCTGGTTACAAGGGTGTGCTCAGTTTGTGAAAACGGAGAAAACTGTGCACACGGTACCTGTGTTTTCTGTATGGGTAGCATACTTTAATTACAGCAAAATGAGGAGCTAGTCTGAGGATCTGGCATGGCCTGCAGGAACAGGAAGCAAATGAACAAGTTCTTTGAGCAACAACAGTTTAACCCCAAATAGCTAGTTTCCCTCTTACAACCAAAAAGTGTCAGTGGCTTACCTGTAAAAACTTATTTAGCTGATTCTTTGACTTTTCCATAAACTTTTGATCTATAGATTTGAAAGGCAGTTTGCTGAGAGAAGGCAGCTGGACTTTTTTTAAAGAAGGGAAGCACTGCGGGGGAAAGGGACACGTTAGATTCTGGAAATCACACTTTCCTCCTAAAAAGAGACTCAGAATTACAGCCCGAACACACCAAGGCCCTTCCTCCTGTACTCGTTCTTTGACATTTAAGACCCTGAAAACCGACCTGTTCTAGTCAGGCTCAAGGAATTTGGAGAAATGGGATGTCTGATGAGAACACTAAAGCTCATGCCTCGACCCACCGCCCCTGAAGCCAGGCCAGGCAGGCGGGTTTGCACACCACGCACGGGCGCGCAGCACGCTAGGTGTGCGCCCCTGGCTCACAGGGCAAGGCGCTTTGTTCACAGCGTCGCTGTCGAAAGTTATCAAGCTGACAGAAGAACACACTGGAAAGAAAGAATAACTTGGGTTGAAGTGCTACTACTGCCTTTAAAGGCAAACTGCAGACTGCAAACCTATTGATAAGAATAATATGGGTCAACATATAACAACAACAGACCTCCTCTGTGGACTAAATCCTACTCTGTGCCAGACCTTGTGCTGGAAGCTCGGCGTGTGCAACAGCTCCCTGAGCTGGGAATTGGATCGTTTCTGTTTTCTGTATGAGAAAACTCGGGACCAGGATTAAAACCCAGACCCACCTGACTATGAAGTCTGTGCCCTTTAAGCCAGTTCCCACAGGAATCCGCCCATGTGCCTCGCAGAGAAGAGGGCAGCGGTGCCACAGGCCCCTGATGGCCCCATGCCAAACACTGGCCTTCATTCGGGCCACCTGCACACACTTCACGAGTTCAAGTGCTACTGAAAAGCAAGCGAGTACAGGGCTGGCGGCCACAGCCTTCAGGCCCGCTCCCATCAGGGTCCAGGGGCTGCCCCCCTCCCCCGACGGGCCTGGCCGCGGCAAGGAAGGGCACATAACAAATGACCTGTAACAAGTGCTTCCGGTGGCGGGAAAGGAAACACCGACCTTTCCCACACAGCCCACAGAAGCACCCCGAGCACGCACCCAGAAAGAAAAACCAACCAGAGCCCCAAAGTCGGGGCGACACGTGAAAGCGATGAAACAGGTAGTGAGAGTCGAAGGGAACAGTAAAGCCATCGGGGGCCTGAAAAGGGCGCGTCCTGTCACAGTTGTCCAGGGAGGGCACTTTCGACATGCAAACTCACACGGCAGAAAACGCCAAGGCTGAGAGAGAACCTGAAATCGGGCCACAGGAGAGGAAGGGGGCCAATGGGATACGAAAAATCGAGATGGGCTTTCACATTCTGTTTCCTCTAGCACTTCAGTATAATGGTTTTTGATTTCCAAAGAACACTTTCTTTTCCACACACCTTTTATTTCAGGTCTCCCCTAACTTCCTCTCTCTCCTTCCTTCTCTTTTTATCAGCAAATAGCCTGATACTAAACTTCAGCTTCACCATGGTTTGTCACAGGGCAAACGACACATTTTTCTGGAGTGTCAACTGTACTCAGCATTTTGGGGAAAACTTGTTCTTATACTAGGGTCAATATTTTGCTTTCCACCCCGCTAGAGTGGCCATAGTCCATTTGATAAACGCTCAAGTATGACATTCAGTTTTGGCCACCATCCCTTTAAAAGCAGTTGAAGAAGTAGTGGCATTCAGAAGTTAGTGATTCAAAGGATTTTAAAAAATCACCCTAGGAGAAAAGGTTAAAGGAACAGACATATTCCGTTGGCAAAAGAGGGTCTGAGAGGTGGCCCCAGGGTTTAACCAGCATGAGTTTACTCTGAGCAAGGGAACAGGTGGCCTGAGCGAGAGCGGAGTGAGTGAAGAAGAGCTTTTTAGTCCTGGGGGCAACTGCCTCCAGGAGGAGGAGAGTTAAAGAAGGTGACACTCCGGAGGCAAATGGAAGAGCGAGGAACTGCAAGTCAGAGGAACTGCAAGTCAGACTTCCTGGATGCTGGTCCTGGTTCGACCACTGTGTAAACATCCTGCAAGTCAGACCCTAGGGCCGGTTTGCCCCATCTACCCAAGAAAGAACTGACCTAGATTAGCGGCTTTCAAACATTTTTAGCCAAAACCCGCAGTAGGAAATACATGCCAAGGTGCGTCCCCCGACACAGAAGGGTCTGCACAAGTCTATGTAAATAATAGACACACGCAGAGAACTGAAACAGAAGTTCCCCGAGAGCGCGCGCACTGCTACCACTACAGCACAAACACAGCGGCGGCGACTATGTGCCATCCACTCTTCTAGGTGCTTCCTACTCATTTATTCCCTTAATTCTCCCAGCGACTCTGAGGCAGGGGAGGCAGGCGCTACCGATATCTGTTTGTCACTGACAAGGAAGAAGAGCCACAGAGGGGCAGAGTGGCAAGCCCCGGGTCACAGAGCGGTGGGCGTCCCGCTGGCGCCCCAGCAGGCGCAGCCCAGCTCCAGGCTGCGCTTTCAGTCATGACACTTAGCTGGCTGCACCGCGCTGTGGGATGACACCCAATACCGTCCCCCTGCGGCCACCCTTCGCTGATTTCACTGCGCACGGTGGGGTCACAGCTGGCAGCTCTGAGACCACTCCACGGTCCCTGGCCCCCTTCCAGCTCCGGGGTGCTCTGGGGCTCCATGGCTCCATTCACAATGGAAATCATGCAATTAGCTGTCCTGAAGGGTTTAGATGAGACCAGAATGTTTGATCTATGGGTCAATTTCTAAATGTCAGGCTGAAAATGCCACTTTGCCAGTATCAACAGCAAAGGAGAAAGATGAATCAGCGTCTCCATGGGGAAAAATGGAAATGCACTCTTACATCCTTTGTTGCTGAGAAGTAATTCTAATGTTCCATGAGTGTTCGTACCTCACTAAGTTTCCGGTGCAAATTCTGAAACTCACTGAGCCTTCTGGGCACTGTCCAGTTCTTAGTTTCAACTCCTTCAACATCCTGTAGGCTCACCATGACAAAGTAGCTGGGCATTTGTTCACCATTCTCTTCTGTAACCTTGAAAACAAAACAAACACAACGACAATAAAAGCATGGTGAGCCAATGGGGTAGCCAGAGGTTTACACGTCCGCCCACCTTCCCCTCCCCCGGTGTACACGCCCTGCATCTTCCCCGGGACTGTGAAGGTGACGGAAATCCAGCAAGGAGGATGTCCCAGGGCACAGCGGACTTCCAGCCGGGCGGGCCTAACCTAACCCCACGAGCCCTTTAAAAGCAGAAAGATCTCTCTGGCCAGCAGTGAAGAGGGAGTCACAGAGACTGGAGACACAAGGAGGACTCAGCGTGGCGTTGCTCGTTTCCAGATGGAAAGGGGTACAAGGAAGGGATCTGGGAGCACTTCCAGCGACTAAGAACGACCCCCATCTGACAGCAAGGAACCCCAGGGAACTGAATTCTGCCAAGAACCCAGTCACGTCGTGCCGGCCTAAGCACTGTAGAAATGTGAGCTAATAAATGGGTGCTGTTTGAAGGTACGAAATTTGTGGTAATTTGGCAGACTTAAAGAAAAGTAATACTGCAGACTTAGCGTCCTGTGTTTTTTTCTTGGAAAATCAAATGAACAGCAAGCCAACAACTCGTGGGAGATACACGAACACCTCTCTCAGAGAAGGGTGAAGGTTTCCCCAGTTTCGTTTCAGGGTTCGACAAACCATGATTTCTGCTTTCATGAAATTTCATATTCAGAGACACAGGTTCCTCTACCTCTCAACTTAGATAATTCATAACACAAACACACACGTACATACATACACACCCACGCACCTCATCATAGTTCAGAGCAGGCCACTATTATATTTAACACAGATAGATGAGAGAAGAAACAAAAGAAAATACATGAATTTAAGCTTGAATTAGTATGACAAATTGAATTAGAAAGCACCAATAAGAAAGGCAAAGGCAAAATGCAAGACTCACGGACCACGCACTGAGCATGCACTGAGCACGCACTGAGCACGCACTAAGCCCGTGAGGTGGGGTCCTTACCCCACTGTGAGGACAGGGAAGCAGGGGCCCAAACAGGGTCACCGGCTGTCCTCACATCGCACGCCTAGTAGGTGGGTGATCCAACGCCAAACTCAAGAGAATCTGGAGCGATGCAAACACATCTACACATTCTTAGCTGGGACTGCTTGGTGACCTTGGGCAGTGAGGTGACCCCTGTGTCCTTTGCATTATCTTCTCAGTGACGACGGGGCCACAGCAAGCTCCTCAGTAACAACCGGTTACCAGGGCAAATGGCCTTGTGAGAGTTCTTCTTCCTCTCTCCCTCCCTCAGCATCGGCCTTTGGAAGATGATTTTCATAGACTGTGACATGTCAGAGGTGGCAGAATTTGTGTTCTTTCCCTCCTGCAGGCCTCCTCTACTACTTTTGACACTACAGACCCCTGAGCCTACACTCTTCCTAGACGTCCATCCTCATGATAATACCACCTGCAATTATCAAGGGTTTCTATGTGGTACTTCAAGGTTGAGTGCAACCTCCCTGATCAGTGGCCCCTACCTCCCTTCAAAAAGTGTATCACCCTGCAGCTGACCTTACTAGGAGCGCCAATAAGCACCAAAGGCAGACTAAGGGTGCTCGGTTAAGCTCGCAGGTGAAGTGTGCACTTTCGGGGTGGCTCCTGGGGAACATGCTTTGTTTTGCTCTCTAATCTAAGAATAATTTAAGCTTGTATCCAGCCACTGGGTTAGGATGGGAAAGGCAGGGATGAACGCAGATAAACTGGGCAGATAAATTCTTGCAAATCTAAGAAGCTGAGTATTTAACAAGCCATCTGAAACAATGACGGGGCAGAACAATAACACCATCTCACTCAGGATCTTGCTATTTGCTGACTTCCTGGTGGACCCGATCTTCAGCACCAGGTGTCCACGTGACAGAGTAAGGCAGGCAGAAAGAAAGGACTATCGACACTAAGTGTATAAATGCCTAAGGGCATGCTTCCTTTAAATAATTTCCTTTAAATGAAATTATATTTCTACAGACATAAAAGGGATACAGTATATCCTAAAAAATATGATTCCATTTCATGGAGAATAGCAAAATATTTTCTATTTTGAAAGAAAAATATTTATTATTAAAGATCTTAAAGCTACTGACACTTGAGCAGTTGAAGCCAGCAGGACGGAACTATCAGAAACATCTAAATTTTACATTTTTATCTCCCAATTTCAAATAGTTCTTTCCATTTCATTTCAATCTTCAATGGAAAACTAAAACGATACTTTAAAGACATTAACTGTTCCTACCTGAAGTTCCTCACAATTCCAGGGAACAAGGACAGCTTTCTGTCTAGAGTGGAGCTCTCCACCAGGCATACTGGGATAGCTCCCATCACGGGAGAACCCAAGTGAACGTGCAGGGGAGGGAAGGTAGGGCAAGTGCAACCTAGAAGAGTGAATGTAAGTTTTCCATCTTCAACCTTAATTCTCCAGGATAAAATCTTGCTTTGCGAAGTCAAACTTTTACGGTAAACGGGGAGGAGGCGCAATACACCCACCTGCCCGCCGGTGATGGAGGCTCTCCACAGGCCCAGGTTCTCGCACCACCAGTCTGTTCTGGCCACGTGCAGCTTGAGGTCTGCGCACTCCTTCTCCGCCAGGAGGATCTCCTCCTTCAACTTGGAGACAATCTGCCATGGGGGAAACATCCTGGCCATTACAAAACCATTTAAAATGCTATGCAGTTCAGCAAAGTGGCAGGGTGCAAAATCAACACACAAAAATCAGTTGCATTTGTATACGCTCACAACAGACAATCCAAAAAGGAAATGAACAATTCAACTTACAATAGCATAAAAATAATAAAATACATAGGATGAAATTAAGCAAGAAGGTGAAAGACTTCTATAACAAAAACTATACAACGCTGATGAAAAAAAATAAAGAAAAATATAAATAAATGGAAAGATAGCCTATTTCATGGATTAGAAGGCTAAATATTGCTAATGTCAATACTACCCAAAGTAATCTAGGGATTCAATGCAATCCCTCTCTAAATCTCAAAAATACTTTTTTAAACAAACAGAAAAATCCATCCTATAATTCATATGGAATCTCAAGGGAGACTCTATAACCAAAATAACCTGGGGAAAGAACCAAGTTGGGAAGCTCACATCCTCATTTCAATACCTACCACAAAACGACATTAATCAAAGCAGAATGGCACTTAGCAGTGACCATCACAGCATCGTTCACTTAATCATCACTGATGTTTCCGAGCACATGTTCAGCAAGTGCCAGAGGAGGTCAGTTGAGCAGACCAACGGGTGTCAGCTGTACCTCGCTTACAAAAACCTCCTTATTGGACTCCAAAGAGGCATGAACACACAGCAAAAGGCCATACCACCTCTTGGGTTTGTGAAGTGCCAATCAGTGAGATGCTGTTTACGTTTTTCAACTTACAACTTCTTTTGGCTTTTAGCAAAATAATTTATTTCTTGCACAATTCTTTGAGGTTCTCTATATTTTACTTGCCGTATTTTTGAGAAAATAAAAAAAATTAAGATTGTCCTTGAGCAGTTAACTCACTTGCGGAAATGACCTTGGTACAAGGGAAAGCTTTGTCCCCTCCCCAAAGGTACTGCAGGCAAGCCAGAGAAGGGGACAGTTACTCAGAGTGGACGACTGGGAAAGAAACCCAAATCATGCAAGATTAAATACAAGGCATTTTCTAATTCTTATTAGAAGCAAAATAGTAACAATAGAACTTACAGTAAAACTCCTTTTAAAGAAACCGTGTCACTTCTCAACATAAACTGAAAACAGCTTTTTATCAAATTTTAAAAATGGAAACTTTCAACAACAACCTTGAAAGCAAAAGAGTTACCTTCTTGTCAGGTTTTGGTGCATTTTGAATAGAATTTAGAGCTTGCCTTTTGTATTCAAGTTTCTCATTTAGTTCTCGTAGTTTGTTTACAGCAAAACTGGCTTGTTCATTAATCTGACTGGTGCCTTCATCCACCGCTTCCTCACCAGCCTCACCTCCCAGGCCCTGGGGAAAGAAGACACATGACCACCGCATCTTATAAAGACAGACCGTTCAGTAATTACTATCTATTATATAGGCGCTACAATCAGTAGTGCACTCTCCAAAGTACTAGATTCCACTAAGGAAAGAATCTATAGTAAGATGTCTAGAAGGTGAGTGAAAAATTAAAGCGTCTGGAACCCAAGTAACAGGTGTTCAAAACTGCAGGGAAGGAAGGAAGGAAGGGAGGAAAGAGCGAGGGAGGGAGGGAGGGAGGGAGGGAGGAAGATTTAGTAACCTAGAGAAAGGACAAAAAGTCCATACCATTATTTCCCAAATGGTACACCCGAGGGAATCTGCATGGGACAAGGGAAGGCACCAGTTACCTTCCCAACTCAGCCCAAATGTCCCGTGCCTGACCTCTGCCACAGACGCCGAGGTTCAGCTCCCTTCTGGTGTCCTGAGAATATTGTGAAAACTCATGGAAGACTCTTTAAAATAAAATTTCCAAATTCCCTCTAATATAAGTACTTTCTGTGTACACTTTGGTCCTTCTCTTGAAGATGTATGTTGTAAATCATTAGATAGATTATTTTATTAATACAATGGTTAGCTTTTGAAAGTGACTTAAAGTTCATAAAGAATTATATAACTTGGAAAAATCTGGATTATCAAAGGGCGTATTAATTAGATTCATGAGTAGCAACAACAGCAGGACACTGAGAAGAACCGCTCAGAACGATCTTCTGGTTAGTTTTCTCCTTTCTCCCAGAGTTTTTCTTATAACTTTTATTAATTGTAATAAAGAGTAAATTAAATTTTTTCAAAGAAAAATAAGATATTCTAACCATAGAAAACCAAGCTGTCTTTATTATGGAGGAATGAGCGGCCAGAGGGGAAGTAAAGGGAGGGCCCCACTGCTGCAGCCGAACAAAGAACTGACCACGGGAGGCCCGCCTGTGACCCAGTCATCCTGAGTCTGGTCCGATAAGGCTGCCCCGCATCCCAGACAGCACGTGACACTCTGACAGCGTAAGAGGAGGAAGCCCTTGGAAGTCTATGTGTATCAGCTCCACCAGCCGGAAAAAGGAAAAGCTTGAGACTGTGTGTTCATCCCAAGGCCTGGAAGAGGGCAGGGGAGGAGACCAAAGTGCCCAAAGAAAAAGCCCATGAAACAACTCTGGTTAATTGTCTGCCCTCTGTCCTGTATGCAAAGTGAACAAATAGAGTCTGGAGCAAGATAAGGATTTGGGCTATCAGACCCCCCACACCGCTACATCCGGGTAGTCACGTCTCCCCCCAAAAGCTGGCACCACCTTTACTGCCACTCAAGATGTCATTCCTCACCCCCACCCTGCCAACTCTGTAAGTCCTCAGAACAAAGGACTTCTCTCTCTCGGCCTCTTCTCTTGGCCTTGCGGCTCTCTGGCCACACGGGGGCCCCTGGCCACCTCTGCCGGCCTCCTGGCTCCTAGCCACCTGGCCTCTGGCCACCCCTGCTTTGCTTTCCTATTAGAACCCAGCATTAATAAACTTCGCTTGCACACTAATGGGCTCACTGGCCTATAACTCTTTACTGCATCAATGAGAAGACCCGAGTTTCTGGAAGTTTCTCCCCTAACATTTCCATCTTTGTAGGTTCTTTCTAAATCTTGTCCGTAAGTATATCTAGCATGACATCATTCTACACCTGTGTACACTCAAGCAGGTAGCCTGCCTGTTTCACATAACATACAACGCGGCGTATCTTGAAGGTATTACAGCCTTCAAAATTAGAACTTGCTGTCTAGGTGGTACTTCATGAAGTGACCATTTAACCGAGGCAGGTGCCTGCTGCTGCTGCTGCCACTCAGGGCTGATTTTGCGCGTCTGCCATCCCAGATGTGCTGAATGAAACTCCACTGTGCACAAACCGTTTTCTACATCTTAGCTACCTTCAAGGATAAATTTCTAGAAGTGGGAGCTACTGGAACAAAGAGTAAGAACTATCAAAAAGTCAGCAATACATAATACCCTTCTCTGAATCCTGAGTGAAGTTGGACATTTTTTCATGTGCATTTACTATGACTTTTCTTATCAAGTGTCAGTTCAAGTCCTTATCCAACGTATCTGTTGGGATGTTTTTATTAATTTGAATAACATCTTCTACAGCACTGGCATATTAACCATTTTAACTTTTAGGTAGAAAGATGACAGCTTAAAAACAAACTGGCCTTTCTTAAAAGGAAAATGCACTGAGTCATGAGGTTTGAACCAATCAGTTTAGCGGTTTTTGTACTCTGAAAACATTAAAGAATCAAGTAACAAAACTTTTCTTTAAAAAAAAAAACAACAACAAAAACCCTGAATGAATGAATTTAACAACAGTCCAGAGACACCAGATTCTAATACCATTAAGAGCAAGCGCTTGATCCTCCGGGCTTAAAATACAGTGAACTGGGCAGAAAGAATCCAAGATAAATTATACTCTTTCCATGTAAGATGACTCTAAAACACTTTGTTTTTCTTTGCACCTTCACAAATTCTAAAACTCATATGTCATTAAGAGTAAATGAGAGACAGTAACTGGGGTTATCCAAAACGATCTAGTACACTAGACGAAAATTGCACTTAAGGTATGGCTGAGCAAGGTTCCTTTCAGAACATCTTAAATTCGTCTCATTTTTTAAACTCCAAAATACTTCCCATGACTCCTGCCACATTCTCTTGCCCTCCTCATTTTCTCTCCATCCTTTGTCTGTCCTCAGGCTGGACGATATAGTTCCACCAATTCTCTAACCTGGCCTAAGCCACAAACGGCTCACCTCACAGACCTTCTGCCCTTGCTTTTCAGGAGCTGAACTCAGCACGCGTCTCAGGTGGACAGAGGCAGGAGGCCTCTGACTCAGGGCTGCGAAAAGGGGGCCAGCGGTCAGAGGACAGAGAGAAGTGTGTGAGGCCAGAAGCAATGAGGTAGTGCAACGTCAAGTCCCACTGAAAGTCCCGTAAGCTAGAAGATGAAGTTACACTCCCATTTTGGCTTATACAATGCGTGCTCGCCGAATGATATTCAAAGCTTTTGCACGGAAAAGGAAGCAGAAAGGTGAACGGGACTCACCACGTCATCCTTGTTAGAAATCAACTGTGAGGCATGTTTTTCTTCCTCTGTTATCATCAACTTCTCATACAGGTCACTGACAATAAATGAAGGGTAATACCTGTCCTTTAGGATCTCATAAACATCTCCCTGGATTTTGCAGAACACTTCAATACCTTTATTTCCTACAAGACACTGCTGGATCTCTTTGTACAGTGATTTTTCCACAGATATTTCTTTGCTCTCCACAAAGAAATTCTGATAAATTTCACCAACTAATTGTGGGATTTCATTCTGAAAAGACAGGAAAATAATGAGAAAAGTAAGAAATACCATCTCTGAGAATTACTTTCTCCTGCACTCTCTGCTTCTCAGAGCTGGAAGGAAGACACTAAGAATGCATGTTGAAAAGGACCTATGGACAAAGCCAAAGTGGGGAAGGGTTGAGGGTGGGAGGTGGGGGTGGGTGGGGAAGGGGAAAGTGGTGTCAGGAAAATGGAGACAAACGTATTTGAACAATAAAAGAAAAAGAAGCCGGTAAGCCAGGGTCAGGCTCTGGCTTCTGCGTGCGCATTCGGGGCCAAGGGGTGATATCAGACGCTGAGAAAACAACTGGTTCCTTACAGTGAACACTACGCTGAACAGTTAACAACAGTTGGAGTTCAGTTCTAGCAGCACTCATGGAAAGTGCAAATGAGCAATTTCATATCCACAGTGTTCTTTGTGCTTATTTTAATAAGCCTCACAAAATATATGTATTATACATATTACACATATTGTTAAGTATATTTATAGACATATACACACATATAGAGTTCACATTCTTTAATTTGATTCTTAAATATATATTGAGAAACTGCCAAGTATTATACAAAACACAATGCTTATTGCTGGGCTTTTCATTGTATGAGGCATCTGTAATCAAACTTTTTTTGTGTTCCTTAATGCAATCATATTTTAAAGAAAACAAAAGAAGAACAAACAGCAGTGGAAAATAGGCACATTATGATATTAAAAATAACAAGGTTATAAAACTGAGTTGTAGTTGACAAGCCCAAGTTTATTATAATAACAATGTGGGTATGCATATGCCTTTTTATAATGTGTTAAAAAGCAACTACCTGAAACTAAATTTACTATTTTGGCACATTTATATATTTTTTCCCCTTTGAATACACATTTGAAATAATCTTTTGTAAAAAAAAAAAAAAAAAAAATCTAATTTCATTTACCATTATAGGCTAGAACATAATGCCAGGATTATATTTGGTTTAAAATACTCTTTTAATGTATTATCTGGCAGGCCCACTGAGAGACTCAGACACAGTGCATAACATGCAGGTTTTTCTCGGCTGGCGATTAATATCCCTTAGTCTAAATACGGTACCTTGTTAGCATTCTTTAAATATTCCACAGACTCCCAGAAGCTAATCAGCGCTTTCTTGTCCGTCCTCTCCATGTATGTCCCAAAGTGCTCTCGGTAGAAGGGACTGGCCAAGATATCTTCAAATTGAAGAATCTATGAAGAGAATTTAACAAAAAGTTCTTAAAAATCAAATTTTAAATATCAGTTTGTTTTAACTTTAAGTGGACTAATGTCCACATTAATTAAGTTCTCCATTTATTAATAAATTAAGTAATGCTTCATTTTTTAAGGTCATAGTCAATGTAATACAGCACCCCCCCACCCTCCTAAATTTTAAATGGTAAAAGTTTACTGAATATTCAAAATGCACATAGTCAATAAATACCAATTTTCTATAAAACATTCACTCCTTCAGTAAAAGACCTATTTGGCATTAATTCTTTAACAGACACACTTCTAGGAAATGAAACAGACAAAAATCCCTGCCCTATGGGATGTACTGCTAAAAGCAATAGATGCCAATAATAGAGAACCTGAAGAGAAATATATTAAAGACCAGGAAGCTTGCCCTGGCTGGTGTGGCTCAGTGGATTAAGTGCCGGCCTGCAAACCAAAGTGTCGCTAGTTTGATTCCCAGTCAGGATACATGCCTGGGTTTTGGGCTAGATCCCCAGTAGGGGGCGTATGAGAGGCAACCACACATTAATGTTTCTCTCCCTCCCTCCCTTCCCCTCTGGCTAAAAATAAATAAATAAAATCTTTAAGGAAAAAAAAAAAGACTAGGAAGCTGAAAGGTAATAATTTGGCATTTTTGCTTTCTGCCCTTTTTATATGGCTGAGGGAATCTACAAATGATTTTATATCTTGCCGTTTTGTTTACAGTATCAGATTCATTAAAAAAATGTTTTGTGGGCACCATTTAATTGAACCATAATATTCCACTGTGTGGATATACCAAAATTACTCCTTTATTATTCTGCATACTTACTGAAGAACAAAACTCACTATCTGAAGACATAGAACAATCGTGAACACAGAATGCCATAGTAGGAGAAAGCACATGACCTTCATTATAATTCATAACTCAATGAACTAGGAGAAATGCTTCTAATTAATTTAGAAGAAATTTAAGCCTCTCATCCTCAGTTCTCAATGAGATTTAAAAATGGCACCTAAGTATAACTCAAATGCAATGAAAACATTTTAAGATTATTTTTAAAAAAGATTCTTAATATTATAACAGAAAATTTTCAGAAATGTTACCTGTAACATCTTTCTAAAACCACGTACACACATCAATGCCAATTCAACTCCTCGGCCACCGACAGTAAACCCTAAACGGTTCTCTGGGCTGGAAGGGATAGGCAGTGTTTCTAATAACTTCTGGTAACTAATGAAAGGAGGTGGCCACCCCTTGCTACAGGCCACTAATAATTAGTTTCCCTAAATATTTCAGACCAATGGTATTGAGCTAGTTTACTAACTTTGGGAGATTGTAGCATGTATCGTGACTTCCTGTAAACTGTACAGTGAAGCATTCTGAAGTCCAAATCCTAACTGTCCATGCTCCTGAGAGGTCTGAAGGAACTCATCCCAACTCTGGCTAGGGATGACAGATCACTCAGAAAGCTACTCATTTTTAATATAGGGAGGAGCTGAGTGGGAAGAACATCCAACAAATTTTAAGGAAGTCTTCCCAGGATAATTTCACTGAAGTCAAATGAATTCCAAGTTGCAATTCTTTTCATGTATTTGCAAAATGAAGTTCAAAACATCTTCTAATTCTTTTATTCTTTCCATGTTCAGTCCCAAAAGTTATAACTACATTCAAATAAAATGAGAATAAATATATCTCAAGGATAATTAAACATGTGATGGATCTTGTATCTTGGCTGGCGGACAAACCAAGCTCTCTACTGCACTTGCTTTTTCTCCCCTTGAAGCCTGCATGAGCATTTCACTGTGTAACACCTACACTGCTTGCAAATAGACATTTGTGGGTTTGAATCCTGGCTCTGTTACCCTCTAGGTCCACGAGCTCTAGTTGCTCCGTCACTCCAAGCCTCGGTTTCTTCATCTGTAGAATGGGGATAGTACTACCTACTTTACAGGTTGCTGTGAGACTTACAGGAGCTGTTTTGACTCAAAACAAACAGAACAGAAACTAATCAGGAAAAGCCTGAACTAGGATTTTGGCTAAGAAAGACAGTGATGGATGCCAAAAATGAGGGTAGTTAAGAGGTAACTTTCTAGTTGAGTAAACATGGGTGAAGGATTAGATCAGTGGGTCTCACGTGGGTTTAAGAGATTACAAAGGGCACGAGGAAGTATCTGGGGTGATGAATATGTTCATTATCTCAATCGCAATGAGGATTTCATGAGTATATACACTTGTCAAAATGTATTTGTATACACTTTAAATATATGCAGCGTACTGTATGTCATAATATCTTAATAAAGCTGTTTAATAAAATAAGTATTCCATCACACCTTGACAATAGAATTGAAGATAAATGATGCACGCAATGTTTGTCATTAAGGACCCACAGCCAGGAGAACATATATTGGAGTACTTTCCCTACTTACAGATTGCTGGATTTGATTTGCTAAGACTTTGTTATGGAATTTTCTGTTTAGGGTCATGATAGATATTGGTCAGCAGTGTTTTGTTTTGTTTTTTTTCTTGTAATGTTTTTCTCTGGATTGGTACCAGAGTTACCCTGGTATCCTATGGAGAGTTGAAGAGTCCCTTTCTCCTTCATTTATTGGAAGGGTGCAGTTAAGATTGATATTCTCTCTGCCTTAAAATGTTTAATAGAATTCACTAATGAAATGATATGAGCCTGAAGTTTTCTTTGTGGGAAGGTTTTAAATTATGAATTCATTTTCTTTAATACATCAAGGGCTAATCAGATATTCTATTTCTTTTTGAGTCAGTTTTGGTAATTTGTGTTTTCAAAGGGATTGTCTATTTCATTTTAATTGTAAAAATTAGTGGCTTAAAGCTGTTCATGACATTCCTTTCATAACCTTTTAATGTATGTAGAATCTATAGTGATGCCCTCTCTCATTCCTAATATTAGTAATTTGTGTCTTCTCTTTTTTTTTCTTAATCAGTCTAACTAGTGGGTATAAATATTATTGATCTTTTCAAAGAAATACCTTTTGGTTTCATTGATTTTTCTATTTGTTCTCTATTTCACTGGTTTCCATTGTTATATTATTTCCTTTCTTTTCATTATTTTAGTTTTAATTTGTAGGATTCAAGATGAAAATCACTGATTTTTGACCTTTTTTTTCCTTCTGGTTAAATTCCTTGTTCTAAAGTCTACTTTGTCTGATGTTAACATGAACTACTTTAGAACGTTAAGCTTATGTTTACATGGCATGCTTGTTCCCCTCCTTTTACCCTCAACCTATCTGTACCTTTACAATTTCTTGTGGACAACATGTAATTAAGCCTTGCCTTTTATTTATCCCTCAGGCAATCTCTTTTGATTGAAGGATTCCTCTAACTTTGACGGCTGTGCTCTCAAATAGAATTAGTGGTGACCCCTCCAGATCAGATACGATGAGTAGGTCAGAGCAAAGCTGCTCTATCTATTTATGAAGATGTCAGAATGGCTCCAAACTAACCAAAGGTTTACCTTTCAAATAGCAAACCACCATGAATATTGGAATTCTATAATATTATCTGAGCCTCCCAGCCTGAAGACTCGAGGAAATGGTTTCACTCTGAGGCAAAACTGTTGCAACAAAAATGGGTTTCCTCCTTTCCTAAGTATCTGGGGGAATGAGTCAAAATGGAGCTAGAATGAGATTTAACTCTGTTTCTAGCAGGAACTTCCAGATAATCTGCATGGAGGTCACACTGAGTTCTCTTAAAACGAGCTTCCCTTCCCTTTCTCAGGGTTTTTCTCTATCACTGCATCTAAAACCACATCATCCTCTGAGTAAGTAGCAAGTCATCAGGTGCCTCTCTTAGGTGACATATCCCATCTCTAATGTACCACTTAACCTATAAGTACATGGGACTCTTTGAGAGCAGGGACTCTCTTATTCATTTTGTATTCTAGTACTTTGCACTGTAAATGAGAAATTAAAAAGCTTCAATAAATGTCCATTGGATGGATGGATGGATGGGCAGAACACAAGATGACCTCATCTATGATAAATGCGGCTAGAAATTTATTTGAGCCCAGAAGTTGAGGAGGAGGAGGAGGAAAAGGGATAACATTCGACCTGTCAAATCTACTCTTCCTCCAATGTTTACCAAAACATGAAGTTTACACTTTGGACCACAAAGCCAAACTCACAGAAAGGTGCATTTGCTAAGAGCAAAATAAATACCCCCAGTGGTTAGTGGACCCTTCTATAAAACAAGAGCTCTTCAGGGCTGCACAGCGCCCCTGGTGCCAGATGCTGCAGAACAGCTGGTCCAACATGCAACACGAACTTTCCTGAACAGGCTCTAATGGAGACTGAGCCAGGAACAAGGTAAGCTTTCATCACTGGGATAGAGAGGAAGGGGTAAGGCACAGATAAGCAAGAGCTGTATAGGAAAAGATCAAGAGACTAAAAATCAGAATAAGCGAGGTTAGAGGCTGCAGCCAGAGTTAAGCTACACAGATGTTGCTTCCTTGGGGCTAAATGCCCCTTACTGAAGAGGGTGGCGTTTGCCTTGAAGTCTGTTACCAAGTGATACAGCCAAGCTCCTCAAAGGTACTGTGGCCTCCTCAATCCTAGCCTGCTCTTGGCCTCGGAAGACAGGCTTGGTCCTTGAAAATAAGGACAGGTATGAGGTAGGGCCAGAACACTTCCCTATTCTCCATGATTTAAGGACTTGGTATCAGACGGTCCAAAGCTTTTTTATAAAAAAAAAATCATTGATATATTATGGTTTAGTGAGAAAGCACTTAGATGTGTGAATCAACTAGACTTGGATTTTTTATCTAGTTCTTCCTCTTCTTATCTACATGGCCTTGGGTAATTGACTTAGAATGAAACCAACTCTGTTTCTTCACCTGTAAAATGGGAACATCGAGTACATGTTTCACAGCAACGTGGTGAGAGCTAAGTAAAATAACTTACAAGGCACCTTCTACTTCATAGGTGGTTATTTCTATCCAACTGGTAACATGATTGGGACCTTGCGAATATAAATGTGCTCCTCTACGATTGTCGGAGGGCAAAGGGGGGATGGGAACATACACGCAGGCCTGTGTGCACACACGCACCCCCATGCCTGTCTATCTCGCCTACTACCATTCCCAGAAGGCAAGGACACCAAGTAATACAGCTCTTCACTCATAAAAGCGAACACCTGGGTCTATATTCTGGAACATATGCCTCAAGTTACACATGAAAAAGTCAAAAGACTGTCTGTCTGATTCCATCAGTGTTCATAACAAACATGAAATGGTCAAAACGAGAACTAAAAAGTCTACCTTCTGGCTTTGAGGCCCTTCCCCCTCCTCCAAGGCCCCGTCCTCTTGCTGGTCATAGGCAGGGCCTCCCAGGGTTCTGATTCTCTTCTCGCACTGCTTCTTTGCCACAGTCAGTTGGTTAATGTACCTTTTCATATTCCTGGCCCTCAGGAGGTCAGCTTTCATTGCAGCAGTTTCTTTACCTTGAATGGGATGGATGGACAGTACCCGGTCAGAGGACAAGGTACAAACGAGGGAGCACAACAACCCTGAACCAGAATAATGCCTGGCGTGGCACACTCTGAACAACAGTGGGCACTAAAGAATAGAAGAGGATAGGATAGGACAGAATAGAATAGAATAGAGTAGAATAGAATAGAATAGAATTTATGCTAAACATACACATACCCTCAAATAGAAACACCAGGATTTCTAAACATACCACTGACAAATCTTGGTCAAATGTAAAACATTTTTAAAAACCTCCCCTGTACACATAAACTCACAAATTGATATGCATGTTTGCATGTATATATACAGTTGACCCTTGAACAACACGGGTTTGAACTGCATGGGTCCACTCATATGCAGAGATGGCACAGCCAATGACTGAATCAGAGAACATTTTTTAAAAAAGCAGTTTATGAAAGAGGTAAGTTCAATTTTGAACAATGTGGCAGATGATATTTGGCAACGACGGCCATAATAATACCTCCCCTCTCACATGTTCTTCTTACAATGTTGCTTTTGACAATGTCCCCCTGAAAACCAGGGAATGTGTTCCCTTTCCTTGAACCCGGGTGGGTCTGTGAGTATGCAGGAAGTGACGCGATGACTTAACAACACCATGTGGTAAAACGCCATTGACTTGGAGCCCTGGGCTGCCATGTAAGTCATCCGCCAGCTGTGAGGCCTCCATGCTTGGAGGGAGCCTAGGCAATCGGTCAGTGGAGAGCCGTGCGTGGAGAGTCCCCCGCCCCACAACCCTGGCTGAGATCTCAGCCCATACGCAGCACTGACTTGGCACCATGTGCTTGCGCCATCTTGAAAAATGACCTGCCCGGCCCCAGAGAAGCAGAGAAGAGTCGTCCCTGCCAAACCCTGCCTGAACTGCAGATTCATGAGCTAAAGAAATGACTGTTGTTCAAGACTCTACATTTCAGGGGGGTGCGGTATGCCGCAAAAGATATCCAGGACCGGTAAACCGAGTTTGAGGGAACCCGAGCCATCTCAGCAGGGACATAAGGTGAGGAATTAAAAAGCGTCTGGCTCTTAGATGGTAACTTAAGTCATGGGAGTGAGCCAACCCAGGAAGAAAACAACGATCCCAGGATGTAATCCAAATAAACCCTACATTTGATGTGAAAGAGAAGAAAAAGCTGGCGAGGGAGACTGTGAGGGAGAAACAGAAAAGCGGGTTAGAGAGAGTGGTTTGCTGAGAAACCAAAGAGAGAATTCCAGCCAAGAGGGAGAGAGAGTCTCTTGCCTGTTTCATCGCACGGGCCTCCTAACTGGTCGCCGCGCTTTCCTCAGCCTCCCCTGCAGGCCCCGCGTCAGTACCGCCAGGGCAGGAATGAGCATCCCTCTGTTCCCAGCCTCCCGCAGGCCCTTCACCCCCAGCAAAGCCTGAGGCTCCTCCAGGGACCGGAAGCCTCACCTCTCCGACCTCATCCCGCCCACCCCGCCATCCACACCAGCCACACTGGCCTTCTCACTGTTTCTTTTTCTTTTTACAATTACAACTCTATTGAGATATAATTCACAGACCATCCAATTCACTTATTTAAAGCACACAATTTAACTGCTTTTAGTGTATTTACAGAATTGTGTTACCATCACCACAATCACTTTTAGGACATTTTCATCAGCCCCAAAAGAAACCGTGGCCCGTTCGCAGTCAGCCCCAGCCCCCTCAGCCCTAGGTGCTGCCGCTACGGATTTGCCTGTTTTGGACATTTCGTGTAAGTGGAAGCCACATGACGTGCTGCTTGGTGACTAGCTTCCTGAACACAAAGCCCAATGCACTCACTCAGAGCTCGGTGAGAATTCTGGCCATGCGGTCTTAGCAAGAACTCTTAAAAACTTAACTGGAAAACCACTTACAATGGGTTACTTCCTTAAGTTGACACTATAAAATTTAGAGCAAAAGTAAAAAGATCATACAAAATTAATTTTTAAAAATGACTAAGCATTGAGCATTACCTCGTGGAGAAGGGGCTGCTTTGCATACACAGTCTGAAGCAGCGGTTGGGGTTGGGGGAAGGCTCCCCCCGACTCCCGCCATGGGACAGAAATGAGCTGGTTTTAATGCTGGACCAGTTAAGAGAGAAGGAGAGGTGACAGATGGGGAGTGGAATCTGGAGACGGGCCTGAGACTGGCTTTGGGAAACGCCGCTTCCTGCACTGCAGTCACCGGAATGGACGAGGCTCCAGCAAGTCTGGCCCCTGGCCCCTGGCCCCTGGCTGCAAGCTGAAGCCGCTCCCCTCGCGTGGAGTCTGTTTTCTTGACGTAGTGAGTGAGGCTCTCTCTGCAGAGTGAGGGGGGTGAAAAGTGCAGGTCCAAGGGCTGCGGAAGTGGGGAAAGCGTGACATTCACCGCGCAAAGCAGCTCCCCTCAGACACACGGTGAGGCTGTCAGGCACTGATCAGGGCCGAGGTGGCCACCAACAAAGGGAGATGTCCCCAGGCAGGTCGGAGCGCACCCGGAGGTGAGTCCTCGCAGACCTGGCTTTGATGGGCACACACCAGTGAAAGAAGAGGTCTGGGCTTTGTTCTGGGTCCCCTCGGAGCGGAGCGTGAGTCACGGTTCACACCCCCAGCCGCAGACCCACTCCCCAGGACCATCAGTTCCTCTCCGGGGCCCCACTTAGTCAACTTGCACAAGCGCTGAAAATAGCACCTCGGCGGGCGGAACACACTAACTGAAAAAGCTTAGACCACACCACAAAACCTTTTATCTTTCAGAAGCAGCTTTTTCCAGTATTCACCACAGGGTCACAGGCAGACTTCAGGTCAATAGGTGGCCTGGTTCAAGAGGGTATGCCAGATACTATGTTTTCCCCCACACGTGCCCAGGAGATACTTTGGTCTGACTTCCACAGTGGCGTCTCAACTGGTCCAGTGCTTGGCTGACGGCACGGCCCTAACCGAAGGACTCAGTCGCTCAGCATTCATCTCAGGAGGAACAAACAGTGTCTCAGAGCCTCCAAAAAGTGAAGGCAGCCTGCCCCGAAATTAGACTATGCACACTAAGGTGCTGTGTTGTGTGCGCGCTTAAAGGCACAGAGGCTTGGAACGGCTCATTTTTCAGGAAAAAAAAAATCATTTTTAAACATATATACTTAAAAATCTAAACTTTGTACATAGCATTTTTTTCTACCCTAAAATTGGAGACCAAAAAGAAAAGCTTTTTACAAAGTAAACCTAGACCACAATTTGAATGCTGGGTGAAAACAGGCTAATAAAGAGATATAGAGAGAAAAAATTGACACACATTTATCAATAACCAAATTCTTCTTCTCCTAAGAAATCTTTAAAAGCCTTTCTAAAAGTACAAGGACTAAAAGCAAATTCCAAAGAAAAGGAAGAAGAACAAGAGAATAGACCTTCCTCTGAGACCTAGCCGCAGGGCCGAGAACACGCTGCTGTTTCCACTCAAACGTCGCCTGCTCACACGAATGCCTTCTGCTCCTTAAAGGGCAAACACGATGCCATCATCTGGCCCCTAAGCATGTTACCAACAAATGCAACAGCAGCTTGTTGCTCAGACAAGTCTGTTTATTTTTGCCTCAGAAAATTAATGCCATGTTCAGGGCTGAATGACTAACATGAGACTCATACAGCCCATGTGTCTGTCACGCATAAGTCCTTATAAACCCACTGATGCAGATGAATACACTTCCTTGTGACCTGAAAACCATTTAGCCAGGAAATATTCAAGTCACGGAGAGTACATACAAGTGGGTACGCGACTACCAGTGTGGCCCAGCTCAAGCCAGAGTCATATGGCTGTTTCTCCACAGGGCTTTAGGTGACGCCATGCGCTGTGAAACAACGGTTAGTCACACAACATTTAATCTAGCTTAAAAAAGAAGGCCAAGACAATAAACAGTGGCAGGTGAAACTGGATGGCAGTCGCTCTTTAAACTGGTGCCACGATGAACATACAAGTGATACAATAGTCTAAAGTAATTAATTATAAATGTTTCCTGTTTTCCCTCCTATATCATCTAGATTCTACTGAGGTCAAGGCAAAAGGAAATGGCTTTGTTTGGGTTCATTTCCTGCAAAGGGCATTGGAAATAGAAATTAGGTGAACACTTCTGTCTATGAAGACATCACAGCAGACCTATGACCAACGTCACAGAGTTACCTGTTGCTGTAACCTTCTGCCTATGGTATATTTCTTCCCTGAGCAAATGGAGTGGCTTGTAGTAAAACAAAAACAAGAGGGGACAACTATTAGGTACTATTTCTAATGAGGCAAAGGAAGGTGAAGTACCTTACAGTGCAAACTAGCAACTCCAGAAATAGCATAAGTATAAAGGGATGAAAATACCACCCTTGTATTTTTCAGGTATTAAAAAATGCCAACAGCAGACTATTCCTCTTTTCTTGTAACACCTGTCATATTCCAAGGCACACCTAACAGCAGCGCCTAGGCAGGCCGAGCAAGGAGTTCAGTGGCTGGCAGGGCAGGGTTTCTCAACCTCAGCTCGGGATAGATCTTCGCCGCGGGGCCTGTCCTGTGTACCGAGGGGCGTTTAGCAGCAACCCTGGCCTCTATCTACCACTAGATGCCAGTAGCATCCCGTCTCCCACATGCGGCAAGCAAAAATGTCTCCAGATATCGTCAAATGTCCCCTGTCCCCTGGGGGACAAAATTGTGCCCACCCCACTAAGGAGCACTGACACAGAGGCACAACCCCTGTGGTCTGGAAGGGGGCCGGCTGCGCACCTGTCCCCTTCTGCCGGCTCCCATGGCAGTGCCGGCAGGGATCTAGGGGAGTTCCTCACTAGACATCTGGTCTCCACACTGACAGACCAACCCGCCTTTGAATCTTTCTGAAACGCGCAAATAGAAATGTCAATAAACACCCTTTGAGAGGAAGGCTCAAGAAACGGGTATGTATTTGCTTAGGCACTGGTCAAGTTTCCCAACGAGAAATGGTGCTTGACTTCTTGACAGCAATTCCCAGTAGTTACTATTCATCACAAACTTCTTCAAAATTGTTTGAAAACCACCTCGATGTTTACCCAGGAACTTAAAAAAGACTGACCTTACTTTTCAACTTGATGCCAATAGGTTCTTTTTTTTTTTTTTTTTCAAAGAATAAAGGCGATTCTCTTACCACACCAAACACTTGAAGTCTCCTGAAGTGTCACCCCACTGCAGCGGGACGAGGAATCAGGAGAGAGGGCAGCAGGAGCCGACAGAAGAGCCACTCACATCGCAACGGAGAAGACGGCAGAGCGCTCACCGGCCCTGGCCAGCCTGGTCAGGCGGGCCTGCCGCACACCTTCCGCTTCCTTCCTTAAGTGTGGCTAGCACTGCCTTTGGTGGAAGCCCCTCTGCTATCTTTGCAATATACTTTTAAAGCAATAATGCCATGCCAATTACACCCACACATTAAATTACCAGGAGAGCCCTGCTCTCAAATTAGAATTAGGAGTTGAAGAGATAGGAGATATCTGCTTAGAACATAGATCTGACCCATATAATATGCAAGTCTGGAGCATGGCTCTCACAACGTCTACCTGTGTGAGTGAGGAGTATGGTGGGAAGGGTCCAGGACTAAAAATCGGGAGACCTGCATTCAAGATCGAGCTCTGTGTGTAGACTAGCTGGTAGCTCTAGTCACACAGGGCACAGTGTGGAGCATCTGGACCTGAACTTTATTGGTATGAACGCAGGTGTCAGAATATATGACAACTAAAGTTTTCTTGGGGGATGGAGGGGGCAGAAGGGTTGTCTATCAAATTATGAGACTACAGAGAGTGTAAAGTGCTCTGAGCCCTGCGTCCCTCAAGGCAGAGAATGGAGGGGGCGAAGGAGGACGGTGGCAGAGCCAGCAGGTGCGGGAGGCCGCGGTGCCAGTGCGAGGCTGGACGGGGGAAGGCTGGCGAGGACCCGGGAGCAACAGCAGGCAGCCAGCCCGGGGCATTCTGTCAGTTCAGGTCACTCATAAGTTAGGAACGGCCTGTATCAAATTATTGAAATGCTAGAAAGTCAGATCACCTCAAAGCATTAGAAAGAACGCTGAGACTATTGGCTCGCTTCTTTCAGGCAGGGACGCCTTTAAAACCCAAACCAGACAAAGAAGCTACATATTATCTTTATAAAAATAATTTCTAATGGAAATCATTATGGTTCTTACCAGCAATTAACTGTGTCTGTGCATGTGTGTATTTGATATGTTCCAAAGTTCTTCTATAGTTCTACGAGATATATTTAATCCCAAAACTGTTTACATACACCCTAAAGAAAAGACGCACAATTTTACCAAAGCCTCCCAATCCATGCTGTGAGAGTGGTGCTGCCACGTGAGTACGGCTTCTACACAGCAGTTTCTATCAGACTCAAATCCGCACTGTGTCCTTTGCCGTAGTTAGCTGAATGAGTGTTGTTCTGCATCACCTGACCTATTCTTGATAGCATCTCAAGATTCAGAACAGCAGAAAAGAAAGCTTTAAAGGGAGCTCAAATACTGGGCTTATTCACATCAAACTGCAGAGAAAGAGCAGCACATGTCCCATCACTCCTAGAATTCCTGCACTGGGGCCTGCGCTCCAGTTCACTCCGGTGACTATGACCGAATCCAAGCAGCAGCACCGTGCCTCATCTGCTCCGACCCCAGCACGGGAGGCTGTCCCACAGCTGCCGTCTTCATCTCTGCACACGTGGCACCCTCCACCCACACCCACCTGACAGGCCCAAGAAGAAATGACAGCCACTCCATCTTTCTGAGTCAGCTCTGTCTCCCTCCAGGAAAAGCCCTTCCTGACCTCTGTTCCAGGAAGGGCGGACTGCACCACTTCTGAATCCCGCGCGCGCTACTCTGACCGCACTTCTCAAACTGTGCCGTAACTTCCTGTGTGCGTCCACCCATCTCCTCCATACACTGTGATCTCCTTAAGGCCAGGGAGAGTTTTATTCATTGCACAGCTGTTCCTACCACATAACAGCACTCAAAAAAATGTAGGTTGGGTGACAGAAGGCCTACTTCTGGTGGTTAAGATACCTTTCAGAGTACACTCTCTACTGACCGGCAGGTCTTAGGAGAACTCAGGTGCTCTCTCCTCTCCCCGGGACTGGCGGGTGGAGCTGTGACCAGAGAAGAGGCATTCGGGATAAAACACAAAGGGTAGGTAGGAGTTACCCAGGCGGAGTGATACTGAGAACAGGGTAGCATTCCACGAAGAAGAAAGAGAACATGCAACGCTGTGCGGCAGGAGGAATCGGGGCGCGCTGCGAAAACAGGGAATTAGTGTGGCTGGAGTACAAAGGGGGCGTGGATGGCAGGGGAGGAGGCTGGAGACAGAGTAGGGGCCAGAGCAAGCAGGGCCTTGTGGGCTTCACATCAAGGAGTTTTTATTCCAAGAACAATGGGGAGACAATGAAGGGTTTTAAGCATAGAGGTGACCTGATAAAATCTGTATTTTTCAAAAATCACTATGGTTTCAGTATGAAAAACATAGTAAATAAGGCCAGGAGTGGAGGCAAGGAGACCCATTGAGAGGCCACTGCTGTGGCTGAGAAAGACCAGCGGCGGAAAACAGCGGGGCTGAGGTGCACTTAGGCGGTCAGCGTGCGTGACGGCAGTGCACTAGCCGGAGTGCGCGACAGAAGGGATGAACAGGGCGACTCCTAGGTTGCTGACGTGGGCGGTGGTGATGCCATTCACAGAGACAAGAAACGACAGGAGATGACGAGTCGTGTGGGACTTTGATCTGGACATTCTCCCTCGGCAGTACAGAGTGAGTTGGTTAAATCCTTGAGGTTTCAGAGGGTACACACGACCAGGTACACCCGCTGAATATTCAGTAAAAAGAGAATGTAAGGACAACGAGGGGTGCCAAATTTGATCTTTCTTTTTGATTAAAAATTATGTACACAAATTTTAACAACCCAGTTATTTAACATTGAAATCACCTACATATGCACTTCGACAGTGAGGCAGCAGATGGGACTGTGAATTAGGGAGGTCACGCCAGACCCTCAATGCACTGCTGTTCTCTGACAACGGGGACCAGAGCATCAGCTTCACCAAGATACTTGGCCTGGAGACAGCATAAATAGAAGACCATCAACTATTAGCTCTGTACTGGGGGCCTTTGAGGAAGGTCTATCCTACCAGGCGGCAGCGCCTGCTGCCTCTCAGCGGCAAATGAAGACCTGCTCCGCACTCTAGGCACAGCAGGTCCTCCGCCCGCACATGTGAGACGGGAACGTGCGGGCACCACGCAACCACAGGGGGGCTGAGAGCCATTGTCACACCTTAGCCATTTCTCAGCACCCAGCCTGCGTAACACTCTTTGCTTGAAGGGACACCAACAGGAAGAAAAAACAACAAACAGCCTATTTAAAAATCTACAAGAGCGGAGAAAGGAGAGAAGGTGTTCACAGTTCAAATGCTTAACTACAGGAAAAGGTTAATTATGAAACATCAACCCACTGGAGTCAAATAAACGATGATCAAGATTAAGTTTCAAGATAGAAATATTAATATTAAGATTATTTTTACTCTGTGACAAAAGTTATGAAGTCGTGTTGAATTTAAAAACAGAAGAAAAGCACTATCTAGCCAATAATTTTAATCTTTTAAGAACTGTGGCCGAAGATGAACAGTTTCTAAAGGAACACAGAAATACAAACAAGGGTTTCTGTTAGGATTAAATTATATTTACTTTCTCTAATGCTGTTCTGCTATTATTGAAATAAATTAAAATATTTAAATGGAAGCCAGAAGAACGCTCACACTTGCCAAAGCTCTGACAGTAACTAAAGAAAACAAACTGGTTCTTACCCTTGTGCCTCTTCAGCTGGGGAAAGCTGCTAATTGTAGTTGCCTGGATTATTTCCACTACAATTTGATACCTGATTTTAAAAAAGAGAGAAAAAGAAACGATTGAATAGAAAGAAAACACCATTCTCACACATACTTTTAGACCGGGTCTGCACTAACCGAACATTACACGGGCAGCGTGGACCCTGCCCACGTATCATCGAAGCCCGTCAACATGGACTGAGCCCCTACGCCAGGCCGGAGCTGCGCTGCATGCTGCTGTCTCTGAGGCCCCGGTGTGAGAATAATGAACTTGCTCCCCCCACTCTGTTCCCTATACCAAAAGCGTTACCACCTGCCCCCTCGCTGACAGCAGGAATCTGAGGCTATGCTCAGCTTCTCCCTCTTCCCTCTCCCCAACTGGTAACCAGAGCCTACTGACTCCACCTCCTGCATCCGCACTGCTCAGTAAGGTGGCCATGAGCCACATGTGGCTACTTAAATTAATTCAATCAAAACCTTAATTCCTCGGCTGCATTAGCCACAATTCAAGTGCTCCATAGCCACGTGCGGCCCGTGGGCCATGCTGGACAGTACATATGAACATTTTCCCATCACTGCAGAAAGTCCTGTTGGATGCCGTCGTCCTACAAACTTCCCAAAGCTGTCCCCTCCCCCTAAGTCCCACTGTCACGGTCTTAGTGATTGTCCTCATTACTTCTCAGTTGGAAGACCACTTCAGACCAACAGAATAGGGGACCTGCAGTGGGACCATGGTGTCAATATTGTTTTGCTCCCCAGCTAATTCTAATGCAAGAAAGAGTTGACAACACCAGATATATGTATGTGTGACTAAGAACACCTTTGAATCAGGCGGAAAAAAAGGTTTCTGTTTTCAGTAGAGCGGGACATTGGTTCTCAAACTCAATTCATTCCAGAAAACTAGTAAAGAAGCGATGTGTTTGAAAACTGAACCTCCTCTGGTGCCTGAGAGGCACGTGATTCATCATACAAATATCAGCATTAGAGGGCTGTCTGGTAGGGAGTCGAGACCCAAAGTTTTGTTAGACAACCAAGACATTTCTTCTGTGAACAACTTGGTTGAGAACTGAACTGTTTGAGAACCAAGACGTTTGAGAACAAAGGTTTGACCATACCGGGTATAATCTTAGAGGTGTGGCTATTTTGAGCATATTCAGGTGGGCTTTAGGAACTCAAGTTCTGGGGCTATTCAGTGGTTACTAAGTATTGCCCTAACCAAGTTCATCTATACTGAATGTCTCTTAGCCCTTGATTATACTGACTGACTAAGAATCTGCCCTAATAAAGCTAATTACCATTAATTATTACTCTGAACACAAACTCTAGCATTCTAAGATTTAATGTTACATCTGGCTGGCATTATACATTCTTTTGCTTTTCAACTAAAATCTAGATGAGATTCACGAATACATCATAGTTACAGCTATTCATGGATCACAAATTCACAACTTTTTATTTCTTCACTTGTGTAATATAAATATCAGTGCCTGTCTCTCGCCACCTCAAAAAAACAGGCTGTTAAGAGCATCGTTGGCATGTCACCTGGAGAATGTGGCAGACACTGCTGGTGGCCAACGCTTCCTCTCTTTCTTCCTCACTAACTGAACCACAGTCTTGTCAGAAAAGGCAATGCACCTTGCTGAAAACCTCTCCCCAGCAGCTGGAAGTGGCCATTTGGTACAGTTCCAGCCTGTGAGATACAAGCAGAAGTTGCCAGGTGGGGCTTCCAGGAAAGCTTTCTAAGGGAGCAGCCTCCACAGAAATGCCCCTTCAGTCTTTTCTCCACGCCTTTTCCCAATCTTCCTGCATGAAGCAAGGATGCCACTGGGGGAAGGCACTGCAGCCATGAGAATGAAAGCCCCAGGCTAAGATGGTGGCATAAGAAGACAGGAGAAGTTTAGGTCTCGGAAGACATCACTGAGCCATCACAACACCCCCACACTTCCCATCCCAGGACGTCTTGCCACATGAGGAAAATAAATCCCTAACTTGCTGAAGTCCCTGTACATCAACTTGTCTCAGGTCCAAATGCCATCCGGGCTGACGGAGCACCCTGTGACACTTCATACACAGAGGAGCGAGCTCTGGGCCGCGGGAACGCCCGGGCAAGGCTCCCCAGGTAGCAGCTGTGCTAGGGCATTAACGACCAACCTAGTTTTCTGATGGTCCTGCCTCCTTTCCTGCAAATGACGATAGAGCATAAAAAAATGGCTCTTGACGTGATTTTTCCTGCTCCTGACTAAACTGATGAGGAAACAACTTATAAGAAGCGTACACAAACCTGCAGCCATCAAAACCTGTCTCTGCTTAACCAAGACCTTAACGTCACCTGGGACTACCATTCCCTCTGCAACTTGACGGTGGCTGTCTTATCAGCCCAACCTCTTTTTCTCCTCACTACGAGCCTGGACTTACGCCAGGATAATTTCTCTACACCCTCCTACAACTGCAGTCGCTTTCCAGCCTTTTGCTCATGTGGTTTCCTTCTGGAAACCATCTCTCTACTTGGCCACCCAACTAGATTTTACACATATTGCAACTTCCCTCAGATCGTCCCCAATCCCTCTAATTCACATTAATACTCCTCTGAAATCCTAAGTCACTTCTGCTCTCTAATAGCATGTATTTAGATATTATTTTATATTGCTGATTGAAAGAGTCACATTTCCACAAACAGTGCCGTGAGTGAGGAAAATGGTGCGTCCAGTCCTTTTCACTTCCAGGCCTAATACTTCTTTAAAAAATGGTAACACATCTGAGCCTATGACAAAATTGTGCCTTTGTCTGTAATAAAGATGCATTATCTTTTTCTCTCCAATTTTATCATCAGCCTCCTTAATAAGAGGGACTGTGTCTTGTGTTCTCCTACAGGACCTAGCCTGGCACTAAACATGCGGTAGGCACTCAGTCAATACCAGTGAGTGCTGCTGGCTGAAGGCTGGTGTTCCCCCAAGATTCATGTTGAACCCTAATTCCCAGTGTAAGGACGTTTGGAGGTGGGGCTGCTGGGGGGGTGATCAGGTCATGGGGGCGGTGTCTCCATAAATGAGGAGAGAAAAGAGACCCCCAGAAGAGACCCCCAAGAGCTCTCTTTCTACCAAGATTACAGCAAGAAGACAGCCGCCTACAAACCAGATATTGGGCCCTCACCAGGCACCCAATCTGCTGGCCCCTTATCTTAGACTTGACAGCCTCTGGAACTGTGAGAAATAAACTTTTGTTGCTGAAGCTCTATGGCATTTTTGTTATAGCAGCCTAAACTGACGGAAACAATGAGCTAAATTAGCGAGTGTCAATATCTGTAACACTGAACAGGTACAAATAATATTCTCAACAATCTGTTCTTTTGATATTCTTAGTGATTCACGCTCTGGAACAAATGAGTCATCAATGATTCCGAAAAAGAATACATACCACCTGAGTAAAGAGTTAAAGTTTTTTAATGAGTCCATAAAATTATAGTGTAATATCTGTGGACACTTACAGATTCCTCTCATTGGGTATCAGGTACCTGTTGAGATACTTTCATTTATATTGCCTCATTTTACCTTCACAATAAGGTGCGGTAATTATCCCAGCATTACAGAGGAGGAAGCTGGAGTTCAGGTGGACTAAGAAACCTATACAGGGTCTTGCTTGTAAGCCCTTTTAAGGACCAGGGCCACCATTACAAGGCAGGGCAACCTGACTCTAAAGCTCTTATTCTTAACCATTTTCCTGCTACCCAAAAATTCAGTATGAGTCAATGTTTATCTTGTCTAAGGCCTTCCAAAGCCTGTAAGGATGGCCAATGCCAAATAACCTTTCACCCTTACTCCGTCTGTATCTCTCTTGGATACCATTTTCAGGCCAAGCCAGGCCACAGGCAATACTCCCAAAGCACTCCAGCTCCTTTCTGACCCAGCCTTTGCTCTGTTTCTTCTCCCTCTTGCATGCAACCCTTCCCCTTAGCTGCGGAAACCCTATTTGTCCTTAAACACTCAATTCATGGCCATTCCTCTCTGAAGCTCCTTAAATTCCTCCTCTCTACATGGTGAAATATTTGCTCCTACCCACTCCTTTAGTTCTTTACACTCTACTTCTGGCCATAGCATCTTGCTTCATATTTAACTAATTATTCTCATATGGGTCTCCTATGCTGGACTATTAACACTTTGACAGGGGATTAGAATCCAAGGATCTACAACCAATTCATCTTTACATACACCAGACCCGCCTCACACAGTGCTTTGCACACAGTAGGTATTTGAATGTGGTTAATGAATTCGTAGAATTCATTTTCACTTGATACCAAAAGGCAAAGCAGGAAGGGAGCGGCTTTCTCATTTTCAATAAAGCCGTGCAAACACACGCACCCACGTGCAGGCCAGCCCTGAGGGCTCCTGCTCTGCTGGGAGCTTGTGAGGACACCTGTCACCCGCTCAGCTTGCTCCAGAAGAGGACATGGCCTTGCTGTTGCCAAGTTTGGTTCAAGAATTAGGAGGACTGGTATTTGCAAACATTCTGTGCATTGGAAGTGCAGAGATAGTATATGTTTTCCCAAAATGATAATGTAAACTCTGGTATTAAAAGAAAGCAGGATAACAAGAATTCAGCTCTTTTCCAACTCTAGCGAGATCCTACCTGCAATATCCCTTTGTCCCAGGGACTAGGGAAAAAGGTCACACAGAGATAGCTGCCACCTGCCCCTCTGAGCCGCCGTCTCACCTCTTTAGACTTACACACTTCACTAAATTAATGAAGACTTCGAGCAGGTTGGTATTTATGAACTCTTGCCACTGATCTTAAACTCACCTGAAGCCTTCAAAATGATCACCTTAGAAATCTACAGACTTATCGTCCTTCTACGGTCAACAGCTCAGAACATTCTCTTAGAACTGATTTCAAAATTATTTGTAAGCCAAATAGAAAAAACAGCCTCTTCATTTCATGAGGCACAACTTACACAGGTTTTTTCTTAAATATTACTTTAAAGCCATCTTGGGCATGCGCACACGGGAATGTCCTGGCAGAGTCGAAGGCTGGACAAATCATAGCCTCAGGTGTAATA